GTTATGTGTTAGAGCCCACTTCCTCAATTTATTTAGGAAATCATCAGATAATGATTCACACTCTGAAGAATCATGTTCTTCACTGACATATAGTTCTTGAAATGTCTCACATGTAATATTAGAGGTTTCATTAAATAATTTCTTGTTTTTTAATTCATTATTATGAGTTAATTCCTTGTCTTCGAATTCATTATTCTGTTGATTATATCTTTGATCTAAATTCAATTCCGAATCTTGATCTACGTTTGATTCAAAATGTGCATCGATAACTGAATGTGATGTTGATGGTTCATCGGTAATTGAATATGATATTGATTTTGCCTGATTAAATTCATTTAATAATTCCTGGACTTGGTTTTGTATATTTCTTTTTGTTTGCTTTTTACTAAGAAATTTAGTTTCTTTTATTATATTCATATTTAAAAACAATTGAGAATTTTTTCTATTATTTTTTAAATGAGTTAAAATATAATATATATGTATATAATGTATATAATATTATATAATGTATCTAATAATATGTATATATGTATAATATACGGCCAAATACTTATATTCTGGATATATTATTTCCTGGAAACATTAATTACAAGCATTATAATTAAGGAACAAAAGAATAATATATAATTTTGTAAAATAATTTGAATAATATATAATATTAAAATATAATATTCATATATAATATTACATATATAATATTAATAATATATAATATTGTAAAAGTTTTTAATATATCCCTACATAGTAGAAAATGTGAAATGTCAATCAGATATTACACGCAAATTGATATTTTCTTATTAAATGTAAAATATATTACATGTAAAATGATATTTAATTCACATCTCATTGTCATTAAAAAATGTGTTTTTTGTATGTATATAGAAATATATCATGAAATTACGTAATTTAACTCATTCATCAAATATATTATTAAATCATATATAACTTACCTTATTTGTTACAGAAGTGTAATAAAATATATATATATATATATATATATATATATATATATATATGTATATATATATATATCCGTGTGTATGTTATATTAATTAATACTTTGTACTTTCTACGGATTTCACTGTGTAGTCGGTGTTTTCTAATCAACATAACCTATATGTGTTATGATCTAACACGTGAATCGATTATAACCTCACTGCTCTTTTTAACACTTTTCCGTATTTCACTCAAAGTATTCCATAGTTTACTTACTATTTACAATGTTTACAAGCACTATATATTCTTTAAACAGCAACGAAGATTTTATGATCGTTGCAAACACTTACTATAAGCGGAAGATAGTGGAATATCTTGCAATAAGACAACGAGGAAAGTGAAAAAGAGAGAGAATGAGTGTGAGAGAGAGAAAGAGAAAGAGAGTGAGAGAGAGAGAGAGAGAGAGGGAGAGAGAGAGAGAGAGAGTTGCTGTTACCATAAAATCTGAAATATGAATGTATATATTTTAATCTAATTAAAATAATTGAATTATAATTAATATAATTAATAAATAATATATTTAAAAAAAGGAATATTCATATATTTGGAAATAGAAATTAATATATAGTTTTCATAATTATTGTATATATATATATATATATATATATATATATATATATATACATAATTTAAAATTAATTTGAAATGAATTAAAAATTAGTTTTTATTATGTCCATAGAAACGTGAAACATACGTTTCTTTAACTATGATTTTAAAAACGTTTCTATAGAAACGTTTCTTATTTATACATTACGGTTAAAAAATATTGAATACGTTTAAGAAACGTATATAAAACGAACATGTGCTACCTGGGATGTTCTTCCCGCGTTCTCTTCGCGTCCTTATACAAGATTATCATTTTAACAAAAGAATTTTATTGTTGTCCTCCTCGTCAGATAATATTCCTAAATATTGCTAATTAAATATAAAGAAATGTCAAATAAGAGAGTAAAGATTGCATGTGATAAATCAATGATTAAATATTAGCTTTACAAAATTGAACAATCACCTTCGATATTATAGAATCGCGAGTTAATTATTATGAATTTAATAATTTATTTTTTTAGTTATATTTATATTTACGAATTTTTTTTCGTATCGGAAAATATTCATAAATAAATTCATTAATAAATTACTGTTGCGAAAATATCTAAAAAATACGTATTTTTCTCGCGTTCTTTTTCGCGTTTCTAGACGAGACTGTCGTTTTAATAAAAGAGTTATCTTTGTTCCTTCCGTTAAATAAACGTTAATCAAAATTGCGATTAAAAATTGAAAGAGGGGATATACAGGGTGAATCATAATGGTTGTAACAACCTTTTACCATTAGAGATCAATTACCGACTGCAACTGTAATCAATTGAATGATTCCTAGATGATAGCTGCTTGGATCGACCGTGTCTGCAGTAACGTACAAGCGTGTTAAATACTGTGAATTAAATAATATACATATTCTATGCATACTTTTCTAATATATTTAACTTTTTTATGTACATATTTTTCTTTCTACACGGTTTTTTTCTAATAACGCGATTTCTTATTATTGTGAAACGTATCTGCCACATAAAAAGAGATATCTTTTGCATTCGTGTATTTTTTAATACGATTTTTTTTTAAATAATGACTTTTTAATACATAGAATTTGACGGCGATTTTTTTCATTCTTACACAAATCATTTTAACGCGTAAAAAGAGTTGGATTGGTAAAGATACAAAAGTATTCTTTTTTTATTAAAAAAATGCGTAATTCTGCTTTCTACAAGAATTATTCTGCTTATTATTAATTTTCTAAGTTATAACTTTTACATTCTTAATATCTACAGCAGAATATTTCTTGTAGAAAGTAGAATTACGCATTTTTTTTTTATAAAAAAAGAATACTTTTGTATCGTTTACCAATCCAACTCTTTTTACACGTTAAAATGATTTGTGTAAGAATGGAAAAAATCGCCGTCAAATTCTATGTATTAAAATACCATTATTTAAAAAAAATCGTATTAAAAAATACACGAATGCAAAAGATATCTCTTTTTATGTGGCAGATACATTTCACAATAATAAGAAATCGCGTTATTAGAAAAAAACCGTGTAGAAAGAAAAATATGTACATAAAAGAGTTAAATATATTAGAAAAGTATGCATAGAATATGTATATTATTTGATTCACAGTATTTAACTCGCTTGTACGTTACTGCAGACACGGTCGATCCAAGCAGCTGTCATCTATGAATTATTCGATTGATTACAGTTGCAGTCGATAATTGATTTCTAATGGTAAAAGGTTGTTACAACCATTATGATTCACCCTGTATAAAAGGGGATAAGAGAATTAATTATGTAATGATCTTTCGATCATTGCTGTTAATTATAATATTTCTTTAACAATATTAAAATTAAATATATTTCGAATAATGCTTTAAATTTTCTCAATCCTTGTTAATTAAACAATATACAATTTAATCGATTAAATTATAGGAATCTAAAATATTAAATAATCGCTACGATCGTTGCGATTTTTACAGACAATAATTATTATTTTAATATTTAGAGTCACAAATATATTTCATCCATGTTATCTTATCGTTCTACTTGACAATGTAAACATAATTTGGATTGTGAGAAAACGCGAAGTAAAACAAACGAATTATAAATGCAAATAATTAGCATAACGGAAAACTAATAATTACAATAACAAATAATTACGATAATGATACGATACGATATAATACGGTAACGATACGATACGGTAACGATACGGTAACGATACGATACGATAATGATACGTTATATTCCAATAATTTTAGGGGTAAATTATTTTAATTAATTTGAATTTATTTTTAAAGACGTTGTGAAAATAAATATAACATGTTTTAAAAATAAAAATGTTTTAAAAGTAAAATTTAAATTATCAAAATTATTTTCAGAAATATTAAAGAAATTGCACAATTATTAACATTTAAGAAAAAATATTTATTTCATCTTTGAATATTACTGTATCTTTCGCGATTAAATAATTTATTTACTATCAATTTACATACATAAGTATCTTGTTATACAGTACTGGTGTTACCGGCATTTCGTGCTCATAGCACGGAACAAAACCAGAAATTGTGCACATTATTACCCTCTGAGAACATTTATGGACATTGACTTTGTAGTTTATGTCCATTTTCAATGTTCATAGAGGGAGTATCATATTCAGGGATCACCTAAAAGCAGGTCATGACATCTCTCAGTCTTCTCTCTGCATAGAATTTGAATCGACGAAAGAATGGCATTGTTTTTTTGCGTCTTTATTGGACATAAAAATGGAATTCTCTTATAAATAAATTCAAATGTATCGAGTTAAAATTCTCTCCCCTTTGTTATTTTTTTAAATTAATTAAATTATTCAGCTCTGTTTTAGAATTTGTATAAATGCCATATATATTAGATACAATTAATATTGAACATAAAAAATACTATAATACTAGTACTATAATATAATCACAATATTTCTCATCTAAATTTGATGAAATGTTGAAAAAGCAAAAAAAAATTATTTTATGAAATAAATATAAATTCACTAAATCATTGTTTATTTTACTTGATATAACTTGTGTATTTTAATATATATTATAAAATATATTACCACAAAAGAGACCTAAATACAAAATATAATTTCACTAAATTAATATAAAATATAATTTCGCTAAATTATATAATAAAGTAAAAAATATAATAAAACTATTAATTAAATTAATTATATAATTAATTAAATTAATTATATAAATTAATTATATTAATTATATAATTAATTAAATTAATTATATAAATTAATTATATTAATTATATAATTAATTAAATTAATTATATAAATTATATAATAAAGTAAAAAATATAATAAAACTATTAATTAAATTATATATTAAATATGGGAGCGCGCAAGATCTTAATAAATTACACATGAAAGAATTTTTAAAATGTATATAATTTATACCAATGACAATCACATTTATTTATCAGCTGAATTGAGACTAAGAGAATAAAAATAAAAAGTTGGAAATTAAAAGTTACAATCACCTTATTATTTACAATCCATTATAATTCCGAGTATATGCATTATTCAGTATTTTGTGGATACACACACAATAAAGTATGCACGTTTATCAATATAATTAATTACCTCTACGTGGATCCTCTTTCTGACAAATTGGATTTATTGTCTATATTAAGCCGTCTCACCACTACTCTAGCACCTTCCGTAATATCTTGAATAAATTTTAACATTTCTATGCGCACTTTGCCATTTTTAATATTGTCGGAATTATTCAAAGATCTCTGCCTTCGTCGGAGACACCTTTGCCGAATAGCATTGTCCTTGTTGCGTACATGTAATAAGTCATAATAAAAGTCCTCTGTAATGTCTTGCAATTTTCTTGGCGAGCCGTTCTTCGACGACGAATTTCTTCGTGAAGCGCGATTACTTTCGTTGGTTTTTTCCCTCGTACTCACACGTGTATCTTCATTATCATATATCTTAGTATCTTCAATAGTCTCTGGAGCATCCTTATTGATTGTTAAGCAAGATTCACTCTTGGGACCTTTTATTTCTTCAGAATCAGCTCCAAGTTCAACAGACGAGGTATTCAAACTCGTATCGTTATCCTTGAATGAGATGGCTGTTTCGGAAAATGCATTCTCTGTCGATGTCACATGTTGCGTTTCTTGTTCACATTGAAACGTCTTACTATTCGAAGAAAGTCTGCGCGTGTGTCGTAAAACCTTTTGCAGAGTCGGTGACATTTGTTCGAAGGTAATAGCCTTGTCTGAAATTATTCTTGGACCATTTGCCTCTTGTTGAGCCAACATAATTGAAGCAGATTCCTCAGAAATGGAATTTTCCTTCTTTGCAAACATCCTTCTTGGACTTGAGTAACTTGATAAAGGAGAATTGTAGAATCTTTTCGCAGATATTTCATACTTGTTTGCCTCTTCAGCATCTGTATTGCCTGTCAATAAATCTCCATTTTGCAGTCCTCCGTTTTTTTTCTCAGATGAAACTAATGTAGGTTGAAGAGCTTGAGGAATGAAATCTTTCCTCTTCTCTTCTTCCGTTTCAATGTTATTTCTATCCTCTCTGTTGTTCTCATTATCATCTTGCTGTTTCATTAACTGCTTATTTCCTTCTGTTATCATTCCTCGTGAAGAGCAATCATCATTATTCTTAATACTAGAAGAAATATATTTATTCTGCCATCGAGACTCACATGGATTTAAATAATCTTTAACGATATGCTTGTCATAATTTGTAGGAATATTTAATTTATCCATTTTTTCGTCTATACTATTAACATCTAAATTATATATAGTACTGCTAGAAAAACTACTAAACGGAGATAAGCACGTGCTATTAGAAATTGCATGGCAAGTCTTATGTTGCTGTTCATTATGAGGTGAATCGATCATTGTTACCAAGTTCTCGAGTTTCAGGAGACTCGAATTTAACAAACACTTTTCTCCAGCTTTTGTCTCGACCTTCTCAGAATTCTCCAATACTTCGTCCATTTCCAATTTGGTTTTTTGTTCGATAACAGCTACACTATCCTGATCTTGACGTATAGTGAACATCAAGCCCTCCATTACTAAATCGGTGATGTTAGACGAACGCAAAACCTTGTCGTCGGATATGGTCTTCCTCTCAAATTCCCTGCCTTTTTGTTTACGAGATTTGTAAGATTTATACGTATTGTTTGTCGATAAATTATTGTCAATAATTATTGTAGTATGTTGCTTGTTATCTTCAAATTTTAAATCTGTTTTTGTCATTTCATTATTATGTTCTTTTAATTTTGTGTGTATAGACTCGTTGTTATTTCTTTTAATCACTTCCAGAGTGGAGTGTTCGTTTATATTCTTCATCTCTGCTCGGAAATCTTTTTGCAGGGGCTGACTGATGGTTGAGAATGAAGAATTTGATCTCTTGTTACATTGTATTTCTTTCTCGATAAAATATTGATCTGATATATTATCAGAGTCTGCAATAGTCTCGTTGATCATCTTTCTGCCATCATCTAAAACATTTTTATCATTTAAAGGACAAATATTTGTTTCCATTGAATCTTCATAAAAACCAAATCCATTTGATAATGTCCATTTAGAAACATCATCTTTGATTATTCCCGATTCCAGTGAAGAAAATATTTTGTATCTCCTATTATTTTGCATTTCCTGATTTGATTTTTGTACTGCTATCGATTTTGTTTCTTCATTTCCATCATCTAACTTTTCAATTGAAATTTTATCCATTTTCTTTGTGCTCTTTAAAGATTGTTTTTTTACATCACGATCAATAGCATGTTGATCTATATTTTCTTCACATGTTTTAATATTACAATTCTTAGACTTATTTTCGTTTATATTATCTTGAAATTCTGCATCAACAAAATGTACTTCAGCTGTAGTTGCATTTAGACTTTCGCCAGCATTTTCAGTAATTTTCTCTTTGGTATCCAAGGAAACATTTAAATTTTTAAACGTAGTATCTGCATCAGCTTCTTTAACAGTAGGATATTTTAAGCTTATAGTTAACACAAATGCATGTGAAAATGTTGCAGCATTACTTCGTTGCTGGAACTTTAGTATTGCAAACATTTTATCTCGACGGGTCCAAGATGTACAATCTATATTTTAGTAAAGGAATTAAAGTAAAAGGAATTACACTTTTATAATTTTAGCTTTGCTTATTGAGGGAAAAAAAATATTAGTAAAAGGATACTATAAGTGACAAGAAGATGCGATGTGTCAAACTGTTGACCCCGATTCGGGTGACATTTTATAATTCTTCTAACGATTTTTAATAATTCTCGTCCATATGAAAATTGCATAGGATTTCTGAAAATATATACAAGTTAAATTTTTCTAAAAAAAAATGAGGTGACATCATTATCTTACTTGACTGTACGATGATATTTAAAGATAAATTTGTATATGTTCTTTTTATGGCATAACCAGTAAGAACCAGGAATGGTTAAAAGGCTCTCCTTCTCTGGGTTGAGCCAATCAAATTTGCTAAACGTCTGTAAATGTATTCCAGGCATTTTCTCTCAGGTAATAAATCTTGAAACACTGGAACTAATCTTCTTGAATCTTGTCTATCAGTTGATTCTTTTACGATAAATGTCAGATAATAAAGTACTCTTTGCTAAAATAATTTACCAGTAAGTCTAAATTTCTTTGTTTTGATTTTGTGGACAAATAAATCTGAACTTACTCCTTTTATAACTTCATTAATAAATACATCTTCTATCATGTTCCATGAGAAGAAACTTGTAGATGTAAAATGAACATAATGTCTGTTCAATATGTACACGGTATGTTTACTTCTAATATGTACACCTATTGATTCTACAATCAACAATGTATCTGTAAAATAACATGCATGTGCAATTTTATTTTTTATAAAATAAATTTTTAACCATTTTATAAAAAGAAGAAAGAAAATTACCTTGCTTTCCAGAGGTGATAAATGATTTGTGTCCCAATGTCAAAACGCACACTACAACGAGAGGAATTAAAGTTCCTGGCAGTATAAACCATACACTGAGAGTTGCACAGAATAAAACTAAGCAGAAATTGACATTGAAATATTTTTCGTCTATTTTTCGCAATGAGAAATTTATACTGTTGGTGCTCGACAGATTCACACTTGCGCTGTCTTGCAGTATCAGCCGTTCCCCATTGGCATTCCTGAAGAATACTTCATTGGGAGGTTCTAGCGTTGGAGAATTCGACGACATCAATGATGATTCTGTGCACAAATTTATATAAATTAAAAGTGACGAACAAAAGGATATAATTATAAATAAAAAACAAATAATAGATATAATTAATAAAAATAATGCAATATAAATAAAATAATAAATAAAAATAAATAATATAAATAAAAAATAAATAAAAAAGATATAATTAAAAGATATAAATTAAAAGTGATGAACAAAAAGATATAATTACACTCTTGAAAATAAACCTTGCTCATTTAATGTACCCCCGTTAATCTCAAGTTATTTTTAAGTAACTCAAGTTTACTCACGTTTGCTTTTTTCAGTATTTTTATACTAAATGATTGAAATGTAAGTATTCACGCAAATTTCGAGTTCGCATTCTGTGAGAAATATGTAAAACCCGATCATGTACAGCAGAGTTGAACGAACACATATATATTTTTTGAAGCTTCCAGTAACTCTATAACTCTATATAATATTTTTACACATGTAAAGATAGATGTACGATAAAATTAAGCAAAGATATAATTTTTCATTTTATAAACTAGCACATTTTCACTCTTTGTTTTGCTTATTTAAGCCAGTGTATCTACAATATATATATATGTATGCATTTATATACAATATAAATATATATTCAAGGGAGAGAGAGAGAGAGAGAGAGAGAAGGAAAGAGAGAAAGAGAGAGGAGAGAGATTGCGAGAAGGAACATACAAAAGAATTTTTATTGCTATAGTCACAGCTTAAGGCTGCTTTCTATGAATCTTCACATAATATATCTTAAATATCAAAATTATTACGAGATCCCAACAAATCCTATTTAAACATTTTTTTAGAAAATACGAATGTTTAAAAGAAATAATATTGTTTGTGGACAATCCTTGCTTTCAAACGCTGCAGAAAATTTGATGATCCCACTGGCATGGAAACCATCCTTGAGACGTGAATCTAGAAGCCACGCACAGTCGAGTAAAAAGAAATTTCTTCTCTGCAAACACCAAATAACTGTTGTATAATTGTTAGTTATAATTCCCCACTCGACGATATAATTGTTACTTAACATGTAACAGTTATGTAATAGTTATGTAACTGTTAGTTATAATTTCCTACTCGACAATATAATTGTTACATAACTGTTATATGTTATGTAACTGTTATGTAACGGTTTTATAACAGTTATACGGGATCTTCAAAAAATTCCGGAACGCTAAAATATCTCGAAAACGATCAACTATAATAAAAAATATGTAAGGAACAAAGTTGTAGGACTAAATAAAATGTACCTAATGATGATAAGAATTTGACCTTGGATGAAGTATTCAAGATTATATGAAGGTTAAGTTGATTTTTTAAAATGGAACCTCCTACTTTTCATTGGACATTCTTGTAGCTTGCCTCAAGAGCTTTCCAAAACACTATAATAAAGTATTTCTTCATTGAGTATTTTTCGAGTTTTGAGGTTTGAAATAATTTCTTAATTTTACATAAACCGTAAAATATTTTGTAAAATATTCATTTTTCGATTATCTTACCTTAATAATTTTATATACAGAATAATGAGAGGAATCAATTGGTGTAAAGAAAACACATAGTTGTTTCTAAGAAAAAATATGTAATTAATTGCAAATTACATATTTTTTTCTTAAAAACAACTCTTTTTTCCGGGACTTTTGGGACACCCTGTATAACTGTTACTTGATGTTCGAGTTTCCATCTCTCTCCCACCATCGCAAATCTCTCGAAAAAAATATATTAATTTAAGGCAGATTTACAGAAGAATGAGAGAAACGTCAGAATAAAATAATCCAGACAGCGCAAAAATGCCAAAAGATGTCTTAAAGACATCTAGAAAGAATTTAAAATGTCTTTAAATCATCTTTTAGATATCTTTTCGACACGTGTGCTGGGAACCTTTCGCAGATTTACTTTTCGTTCAGCTCGACGAGGTACCCTCTCCAACGATGACAAGTGAAATGGACCGAGGATGGAGACGATGATCAGAAAAAAAAGGAAGACGGGAAAGAGAGCCTGCCGTGTCTCGAGATCGATCAGCTGATCCACCGGCGACAGACGGTTCACGAGCAACCTGGCGCTGCCATTCTGGCATTACGTCAGTGGCGGTGGTCTCATTCGTTGGCTCGGGGAGGAGTTGCCGTGCGACCGCCATTGTTACTCCCTTTCGTCGTATCTCGCGGAACCTGGGAGAGGAGACCCTGCGCCCCGTGTCCCGTGGCCGTGGAAGAGAGCCCTTCGGAGCCGTAGACTGGAAAGGCAGACCCGACACCGCTAGTCCACGGCGTAGCATGTCCACGATGAATCCCGAGTAGTGAGTAAACCTCCTTTTGCGCAGAGTCGCTCAGGTGCATCCTATCTATCGCTACGCGTCATCGTCGCATCGAGCGACGACACGAGAGTGACGGGGGAGGTGGACGCGTTCCTCCCCCCGAGGACGACGCCTGGGACTCTCCTCGGGATCGGCGAGGGCGGAGAGGGGGGCGAGGAGGGGGCGGGAGGGAGCTGGAAACGAAAAGGGTGGAAAAATAAGACGTCCTCGAACGTCGTAATCTTCTGACAGATTCACCCATCCCTTCCTCTTCCCCTACTACCTGTAACGTAGCTCACTTGGTATCCATAGTCCATACTTGAATATTTTCCACCGGGACTCTCGACCTTGATCCTTGTTCAGAATGAACGATTAAGTCAGCGTGAGACTTGAAGGACTCTCTCTTCGAGGTTTCACTTCGGTTTCGAGAATTTATGCAATTTTGCCTGTCGGGGGAATTGGTGCCTTCTGCCTTTCTTTGATTTGTAAGAGATATATATGTTGACAGATGTACCAGCGGAGACTGTTTTGTTTCAGCGATTACTTATTCAAATTGCTCCTAATCGGGGATTCTGGCGTTGGGAAGTCCTGCCTGCTGCTGCGCTTCGCCGATGACACCTACACGGAAAGTTACATCAGCACCATCGGCGTGGATTTTAAGATTCGAACCATCGATCTGGACGGGAAGACGATAAAGCTGCAAATCTGGGATACCGCAGGCCAAGAACGATTCAGGACAATCACGAGTTCGTATTATCGAGGTGCCCACGGTATTATTGTTGTTTATGACTGCACAGACCAGGAGACTTTTAACAACGTAAAACAATGGTTGGAGGAAATTGACCGTTACGCCTGTGATAACGTCAACAAGCTACTAGTCGGCAATAAATGTGATCTACACACTAAAAAAGTGGTCGACTATACAACAGCCAAGGTAAGCGATAATGCTTCTTTTAATATATATTTAATAATAATATTTATTTAAATATTATTTAATAATATATATTTAAATATTATTTAATAATATATATTTAAATATTATTTAATAATATATATTTAAATATTATTTAATAATATATATTTAATAATACTTCTTTTAATATATATTTTTAATATATTGTATTACAATTTGATTATACTGTAATGTATATTATACTATACTAATATATACTGTATAATTATACTAATATTATATATTATAAATATATACTATTATATATTATAAATATTTACTAATATTATTTATTATATTATAATATTTTATTTATTATATTATTATATTATTTATTAATTATAAATATACTAATATATTTTGTTTTAAATAGGAATATGCGGATCAACTGGGCATACCATTTTTGGAAACATCGGCCAAGAATGCGATGAACGTCGAACAAGCTTTTATGACAATGGCCGCTGAAATCAAACTCAGAGTGGGCCCACCCTCGAGCGGAGCGAGCGATCCAGCAAACAAAGTGAAAATAGAGCACGGACGTCCAATCGAATCTTCTAAGTCTGGATGCTGCTGAGAATTGTAATTTTATGTCCCGTTTAACCAAAGTGAGTGAGACAAAGAGCCGGGAGATAATCTAATCGATTTACTACTCGAACGATTATCAAGCGGTTACCAAGGAAGAAAAAAAAAATTGCAATTTTTGTTTCACAGAACATCTAACGGTTTGCGGTCCGGGTACCGCAAAATTAAAACCTATTACTGGAAACACAAGAACACGAGGAAGTTTCAGTTTATGCCAACAAACAACAAACAAAAGAAAAAAAAAAAAGGAAGAAATCTAACACATTCATGGACCACCAACTCTTCCCCGGAGTTGTACAAAACTCTTGTCCCGCCTGTCCTGATTGAATTTCGTTTTCGTAGTTACATATCTTTCTTTTCGAAGAAAAAAAAAAAAAAAAAGGACGTGGTCACTCGACGCCATTTTTTCTAGCGTCAAGTTTCGACTTGAGATAAATATTGTCAAGGTAGCATTGATAATGTCGTGCGGGTGTAAGCGTGCGTGTAATAAGGAGCAACTCGAAGCTTTCGAGAAGTAAATTGAAATAATATTGTGTACGGTGGTTATATATATATATAAAGTTAAGTATGTTTTTTTTTTAGCCTAATTGTAACATGTACAATGGAGTATGTTGGAATTTGGTCCTGTGCGTAGCCCGCGCGGAGTCACTCCGTATTCCTCTATACTATCTTAAAAAATGTTTTTCCATTTTTTTCGTTTTGTTCTCTCCCATTTAATTCCCACAGAGATGCGCGCGGATGTTTAGATCGCTCTTTCCCCTCTAGTGAGATTCCCCGCGAATCGATGCGCCCTTCCTTTTCTTCTCTCACACAGCTCATTAGTGTAATTTATAATAACATATTAATAAATATTTCAACACTAAACTCTCGGAACGTATGTAGCATACCTTTATATATATATAAATATGAAATGTATATGCATATATGTACAATGTGTATGATTCGAGAGAGAGAGACAGAGAGAGAGAGAGAGAGAGATATCGTCCGCGCTTATGAAGCAACAGGCCAAACGACAGGACGCATAATCTTTTCAATTCTTTCGGTTGCCTGTGCGTCATCTTTTTTTTTTTCTTTTTTTTACAATTAAAGATGCGATCCGAGAATCGATAAGATGGTTCTATTGCACAGTTCCAGACTTACGATCGCGTAGAAAAACTGGGACGTTTTATACGAGATAAGATGTTGCGCAGTTACATATTTAATCCAAATCGTATCTTTGTATCGTGAGAAAGACTACTATGTGACGGGTATACGATAAATAACGGCACTCGAAATTATAAATATCGTAACTGTAATTTATATATAAATTATATAATTTATATAATTTATATATAATATATATAATTTATATATATTATAATTTATATATATTATATATATATATATAATTTATGTATTTATATATATATATATAATTTATAAATTATATATATATATAATTATATATATATATATAATATATATTAAAATATATATTATATATTATTATATATATTATATATTATTATATATATTTTATTATATATATATTATTATATATATTATATATTATAATATATAATAATATATGTTAAAATATATATTATATATTATATATATTATATATATATATATATATATATATATATATAAATAAATAAAAACGTATAAAAAGTGAAAAGGAGAATAAAACACACGATTGTCTAAACGAAAGAATCACCGCTTCTCTCTAATAAAATTGTTTTATCAAACATTCATTTGTTACACCTGTTATATATAGACATACACATACGAGCTTAGTGATGTGTAGCTCGCCACGTGTTTCGTAATCCCGGACACGCCTGAAAAATCGATCGCAGAGTCACGCTTGACAGCCACTGACAGCTGATTTCGCGTCCCCCTGGCGGCCGAACGTGGTACTAAAAGTGACATTTCCTCGCGTACGTCGCCGAACAGCGATGTCGCGGCTGAATTGTTAGACCTGTCAGAATCCACGAATTGTCAGGTGGAATCGACGAATTGGACGCACTTTGTGTAATTTTACAATGAATTAGATAATAAATAATTGTTCGGCTCTCGTGAATCTTGCGTGATTTTCGGGTTTGATTGTGATATAACCTCTTATCGTAAGACTAACCGTCTTGACGAGCATAAAATCGCTTCAAAATGATGCAACAATATATGAAGGAATTGGAACAGGTACGTTAATTCCTTTTTTTTCTCTTTCCACAGGTCATTTGCATTCCGATGTTTTAATATGTGAATTAATCACGATAATCTGTAGCTTGATATTCTATGTAATAATAGTTGTCCAATAAAAAATAGGGTTTTATTTAATATCATAAAGTGTTTAGAAATTTCTCTACAATTTTATTATTGATATTATTGATATAAAATAGGATGTCAGGGCAATTTCGCAAAAAAAAAAAAAAAAAAAAAAAAAAAAAAAAAAAAAAAAAAACTTGTAGCTCACCTCGAGAGGAATTCTTAATTTTCACATAAATCATAAAATATCTAGTAAAATATTCATTTTTTGATTATCTTACCTTAATACTTTTATGTGCAAAATAATGAGAGGAATCGATCTGTGTAAAGAAAACACACAATTGTTTTGAAAAAAAAATATTTAATTGTTAATTGCAAATTACATATTTTTTCTTTGAAACAATTATGTGTTTTCTTTACACCGATTGATTCCTCTCATTATTTTGTACATAAAAGTATTAGGGTAATCGAAAAATGAATATTTTATTAAATATTTTATGGTTTATCTAAAATTAAGAAATTATTTCAGGCCTCATAACTCAAAAAGTACTTAATAAAAAACTTAAAAATACTTAATAATAGTTACTTAAAAATACTTCATTTTTAAAAAGCTCTCGAGATAAGCTACGAGCTAAGAGCTTTTTTTGACCAATCTTTCAATATGATGTTTTGCAGGATCCATTTGACCCTGAGGAATTTGTGGAACGATTGGCTTGGAGGACTGTCAATGACAACACAAAAGATGGAGGGAAGACATTCTTCGATCCGGTTATCGTTCATGAAACCTTCTTGCAGGCAATCAAAGATTTGCAGGTGTTGCAGGAACGTCAGCAGAAGAAATGCGATAAGTTGGAGGTTGCATTGAAGGAAGAGGAAGCCCGGCATGCGTTTGAAATACTAGGACTGCAGGAGAGAAATAGACATTCTATCGAGTTGTTCCATCAATTGGACGAGAGAATAAATCTCGTGGCTACCAAAGTCCTACACTTGGGAGATCAATTGGAAAGTGTTAACATACCAAGGGCAAGAGCAGTGGAAGCTCAAAAATTAATGAGGCACTTTTCAGAATTTTTAAGCCCTGGTCCATTGACTGACCCAATATTCACTGATAAATCCTCGGTAAAGATGAAGAATCAATTTAAATAATAAATAATTAGATAAATAATAAGATAAATAATCAGAGGTGCATGTTTTAAACAATGTGTTTAAAACTGTTTGATTAAAACTTGTTTAAAACAGTGGATACTTTACTTAAAAACACAAATAAAACAAAAAACATTGTTCTAAAAAAAAAAACAATGTTTTTTGTTTAAAATAAAAAAAACAAGTTTTTTGCCAACCCTGTAAATAATAGATTAAATAATAGATAAATAATAGATGTTAATAGATGGCAAGAAAATGACCAAATTTAATCAGTATTGTTAATTGCAGTTGAACGATGCCGCAGATGTGATACAGAAACTTTATCTCATAGCTCAGGAGCTCCCCTCTGAAAAGTTCGAGCACGCTAAAAAGAAGATTAACGTTAAATACGACGAGATAGAACGGAATCTGATCGAGGAGTTCGTAAGAGCGCACAATAGAGAAGATGCACCGCGTATGAAGGAATTGGCGAGTACTCTGGCCCATTTCAAGGGTTATTCTCAGTGCATCGACGCGTTCATAGAACAAAGCCAGATGGGCTCTTTTGGTGGCAAGGACGTCTTTCAAGATGTCATACCTATGTGTACAAAGTATCAGAAACTCATGCAACAGGTGTTTTCCAATCCTGAACAAGTGATGGCTAAATTCGTCCTGAATATTTACCATCTGCGACTTCAAAAGTACGCAGTAGCTAAGTTAGCCGACAAAACTGACTCTGACAAGTATCTCAGGAACTTGTATGACTTGTACACAAGAACAGTCAAGCTGTCCAATGATCTCAGGGTCTTCAATATGGGTACCGATGATACTTACCTCGCTAAGCTCACTAGAAATATCTTTCAGAAATATTTGGATACTTATATTACGTGAGTTTGCGATTTCAAAAAGATGACGGTGTTTTAAAAATAATAAGCTAATAATTTTCCATTCTTGATTTTCTATTTTTTAGGATTGAAACAAAGGCGTTTCGTGAAAAATCAGCGGCACTCCTTATCGAATATTACGAATCTAAGAATCATCAGAAAAAGCAGTTGCAGACGGGTGGTTTTCAAGAGCTGCGTCGAGATTTGCAGGCTGTATTAGGTGCAAGGACGAATATAAATATCGCTCAAATAGAGGATTATGGAGGCGAAACATTCCTGTCGGAGGAGCTAGCAATTGCGATATTGCAGAGGAGCAAGCTCGCGTTTCAAAGATGCCAATTACTGTCGCAGCCTGTCGACATTCCCGGAAATGCACTGCAGATCTTCGAGATATTGCTACAATATTTAATAAACGAACACGTAGACTATGCCCTGGAATTAGGTCTACAAAGCGTACCTATACCAGAAAGCAGAACTCAACCAGAGATCTATTTCTTTAATGTGGTTCATCAGTGCAATGGCATTGTCCGACTCTTGGAGGAACAATTCAACGACAGTGTATTGCCTCTTGTCTTGTACGCATTTTTTTTTTCGTCTTGTGCATCTTTATATTATGGGGGTGTCCCATTTTAATGTCCCACACCAAATAACTTTCTTATTTTTAATTTTAGAAAAAGATGTTTCAGACAAAAGTTGTATGGTTTCTAGGGGTTATTTGGGGTGGGACATTAAAATGGGACCTTGTATTATGTGAGTCGATGATATTAGGCTGTATGTTTCTCTAGATCCACGCCCAAACACGCCGAGTGTTTGTTGAAGAAAAAAGCGATATTGGAGCAGATCGATGTCAAGTTGGACACCGGCCTGGACAGAAGCATAAACGCCATTGTAGGCTGGGTGAAAGTGTATCTACAAAACGAACAGAAGAAGACTGACTTCAAGCCGGAAACCGATGTGGATACCATAAATACTCCCGCCTGTTTAGTGGTGGTTCAGTACGTGAGTGGAATGATACGACTGATACGAAATACCTTGGATGGCAGGCACCTGGATACCGCTCTCAAGGAACTAGGGGTCAGATTTCACAAAGTCATTTACGATAATTTGCAACAATTTCAATTTAATTCCGCCGGAGCTATGTGCGCCATATGCGATATGAACGAATATCGCAAGTGCATTAAAGAGCTGGACGTTGAATTTGTTACAAATCTCTTTGATACCCTACATGCTCTGTGTAATTTGTTATTGGTCAAGCCGGAGAATCTGAAACAGGTCTGCACGGGAGAGCAACTGGTATGTGTCATGCGAATTATTATTTTCAAGAAACATATTTTCTCCAGTGCGTATGAATTATTTCCTGTGATTGCAGATGACGCTTGATCGTACCGTTCTACTCAACTTTATTCAATTGAGAACTGATTACAAGACACAGAAGTTGGCCAATTGTTTAAAAGGCCTAGCAACATGATGACATATTCTACTTGCGTAACAAAAAACACTTTGTCCTCAGCCTAATCATTTGTATAATTGATATATATTGCATAATATACATGTATATAATAATATATATAATATAGTATATAATAATATGTAATATAATAATATATTTATTATAATATTGTAATATTATAATTTTATATTTATATTATTATATAATATATTTATATAATAATATGTAATTATATAATATACATGTATAATATATATAATATAGTATTTATATAGTAATATATAATTATATAATATATAATATTATATAATATTATAATATTAATATTATAATATTAAATTATATAATATACAGGGTTGGATAATAATTAGAGGCGTGCAAATGGATTCTTGAGACTCTGGATTATCGGGAACGTTGTTATCGAGAATAGAGGCTCCGTCACGAGCGAGTCCCGAGTCTCGATGCTATATTAGATGGAATGAGGGTAGATTTCTACCATTACTCTAAATAATGATAACATGAATCATCAAATAAATTTGGGGGGAAAGTTAATAAGTTTAAGTTTGTGTTTTAAAAATAACTAGTTAAAGTTAAAAGTGAACTTTTTAAAATAACTAAGTTGAGTTAAAAATTATTAACTTTTTAATTTTTAAAATTAACGTTAAAAATTATTAACTTTTAACTAATCAACTAATTATTACCCAATCCTGATATGTATGTATATTATATATATTATTATATATATTATGTAACATATACAGGATGTATCTTAAAAAGCTTCCACTAAGCAAATAGCGTTATTCCTGATTAAAAACCAAGTCGAAAAGTCCTGAACCATTTTTTTTCCAAGATTCATTAAATAATTAATCAGATTTAAGTATTAAAAAGATTTCTGAAAAGATGAATTGTTTAAAAATTAACACAAAACAATTTATTTTTTTTGCTTATTCAAATCTTCATTTTGATAACGAGGAAGTTTGTCTTTTTATTGGCGCGACTTTACTCATTAATTACTGCTTTATTAAGCATTGTGAAAAAAAATTGTTTAGAACTTTTCGACTCGGTTTTTAATCAGGAATAACGCTATTTGCTTAGTGGGAGTTTTTTAAGATGCTACCGAATATATAAATCATCAAAGCAGTCATCAAAGATTAAATATCAATTACTTCAAGTTACTATTTAAATATTTTTCGAGAATTAGACTCGTTCACATACAAGAGCGTTTGCATAAAAATAGCATTCTTTCTTTAAACACGTTCATTCTATTTGTTCCTCTGACAATTCGCAAAGAAGGGAATAATGAAAATGATACTGAAGCCAATACGCTTGTGGCACTTGATGAATTCGATGCTGAAGAATGTAACTAGGGCTTCAACGTAGTCGTTTCTGCAAACTTGCAGGCGATGAGAACTCGAGATCCACCTTAGTACTGTATAAAGGTCAACTTGTTTGATTAGGCATGCATTTGTAACAACTTGCTTGGGATCAACAACATCCACCAGTGGCTCGTAATTTTTCTTTATGCTACTCGTGTCAAATTAAAAAATGTTTTCTGCAAAAGATACCTTCAAAAAGGTTTCATTAATCTTGATAGCATTATATATTTAAGCACACGAAAAATGCTATAATATATAAAAATGAATGATTTTGAGGGCAAAGAATTTTGGCGCACAATTATATTTTATTATACGTCAGACATATTAATTATACATACACACAAGTAGCTTCTTTTAATACGATGAGATATCGTAAAGACACACTCATGTTTAAGACTCAAAAAGATATTTTTTTTTTCTTTTTTTTTACAATTGAACTGATGGACTTCAGTTGTGCGCAAAAATTCATTCATTTTCTTAGTACAATATCTCGTCGTTTGTTCGAATTTAGTATTATAAATATGATAGATTAGTCAGATTTACACGTTTATAGAAGAATGTCTATAAAAGTCATTACATTAAACGTCTAATCAGGAAGCATCATCTTTCAAATTAAAGATTTGCAAAACTTTTAAGTTTACAGCTCATGTATCGTCACTGCATGCGTCGTACTGCTTATAATTGCGATCCTTGTTTGTAAATTACATAATTAATAAAGACTCGATTTCAGGTTTGATTAAATGATTTAATTTCTCATGAGCTATAAAAAAAATGGGGAAGAGGACGCACAATCCACTGAATATCAGCGCATACGATAGTTATTAGTTTCGTGTACTTGACACAACTCTCCTTTAAAGTCCAACTCGATGCTGAAATCCAGATCTCTATAATTCCTGGCGTTGGGCCTCATCGAAAATACGCCGTAAATCTCCTCCCCTTTCTTCACCGTCATATACTCGTCGAAGTAAAAGACAGTTTGCTTCCAATGCGTATATGGCACTTCTGGCGCGGTACTGAAGCCAATACGCTTGTGGCACTTGGTGAATTCGATGTTGAAGAACGTAACTAGGGCTTGAACGTAATCGTTTCTACGAACTTGCAGGGTAAACGGCGATGAGAACTCGAGATCCGCCTTAGTCACTGTATAAAGGTCAACTTCTTTGATTAGGCATGCATTTGTAACAACTTGCTTGGGATCAACAACATCTACCAGCGGCTCGCTAATGGCCACTTTTCTTATGCTACTCATGTCGAATCCGTATACATCGTCCCACCAATTAATCTTCTCGTCTTTGTATTGCCTGTCTTCTATGCCACAGATAAACAAAGTCGCCTTGTCAGGAAATAGCATGCCGTCTTCGCGAAGCCACTTATCTCTGGCAAAGAGTACTGTGTCTAACATGGATTCATAAAACAGGCAATAACCCATCCATTCGGATATTATTATATCGACCTTCTCTATTCCATCCGGCAATGATACTTCTTCGACTTTTCCCTTAAGTATCGTTATAACATTGGACAGATTGTTGGCTTCTACTATCTTCTCTGCATATTCCACGATATTGGAGCACTCGATACCAATGACTTTAGCTGCGCCAGCCTTAGCTGCAAACATGGAGAGGATACCTGTGCCGCAGCCAATATCGAGAACCGTCTTCCCTTTGAAGAGATGTTTGTTATGATACATTGAATTACGATAAGTCACGGTGCGTACTTCATCCTTAAGCATTTCTTCGTGTATTCCATAGTGAGCGTAGGAATCAAAGTAATAGTCCCTCGAAGTCATGTCGTCGACGGATACAGACTCTTTACAAGATGATGCGCCGACATCTTTATTCAGGATAACAGGCTCCGGAGCTATATCCATGGATTCCATTTTTGAAGTCTGTAACATTTACATTAAGCTAGAGATTGATTGACGCATCAAACAGGTTACTTAACTAATAATGAAATTTATTAAATAATTCATGAAATTCATTCAAATAAGTTTAGGAAATAATTAATAAAATTCATTCAAATAAAAAATATAAGAATATAAAAGTGGTTATAAGATAGCAATCAAATTAAATAGTGAAAAAAGGCAAAAAAACCACAGCGCTAGGTTAATGGTAGCTACAATTAAAAGTGAAAGAATTTTTAATATAAAATGAGTCAATGTCTAACAAAAGAAAATTCAAATTAATGGAAAATTATAAAAACAAAACATAGATCAAAGTCACAATAAAGTCGATATAAACAAAGATCTCAAGGGACGCAAACAGAATAAAAAATAGGTACAAGAACAATATAAGATTATAAAAGAAAAAAATTGGATATAATTAAAAATAAAAATAAAAATTGGATATAATTAAAAATTCTTTCACTTTTAATTGTAGCTACCATTAACTTAGCGCTGTGGTTTTTTTGCCTTTTTTCACTATTTAATTTCATTCAAATAAGTTTAGGAAATAATTAAGGAAATTCATTCAAATAAATTTAGGAAATAATTATTGAAAATCATTAAAATAAGTTTATGAAATAATGAATAAAATTCATTCAAATAAATTTATGAAATAATTATTGAAAATCATTAAAATAAGTTTATGAATTAATGAATGAAATTCATTAAAATAAGTTTATGAAATAATTATTGAAAAATCATTAAAATAAGTTTAAGAAATAATGAATTTCATTCATTAAAATAAGTTTATGAAAAAATTAATGAAATTTATGAAATAATTCATGCAATTCATTAAAATAAGTTTACGAAATAATTAATGAAATTCATTAAAATCGAGGATGCTGGCGATTCAGTGGGGAATATTATTTCCCAAAAATTTCACACGCGCATACTAATTTCACAAAACCGTTGAATTAAGGAGAAAAGAAGATGTCGCCGGAGGGCAAGGTTTCAGATTTACAAACACGTGAGGGACGAAAAACGCGGTTTTTCTTTATCACTCGGAAATGAAATTTACACGCTCGAGATAGAGGATGATTTACAATACTGTTCATGAGTGCGAGGCGGCCAGGGTTCGACCCGACGATTTCGACAGCGCAAAAAACCGGCAAGCAACGGGAAGCACGTGCCCGCCAAAAAGCGAATGGCGTCCCTCGACGGGATCGAATGGAACCGCTCGATATATCCTATCCCACTGTCCTCGCTCGTGTGCCGCCCGCGGGCTTCCGTTCCGCTATATATAACGTCGGAGCAACCGCGTGAATTTTGCCGCGACTCGACGACCGGCCAGCCGATCAACTGTCATTCGCGCGGGCCCGCGATCCGCGGCTAACGTCGCGTCGTCGCGCGAGCGGCCGCCGAGCGCGAGAGGCCCGCGAAGGGGCCCGACTCGCCCGACAAAGACGGCGATTTCCCGGGCGCCCTCCGCCTCGACGGCGCGCACCCTCGGGCCCCCGGGACATGTCGGCCCGCCGACGACGCGGCCTCGACGGCTCCCGCCTCCTGGCAATCCCCGGCGCGGAATCCGCGTCGCGGAAACTCACCGAATTCTCCGTGTTACACACGCGACTCTGGTTGATTTCTACCGGCACCTCATTACTCGTCGCCATTTTGCTCTGCGTCACAGCAGACGACTGGACCGACTCAGGCGCGTCCCTATCGACGCCATCGACGGGCGAATTCCGTCCCCCGGATCCCGGGCTTGTTTTTTGAAAGGATTTGGGAAGTTAATCGTGGAAATATGCATCTGTCACGTTTGACAGATTTTTGATCATTTTTCTGGAATTATTTATTATGGAAATTAAGATGGAAATTTAGGGCGTATTTCCAGAAAGATTTATTCTATTAATTCCAAAGATTTATTTTTCTTACTGTGAAATGTGCAATGAATTTCTGATGAACAATTGCAATATTCGATGGAAAGTTTATTTATAATTGACATCGTTCTTTGAAAATAAATTCGGGGAAAATGAATGTTGTGCAAACAATCGAAATTCTTCGGAAAAAATTTTGAAAAATCCTTTGGTCTAGTTTTCATTGAAACCTTCAATTCGCAAATTTAAGTCTATGAAAATACGACTGATTTAAGGCCTTTGCATGTACAAAAATTTTAGTCGTAACCGTAAGAAAACTGACAAATCATAGTCGAGTATTCTTTCTGCGATAAAAGAATAATCAACTATGATTGGTCAGTTTTCTTACAACTTACGATTACGACTAAAATTTTTGTACGTGCAAAGGCCATTCTACAATGGCCTTTGCGCATATGGTTGTAAGGCGTAGACTCAAGAAATTGACCAATCACAGTCAAGATTAAGAGAATACTCGACTGTGATTGGTCAATTTTTTGAAGGCCATTCTACAATGGCCGTAGCATAAAGGTGCAATTTCATTGACGCTAGAAACTAGCGGCAAATTAAAATCACTAGACTTTCTCTAGATTCCATCTTACTGTGAAATATGCAATGGATTTCTGATAAACAATATTCGATGAAAAGTTTATATAATTGACATCTTCGTTCCTTGAAAGTAAATTCGGAAAAAATAAATGTTGTACAAACAATTGAAATTCTTTGAAAAAAATTTCGAACAATCCTTTGATCTAGTTTTCATCGAAACCTTCAATTCGCAAATTTAAGTTGATGAAAATGCGGCGGATTTATTGGCTCATTGGCCGGTATTCATAGTCCGATCTTATATTTGAGATCGTCTTAAGTTCGAGCTTGAAATGCTACGCAGTTATTTGATTGGTTGAATGAGGTCTTAAGTCAACCTCGAAGCAGACTTAAGATGATCTTAAATATAAGATCGAACTATGAATACCGGCCATTGTGTATTTCCATCGATTTGATTTTTTTCTACGTGAAATTAGGCGCGAAATGAAGACTTTGGTGAGAACTAGGCCAGTGTTTTAATAATGTATGTATATCTTATTATAATAAAAATATTGTTACATTCTTTTTACTAAACAAATAGGAAAATGTTGAGAGAAATAAATAATGCATTATAAAAAATACACATTAATTATAATATTTATTGCAAACATTATAAAGATAATAATTTTTCTTTTCTCTTGCTTTTAAAAAAATATTTAAAAAATCAGAGATAAAACATTTGTGTACAAGAACTTCTTATATTTTTCAATCAATACAATCAATACATATCAATCAATATAAAAGCTAGAATAAATTTCTAAAATTTAATCTATTACTTTTACAACATTTTCTACATAAGATTGATAATTATTTAACATGCATTATTAGGATAAACATTAACAGAAACAATATTAAAAAATTTATAAATTTTTAAGGTTTCGAAAGGTATCCTATTATTGCATTCAAGCATGAATCTGCGAAGATGTCACGTAGGCGGTGACGTCACTCACGCACAAGTACACGCACGCATACGTATATATCATCGGTGAGATTTGTTCCACGAATTTTCTAGTGGAAATTGGAAATGGACAGGGAGCAGGGAGAACTCGTGGCAGCGTTGCCAAATGCTTTCTATCTCGCGCATGCGCGAGACAGCCACGACAATCTCAGCGACGTATGTATAACGGGGGGTTCTGGAATTGCAAATTGTGTCAAATCATCGAACAAATTACACACTTTCAATTCTAATAAAAATTATTCAAACATTATTATATATATTAATATAACATTGTTTTAATAATTTCAATTTATATAATATTATAACATTTATATAATATTTATATATTTATATAATATATATAATATTTATAAAATATTATATATATTATATATATTAATTTAATATTGTTTTAGTAATTTAGACAATTTATATAATATTATAACATTTTTATAACATTTATAATATTCATATAACATTTATATAACATTTATATAACACTCCATAATATTACATATATTTATATAAATTACTAAAATAGAATTGTATAAATCCCTCGACTGCACAACTGATAATTAATAAAAAAAAAATTTTCAGATATCCATCGGAGTTCGATGAAGGGCACCAGCGGAACCGACTACCTCATTGGCGCCACATTCGACGCGCATGCGCGGAGCGGGCGGCCCGTCCGGCAACGCTGGAGACCCTTGTGCGCACTCGCGCTGCCATTCGTGTTGCCGAGATCCGAGGCCGAGGAGTGTCGAGTGTCTGCTTTCACGAAGCGGGTCAGTCTGCGTCCGTGCACCGCTGCTCCGTTCTAGGAATCTCGCTGCTCGAGCATCGCCAGGACGATGTGAGGACCAAGGCGGTGGCTCTTTTTCTCCTCGCGCCTCCCGTTGGCGCGTCCCATCCGCACGAGAAACGTCCGCGTCGGCGAGCCCTGGAAGATGCTGGTGAGTAAACAGGGAGAGGACGTGGTGACGAGGCTCTCCCCATCGTCTCGACGACGACGAGCGCTTGTTTATTGGCGTAAGCGTGACTCCGGCCCACGTACTCCCCAGGAAGCGCGTTTCCTCGCGTGGGATACGCGATGACATACGCTGTGTGCGTCGCGCGCTAACGCATCCGCGCTTTTTCCGCTTCCCCCTCCCACCTCTCTGTCTATTTCCCTCTCTCTCGCTCGCTCTATCCTCGCCTCTCTCTCTCTCTCTCTGTCTTCCTCGGTCTCCGTCCGTCTCTGTCTGTTGGTCGGGGACGAGTCCGAGGGCGAATGTTTGCGTCTCTGCCGGGCAGTTACGCAGGCAGGAGACGTATACCTTCGAATAAAAAAAATAAAATCTGGATTTTTTTTTTTTTTTTTTGCGTCTTTCTCATCGCGGAAATTCCGCGAGGGACACTTTCTAAGGCGTGAAAGGCGCCGCGGGATGCCTGGAAGCGTCATTGAAACGACCGTGGTTATCAAAACACATAAAGTATGTGTTATCGTTAATTTGGCTCCTTTTAATTTAATCACGTTTTTTTTCCTTTTATTAATTTATTTTTGTTTTCTCTTTTGCAGGTGTGAGTGTGTGTGTAAGTTTGGTCTTCCCTTCTAGTTGTACTCTATTGGCACTTATGTATTGGATATATATGTGTGTGTGCACTTCATATATGCATATGTGACATTATCTCGTTATTTTCACCAAAATAAAACAAGAGACAAACAAGCAATAATACTTGGGATATGATTGAGACAAATGATGGTATAATGTGTGATTTTTTTGTTGTGTTTTATTGATTTGGGAAATCAATAATAGATTTGTACTTTTGTTTTAAATGAAAAGGAAAAGAAATGTCATGGAGACATGGGGCTTAAAATACATTAAAACATGTATAATTTACTATAAAAAACATTATTATATTACAGATGTATGTATCCCAAAACTTTCTCAATATATCAAATTTATAATTGAGGAATTAGAAGGAATGTGATTGAGACAAATGATATTATAATGTGTGATTTTTTTGTTGTGTTTTATTGATTTGGGAAATCAATAATAGATTTGTACTTTTGTTTTAAATGAAAAGGAAAAGAAATGTCATGGAGACATGGGGCTTAAAATACATTAAAACATGTATAATTTACTATAAAAAACATTATTATACTACAGATGTATGTATCCCAAAACTTTCTCAATATATCAAATTTATAATTGAGGAATTAGAAAGAATGTGACTTTTTAAAAGAAAAATTATTGAAAAAACTAAATATTTTGCACACCTACATTCTACACAAAATTAGTGCTTTTGTAAACAAAATATGAAATATATTATTGAGAGATATTATAATTGAGAGAAAGAATGTGATTTTTTAAAAAGGAAATTATTGAAAAAAATTAAATATTATTTTGCATCCCTAGTGCTTTTGTAAATAAAATATGAAATGTAAATTGTGACATTATCTCATTATTTTCACGGAAATAAAAACAAGAGACTATACAAACAATCAATAATATTTGGGATGTGATTGAGACAGGCAAATGATATTATGTGTGATTTTTTATTGTATTTTATTGATTTGGGAAATCAATAACAGATTTGTACTTGTCTTATTTTAAATGAAAGAAAAGAAAGAAACATTATACATGGAAAAATGTGGCCTAAAATATATTAAAACATGTATAATTTACTATAAAAAACATTATTATATTACAGATGTATGTATCCTGGAACTTTCTCAATATATCAAATTTATAATTGAGGAATTAGAAAGAATGTGATTTTTTAAAAGAAAAATTATTGAAAAAACTAAATATTTTGCACACCTACATTCTACACAAAATTAGTGCTTTTGTAAACAAAATATGAAATATAAATTGTGACATTATCTCATTATTTTCACCAAAATAAAAACAAGAAACTATACAAACAATCAATAATACTTGGGATATAATTGAAACATGACATGTGATTTTTTTATTATATTTTATTAATTTGGAAATCAATAATAGATTTGTACTTTTATTTTAAATGAAAGAAAAAAAGAAATATTATACATGAAAAAATGTGGCTTAAAATAGATTAAAACATGTATAATTTACTATAAAAAACATTATTATATTACAGATGTATGTATCCTGGAACTTTCTCAATATATCAAATTTATAATAGAGGGATCAGAAAGAATATGATTTTAAAAAAAAGAAATTATTGAAAAAAAAACTCTAAATTTTGCATTCATATATTCTGAGCAAAATTAGTACTTTTGTAGACAAACTATAAAATATAAATTATTACAATATAACGTTACAATTTTACTACAATAATAGTAAAAGATATAGAACTTTATTGGAACATCAAGGAATTATTCTTATCAATGTTATGTGTGTATGAATCATAATTAAGTGAAAATCTAATATAATACAAGATACATTGATGACAGTTAAAGACAGACTTGCATAATGCAATGTATGAGAATAATAATTATTTCTATATCTCTTGCATCTCAAGTTGGTATAAAATATTGACATAAAATACATTTGATATGTAATATTAAATTCATTGTTTCAGGGAGACGATCCACCGTCCCTATCGGTGGGTACGGAAGTTAGCGCCAAGTATAAGGGTGCCTTCTGCGAAGCCAAGATCCGTAAGGTGGTGCGATTAGTGAAGTGCCGCGTGACTTATAAACAACAGGGTTTGGGAACCGCAACTCTTTCCGACGAGCTAATAAAAGGGACTTTAAGAGTGGGAGCATCTGTCGAAGTTAAACATGCGGAACGGAAAGAATATGTTGAAGCTACAATTACGAAAATCCAAGACTGCAGTCAGTACACTGTGGTCTTCGACGATGGGGATATTACTACTCTGAGGAGGACTGCGCTTTGCTTGAAAAGCGGACGGCATTTTGCGGAGAGCGAAACGTTGGACCAACTCCCACTGACTCATCCGGAGCACTTTGGGAATCCTGTAATCGGGGGGAGAAGAGGTAGACGATCAAGGCAAGCGCAGTAAGTGCGGTGAAGAAGTCTGTTTTTACAAGATCTAATAGTTGTTTAACATATATAAAATTTTCGTCAAATAGGGACGAAAGCAGTGAAGATGAAGACAGTCCACCGCGAGGTACCCACGATTCCGCCTCCAATGGAGGCACGAAGGAGGGGATGGAAACTGAGCCAGAAATTGGCAAAGTGGTTTGCGTGGAACTTGGTGACAAGAAGAAAAAGGACAATTGGTTCCCAGGACTAGTGGTTGCACCTACTGCTCAAGATACAGTCAGGATACGAGTGAGGGACGATTACCTGGTGCGCTCGTTTAAAGATGCGAGATAGTAAGTGAAAAATCTTTATTTTAAAGTCAACTGTTGTATCATATACTGTTAAAAAAGTCTGGACACGGTCGAATATCTCGATAAGGAAGAGTTTTACTAGAAAGTGTTTCAGACAAAAGTTGTATGGCTTCGAGGGGGACATAATATGGTACCATTAGTTTGACCTTGGAGAGTTATTTGAAAATCACATGAAGATTACCTTCAATTTTTTAAATGGAACCTACTTCTTCTCATTACATATTCTTGTAGCTTATCTCGAGAGCTTTTCAAAACACTATAATAAAATATCTTTTCATTGAGTATTTTTCGAGTTATGAGGCTTAAAAAAATATCTTAATTTTATATAAACCATAAAATATCTAGTAAAATATTCATTTTTTAATTATCTTACATTAATACTTTTATGTACAAAATAATGAGAGGAATCAATTAGTGTAAAGAAAACACACAGTTGTTTTTAAGAAAAAATATGTAATTGTTAACTGCAAATTACATATTTTTTTTTTAAACCATTATGTGTTTTCCTTATACCAATCGATTCCTCTCATTATTTTGTACATAAAAGTATTAAGGTAAAATAATTGAAAAATGAATATTTTACAAGATATTTTTGTCTTCAGCATTTTGTTCTAAAATGCATTCTATACGAGATATTCGACTGTATCCAGACTTTTGGTCCACCTTGTATATTGCGTATAAATATTTATATATATTTATTTTCTTCAAGTTATACAGTACCCAAGAAGGAAGCCACAGAATTCACCAAAGAGTTGGTTAATAAAGTTGAAAACAGCACCTTAAAGGTTGCAGTTGAGAAAGCACTTCTATTCCTGGAGAAAAATGAATTACCGCCTCACTGGGACAAGGATTCTCTGTTCGGGAATTCTGTTTCCAGTGGAAATAGCGACTACGATGGAGAACTTGACTCTGATGTAAGATCTCTTGCTTTTCTCTTTTTTCTTTTAATTATATAATTATAAGAAAATATTTATATCGACTTTTTTTTTAGAGTTCCGATGACGAACCGCGCGAGGAAAAAGACCACTTTGTGGCTCAACTGTACAAATTTATGGATGATCGTGGAACGCCTATGAATGTTTGTCCAATGATCGGATCCGAAGATATAGACTTGTATAGGCTTTTCCGGGCTGTTCACAAATTGGGCGGCTACAATCGCGTCACGAATCAGAATCAATGGAAAGCCGTAACGCGACGACTTGGTTTAATGATGCAAAATTCCGGGCCCTTATACAATCTCGTGAAACAGGCTTATAAGAAATACCTGCATCACTTTGAAGATTTTTACAAGAAATTAGGCTGTACCATGGTAAATCACCCGCGAAGTAGCACGCGAAAACAACGCTCTGGAAGAAGCCTAATTCGCGATAAGGACAGAAATACCCCTGTACCGCCGCAACCACCGGCGCAAGTGAAGAGTGACAAGGATGAGGAGGAGAAGAAGGTTGTGGACGAAGAGAAGAAAGAAAAAAAGGAAAGCAAGAAAGAACCGGTGAAGGAAGAGGAGATTGTAAAAATAAAGAAGAAGGAAGAATCCGAGGGGAACGATAGCAGTCAGGAGAGCGACGTAAATATAGAAGGGGACATTGAGACGTCATCATCTAATAATGAAAAATCGCAAAAACCAATCGTACAAGCTTCTACGTCGTCCCCTGCTTCTATCAGCGCGTCGTCGACATCCGCCGCATCGTCCGGCCGAGCCAAGTCCAAGAGTAAAGAGGACACCAAGAAGAAAACGGCCGAAAAGAAGAAGACGGAAACGAAAAAGCAAGAGAAGAAAGATGATAAACTCAAGGAAGAGGAAGCCACCAAGACGAGATCCAAAGCGAAGGACGATACTGTCAAGAATAAAGGTACCTCCGAAGGAAGGGAAACTCGAACACCGTCCAGAGAAGGGGAAAAGAAAACGTTGTCGAAGCAGCGACGCTTAACAGACGAGGAATTGAAGAAGCGAGGAAGGAAACGCAAGGAATACGAAGCGGAAAAGTCGCGCGCGGATGAACAACTTACGGAGACTGCCCCGAGTTACAAGGGTCCCGTCGAGTGTGGCGATAAGTTGAAGGTGTATTACGGCCCAACGCACGAATCCAAAGTTACTTACGAAGCGAAGGTCATCGAGATTGAGAAGGATGGTCCAGAACCGATGTATCTCGTGCACTATACAGGCTGGAATACAAGATACGACGAGTGGATCAAAGCGTCCAGAATCGCCCAGAACTTTACCCAAGCTCAAGGTAGAGTGAAACGGATCAAGGCTACCCCTAGGCCTCAAACCCCCAGCACAAATCTGTCCAACAACATTAGCAATAAGATGAAAGGCACTTGCAGTTCGGGTGCCAATGCGTCCCAAAGCCGTCGCCGAGCACAGAGCGTGGCTCCTACCTCCAATAGCGTTGCTCAGTCAACCTCGACGTCCGCGAAGGAAGTTAAGAAGGAGGAGAAGGAGAAGGAAACGATGCAGCCGACTAGGTCTACCACACCGCTCTCCATTACCAGTTCCAGTTCCAGGACCAAGAGTCCTGCCACGCCTGCTAACAGGCAAACGAGAATAACCAGGAACGCGGAGCTGTCTGGCATGGAGCATCGGAGGCGCACCAGAAGAACCTCGGGACACACGGACATATCTGTCGCGTCGGAGACCGAGGACAGCGAGGCTTACGAATCCGACACGACCGAGACTGAACAGACCAAGACCAGGACAAGAGGCACGGAAGAAAGGAAACGGAAAGAGACGCGGAGCAGAGCGGAAGAGAGAATGAAAGCGGAAGACATGAGCGACGGTGAGGACGACAAGGACAATCTGGATGAACCGCGTAAAGGTAGACGTTTGAGAAGAACACCTGGCAAGTCCCAAGGCATTAAATCCGAACCTGATAGCGATCAGGAGGAGCAACCGAAAGGTCGCGACTTCGACCTCAATCAGATACGATCCGAGCTGAAGGGTTTCGACAAAGCGGTTAAGGAGTTGGTCAGGATAGAGCCCGAGCCCGAGGACGAGGTGAAACTGGAAGAGAAAGACACCGTAGTCGCGATCGCGGCGTCACCCAAGCTGGAGAAGACCATCGAGACTCCGAAAGTGGAAGCTGTCGTCGAGACGAAAGTCGAGAGCACGGAAGATATCTACGAGTTTAAGGAACCGGAACCGTTCGAGTTCGAGGTGAGGAACAAGAGGGACACGAGTGGCGAGAAGGATAAGTCGAAGAAGAGGATATTCGAGGAGGAGCCCAAGAGTCCAAAGAAGAAACAAAAGATGCCAACCGCGATGCCGGTGCTGAAAGAAACGAAGCCACCGGAGACCCCGGACCCTGATTCTCGGAAGAAACCCAGGAAGTTATTCGGTAAGAGATCCGAGGATGTGAGCGAGGCTGCGGTGGTGGCTGCTCCCAGCAGCAAGCCCACTCAGCTCCCGTCTTACATGGCCTGCGAGGACGTGTTCAACAAATTTTGCGAGTCCACGTCGTCGTTTAATCAATTAAAATCAATAACCGCTGTAGAGGAACTTCCCAATAAGATGTCTGGCTGCATCAGTCTTCTGTTCAACGATCTGCCCGCGGATGACGAAGGCACCCGGGACGATTCGGAAGATCGTCTGATAATATCCGAGACCGAGGTCTCGGAGGCGGAACAGGACAACGTGTTTACGACTTATCAACAGGAGATCCAGTTCCACAGCAGCGGCGAATTGACGGACGTGGCCGAGTCTAAGAAGAACGAGACGACCCCCGCGATTGAATGCTCGAAGGAGGAGGCTGGCGCGATAGCCAGCATCAGTACTGGTGGCAACAAACCCCCCAGTTCGCTGGATCAGAAACAGAACCAGATCAAGCTGTTGCCTGCACCTGGACAATCGCAGTCGGAATTGAGGCTGGACACGAAGCTACTCGATATCACCCCGGTTGCGTCGCCAATCGTGACTCCTCCGGCTCCCATAAGCGCGAGATTGCCGGCCACGTCCACGATAGAGGAGAAATTGTCGGCCGCTGCCATGGCGTTCCGCAACAAGGCCAAGGACCCCAAGAAGACCTCGGACGAGGACACGTCCGACCTCGGGCGCAAGATAATCAAGGACTCATCGAAGAAACTAGACGTTTCGCAAAGAAACAAAGATGTGGATCGCGGTATCACTGTGGTGGAGATAGACGACAAGAAGCAGGAGGAGCTGAACGTGAAAGATCCCTGCAGAGAGATGATGCGCATGACGATTAAGAAGGAGGAGGAGGTGCAACAGCTGAAGCCAAAGAAGGAAATAGAACTGAAGAAGTTCAAAGAGGAGACGAAGATCACTGCTGAGCACAAGATGAAGCAGGACGTCGCGAGGGACGAGAGTTGGAAGGGTGTCGACAGCGAGGGTGCTAAACAACCCGAAGAAGAGTACAATAAAGCGAGCGATCAAAAGGCAGAAAAGGACAAACTCGAGACTCGCAAGAAACAGATAAATCAGGACCACATTATCGACTCTACAGACAGCAGCGACTCGGAACAGAGGCTGGTGATAGACAACGAGGAGTCGCAGGACGTTAAAGTCCCGACGTCCAGCTTCGACGTGAAGCTCCAGGCGGAATTGGATCGTATCCAGACCACGCAAGACAGATATACGAGGACGCAGCTCTCGTTGAAGGCTTCGCAGGGTGTCCATCATCAGCAACAGCAACAGCAAGACTGTGCAGAACTCAAGGTCGACGCGACCCCGGCTTCAAAGACTGACGAGGAGGGCGAGACGATGAATTCCCTGCTGTGCGAAGAGGAGATACCCGGCTCGCCCGCTCCCCTATCCGAGAGCATCGAGCAGGTCAACGTCGGTCCCTGTAGCCCGCCCAAGAGCGAGGTCACCGAGAGCAGCATAGTGCTGATGGAGATGCCCTTCGCGAGCGCCCCAACCTCGGGCCAAAGCACGACCAGCAGCAGCAGCACAGTCGCCACCCTCAGCATGGCCCTTCCAAAGACCGTGGAAGCCTCGATACCGGTCTCTCTACCGATGCAGCAAAACTCAGCTTTAAGCATGCGACAGCCACAGCAACAGCAACAGCAACCTCACCATCATCAGCAACATCAGCATCACCAGCATCAGCAACAGCATCACCAGCATCAGCAACATCAGCAGCAGCATCACCAGCATCAGCAACAGCATCACCAGCATCAGCAACAGCACGTGCCGGTTCTGATGCCGCCGCAGCGACGAGAGAGCAACGAAGCTGCGCCAGTGATGGACAACACGCCACCGACAACCCCTGACTCGAGTATCTCCAACATCTCGGGCTCGCCGAGGGAGGAGAGGACTGGTGGCTCGTCACCAATCTCTGAGGACATCAAGCTCAATCGCGACAGCTCCGAGCCAGACAACGACAGCGCTGGGAAAGGTCCAGGCTTCAGCGAGGACGACACTTTGCCCAATTCTGAGGGCAATGGCGCGGACAGGATCCTCAAGCCGCCGGCCAAGCGCTCGATCGACGACATGCAGTCGCCCAAGAAGCGCAAGAGGAACCGAAAGCACTCGGAATGCGGTGCTGGCGGTGCTGCTTTACCCAAGAAATCCGGGAGACAGACCGGAAGGCATGGGAGGTACGGGGCTGGGAGCGACAGCGACGACACCAGCGAAGGGTCTAATCTCTGCGGGGTCAACAACGCGCCGGCCAGTCACGCCAACGCTATCACCAGCGTCCCTGATCTTAGTACATACTCGTCCAGGTCGCCCAGACCGACAAAGTATAACTTTTACGTGGAACTAGGTACGTTGGTTGGAAACTTGTACTTTGCTGATTCGATGGCACGTTAAGAACATTGGATTTTTTTCTGTACATTTTTCTGATGACCAGAGAGGCAATTTTCTCTCAAAGTAATTGTGTGAAATTTTTGCAGATCCTGAATTGGACGGCAGCCAAAGGATAGCTGTGCTCCAGCAGAAATTGACCGAATTGAGGAAGACTTACAATGCTGTGAAAGTCGAGCTCGCTGCTATAGAAAGACGTCGAAAGAAGCTACGGAGACGGGAACGAGAAGGTAAGTCTTTCTCATCCTAGTTTTCATTTTGTTACCTTCAAAAATTGCCAACAGATGATGTCACAAACACAGAAAAGATTTTAAAAATTTCTTAAAGTTTCACGATCCTTCCTTTTATTTATCACATTGATGTAAAAATTAATGCAAATAAAATTATATAATAATAAATAAATAAAATTAATATAAGTAAAATTATATAATAATAAATAAATAAAATTAATATAAATAAAATTGTATAATAATAAATAAATAAAATTAATATAAGTAAAATTATATAATAATAAATAAATAAAATTAATATAAATAAAATTGTATAATAATAAATAAATAAAATTAATATAAGTAAAATTATATAATAATAAATAAATAAAATTAAAATAAGGTAAAATTATATAATAATAAATAAATAAAATTAATATAAATAAAATTATATAATAATAAATAAATAAAATTAAAATAAGTAAAATTATATAATAATAAATAAAATTAATATAAATAAAATTATATAATAATAAATAAATGAAATTAGAATAAGTAAAATTATATAATAATAAATAAATAAAATTAATATATATAAAATTATATAATAATAAATAAATAAAATTAAAATAAGTAAAATTATATAATAATAAATAAATAAAATTATATAATAATAAAAATGTTTTGTTTCAGCGATGAAAGCAGCTAAGGCAGAAATGCAGCAAGCTTGCTCGTGATAAACAGTGTTGAGAAAAAGACATTCTTTCCTCGTAAGTGAAATTTTCGTATTCGACTTTCAGAGATAAGTTAGCAAGCGTCAACACGGGCATCATGCAATCATGACAACTTTTACCTACGTAGGTGTCGTTTTAGATAATATTTGCTTTCGAACCCTTTCCTTTATTAATGCCTTGTATTAATAAATTGTAGATATAGTCGTAAGATTTAGAACGATGAGGATATGCGTCTATCAGAGGGATGTACATTCGTGTATGATGTAAATAAGTACCTTATCGTTTCAAGTTTCGTTCACTGAACTGACTAAAAAAAAATTCTTATCCTTTGTCACCTGCTCAGATGCAAAGTACAAATTATCAAAACCGATGATCGTTTTTCAGGCATTATTCACTTCTCTTTTCTCGTTACAAGTAAAAGAAGATCGTTATCAATAGTTATTGATAAACACATCTTGGGAACAAGTAATTAACTAAGCCGGCTATCATTTCTCCATTTCTCGAGCACGGTCACGTCGATTGCGGTTGAGCTGTCTTCACAAGGCATTGAAAAAGATAAAGTACACGGGAAGAGTCCCAGTGACATCGTGCAAGCATTGTGCATAGTTATATAGTGTTGTAGGAAAAAATGTGTAAATATTAAAGATTAAAGTAAAAAATTGCGAGGCATTTGCGACGATCACATCACGTGTATGTTGTACGTATATATAAAGAATATATTATCGTTTAAATAATATACAGGGTGTCCCAAAAGTCCCGGACCGGTCGAACATTTCATAAACTATGCACTTTAGAAAGAAATGTTTCAGACAAAAGTTGTATGGCTTGAAGGGGGCCATCAGATAGTGGCAATGATTTGACATGGGAGAGTCATTTGAAAGTCACGTGAAGATCACCGTCAATTTCTTAAATGGAATTCCCTATTTTTTATTAAATATTCTGGTAGCTCACGTCGAGAGCTTTCCAAAACACTATAATTAAGTTAGTTTTCATTAAGTACTTTCCAAATTATGAGGCTTGAAATCATTTCTTAATTTTATATAAACTGTAAAATATCTTGTAAAATATTCATTTTTCGATTACCTTACCTTAATACTTTTATGTACAAAATAATGAGAGGAATCAATTGGTGTAAAGAAAAAACAACTATGTTTTTTCACCAATTGATTCCTCATTATTTTATATATAAAAGTATTAAGGTAAGATAATCGAAAAATGAATATTTTACTAGATATTTTATGGTTTATGCAAAATTAAGAAATGATTTCAAGCCTCGATTTATTCTTCATATAATACTTATGTTATGAATATTAATTTTTTGTTTTTCTTTATTATTTTTATTGATATTATCAACTATAATCTACTTTTTTTATTTACCCAATATTAAAATTAAAGCCAATAGAACTACTAATTTTATTAAATGAAACTGAATATGATAACAAATCTATTTTCAATTTTTGACCCCTCTACTAGAATAAAATTTTCAATAAACTGAATTAATATAAGACTAATTATTTTAATCTTTCCATTTCAGTACTGATTAATCCCATCGCGATTTATTATAATATGAAATATTATCATTAAATTTTTAATTAAGGAATTCAAAATCATAACTCGAAAAGTACTCAATGAAGAAATACTTTATTATAGTGTTTTGGAAAGCTCCCGAAATAAGCTACACAAATATGTAATAAAAAATAGGGAGTTCCATTTAAGAAATAGACGGTGATCTTCACGTGACTTTCAAATGACTCTCCCATGTCAAATCATTGCCCCTATCTGATGACCCCCTTCAAGCCATACAACTTCTGTCTGAAACATTTCTTTCTAAAGTGCATAGTTTATGAAATATCGACTGGTCCGGGATTTTTGGGACACCCTGTATAAAGAATATATTATTGTTTAAATAATATATATAAATAATATTGGCAATTTTTTCATTTTGTGATTCTGAAAATTGCAAGCAATCATATGTAAGCTTCATATGTAAGCGTGGAGTGTAAAGAAATATTTGTATTGCTATTTTAATTTATGTATATAATACAACACGTGCAAGGGTAGTATTATACTTGTATAAGAGGGGAAACAATAATTTGTACATTTAAATGGATATCGATGTTCTCGATAAGGAATAATGTAATAAAATATTGTTTTTTCCTTCTAAGATCGGTTACATGGCAATTTATCGTGAATGCAGCTCAACGATACTAACAATTTACTGATTTCCATATTATATTTAATTGTGTTTTACGCATCATTATTAAATAGCTATTACTTACTCATCGATATCCTACGGATTGGATTTATCAAACATGCATTTATATTTGTATTTTGACACAAGTATCGAAATGCATTAAGCGGACACTTGCTCATCATTTGTATGTTTTCCTAAATTCGGCAGCACGTATAAAATCGTAGGAGAACGATACTTGTGATGCAAGTGTTGGTTTTAATACGGAAAAAATTTTCCATCAATCGATCCTCAGCAGTCTATAGATCTTCTTTATCTTTAAGATTCTTGATCATTAGTTGTATTAAATTATAAATATCAAAAAATAAATTATACATACACACATACATATATATATTGATGAGTGCTTAAAAAAAAAACAGGTGTTAAGAAATTAGAATGGTATAAAAAAAGAATCTTAATCTTAAGGGACACATCGAAGATGTGTGAATCAAATGCTGTTAGGAAAAATTTGTAAGAAAATATAACAAAGCTGTCTGAAAGGAAAATGAAATTTTATATCGATACACACACACATATACCACACACAAACACACACATATATTATATATCGATATATATTTTTTATAAAAAAAATTAATATGTGAATGTGCTTTATGATGTAAGAAAACGCAATTACTTAAAACTGAGAAAAATTAAGGAAACTGTGAAGATTTCTCGTCATTGTATATAATTTTACATTGCGTGTGTTACAAACACAAGTCAGATTCTAATAGTTTATCGCACACTTTAACATAGCTGCGCAATTTAATGTATAATAGAAAATTGTTTCAGAAAAAGAAATGTTGCAGTAGCACATATGCACGTACCTGTTTTGAGAAGACTAGAGGATGCATTTTGACATTAAAGTATTAAGTACAATATTTTATACAAATTTACATTTTAATATTAGAATATTAGAACAAGTAATTATGCATTGTTATTAGAAAATTATATATTATAATAACAGTTATAATCTCAAGCGATTCAGTTATGAAATTTATTAAAATTTTCAGTTGCACAAAATCAAGTGTGAGAGAGAGAGAGAGAGAGAGAGAGAGAAAAAAAATTAAAGTCTATAAATATAATTAAAAGGATATAATTGCTGTGAAAAAATTAGGCATTGATGATTATACGAAAAAAGTATATATTAAAATAATATACGAAATGATAACACAACTATACTTATATCTACTATTACTGATCAATTTTAGTTTATAATATAATATTAAATTGTTACAAATTCAATATAATTTTAACAATCCAAATCAGTTAGAAGATAAACTCGCGAATAAAATTTATAATATAAAATAAGCTTATTTAATTTAAAGTATATATTATTATTATACATGCTCTCGCACATATAATAATGATAATAAAAAAACACAAACATTATGCGTAAAGATAAATAGTCATAAAAATGCATCCTCATCTTCTAAAAACAATTAATCTCCCTGTAAATCATACGACGTTACATGTGAAATAGTACATATAGTAAGCACAAGGCGGATTTTTATCGCCAAACAGTAAGTAATTATTGTTTCACATAACATTTAACTGTGTCGGTGAATATAATTAAGAAATAAATATTATCTTACAGAAACAATGTTCATATTGCATTAGTTATATTGCTCCTGCATTCTTGTATTTGTATAAGTGAATATATTTATTAAAACAAACAACAAAAGATAGAATAAGAAAAATTAATTTTGCACAAAACTGTATACTTAAAATCTTTGATATACATATTTATTACATTGTAGCTTACAAACAAAGAATGAACAGATAAAAATCTGCGTAAAACTTATGCAAAAACCTAATTTCTTCATAGATATAATATACAAATATTCAGATTATTGTACTTTGCACTTATTTATATTAGACAATAATATAAGACTGTTTTTATATTGATTACACAATATAATGCACCATCAATGACACGCACGTACATAATATACAATATCTCTTCTATCACCTTGTGTCAACGTAGCGAGAAAATTTCATAATACAAATCAATGACTAAAAATATATATGCTTTATAAGTTAATAATTTTCATATTTTAATTTTACGCTCTAACGTTCTATGGCTATACGAAATTTCTACATTATACAATATACTATCGCCGCGATATAGAGAGATTGTTTTAGGAATATTATATATAATATATATATAATAATATTATATATAATATATAATATATATAATATTATATATAATATATTAATATTATATAATATATATATATATATATATATATATATATAATATTATATATAATATATTATTATATAATATATTAATATTATATATTAATATTATATATATTATTATATAATATATTAATATTATATAATATATATATATATATATATATATATAATATATATATAATATTATATTAATATTATATATTATATTAATATATAATATTATATATAATATATATTGATATATATTGAATATTATATATAATATATATATAATATATATTGATTAATCTTTTTTTTTTTGTACACCATAGTAGAATTGATGCGTGGCATAAAAAAAAATGAAAGAATGTTATAAAATATCTTTTAAAGAAAGTATATTGTAAGATTTATAAAATAATATATATGTATATTATATGACTTTTTTAGAGAGATTACTCTGATCAAACTTTAATTATCTCAATCATCAAGTAATTTAATTGCAAAATGATCAACATCAAAATTTCTAACAATACAATTATATAAATTTTACAATAGAAATCTTGAAATTTTGCTATTGATTATTTTGTAAGTTTATCAATGATTAAGTTAATTGTAAATTGGCCAAAGTGATTCCGAGAGATGTACTGGATATCGAGTGTATCTAGAATAGCGAAGAAAGATTAAATAATCAAAATAAATAACCATGTATAAAATTAAAAAAAAATATATACAATATTTAATAATAAATATAATATTTAATATTGAATTAATATAATATTTAAATTAATTTTGCATTAAACTTAGCCTGATTTAATGCTTTCAATATTGAATAACTATAATTTGTCATTTTACAACTGTAATCAGAATTTAGTATAATTTTAAATTACATATTTATAGCTTACTTCTCTCCCTCATAAGTTTGTATGGGCAATATTCTTGTCTTTTGCTACTTTACAACTTGAATTTCACACATAATTCTTTCTCATTATCGTGCAAAGATAGCATCATACAAATTCTCAAGTCTTAAAAGTTGGGAATGTTTTTTTTTATTCTTTAAAGTAAGATTGAATACTTTTTGATTATTTTTTTGTGCTCGTAAGAAATATTGAATGCAAAATTACTCGAGTTATTGAGATACTTGGGATATCCAATACATCTCTACTGTGAATATATTCGATTATCTCAATATTATTGCGCTCGCCCAGAATATATCTCGTTAAAGTATCACTTTCTTACAAATTAGTTTGCCCATTATTGACCATAGATTAGCGAGAAAGGATTCAATGTGCGATCTTACACTGAAATTGTCTCTTAATTAAATTGACGCTCTGTTTATAGAACACTATGCAAAGGAGCATACTCTGGTGCGCGTCCCACATTGAATGTTTCTCCACTTGTGACATTTCATTCCATCGCAAGACAAGAGTGGACATTGACGTTGAAGAATTTTCAAACTTTTCTTAATACTTGTAAAAGAATACTCGCTGCTGAGAGAAGTAAATATACAAGATACATAATATTATGTAGGAAATGTAATTTGATATTAATTTTTTATCTCGCATCCGCATGTCCTTCTCTTGACGTATTTCACTCACCAAACTATCATCAGCTTAAATGAAATGAGAAATCATACAGGAATCATTTAATCTTGGCGTATGGCGCATTGAGCGAAGTGGCGTACTATTTTCCATTGCACATGTCAACAGGGAGGTGGGCTGGACGTCGGAGCTGTATCTAAGGTCGTCGCAGAGGAGGTGGCTGCTTTATTGTCGGGATCTAATCTCTGTCTGGTAAACATGATCTGTTCCATTAATTCATGATGCGCCTCTAATCGCTCGATGCAATGCAAACACGCAGTCTTTGGCAGCGGGTCGTTCATGTTCACCTGCAAAGGAGACTGCTTTAGCCAAACGAGTCGCACAAATGAAAGTGTAATAATTAAATAAACGTGAAATAGGTGATGCGATTCTTAGGACACATGACAATCAGCGTGTTCCTGTACTTCTCTCCCAGGACCACGCGAGACACACATCCCACAGGGAGGATGGAGTAAGGACTCTCGCTCGACAGAAGGGTGCGCAGGAAGGTAGGCTCTCTCCCAGGCGTCTCCAGGGATGGGAATCGAGGATGCGAGCGAATTACCGTGATCGGCAGGTAAGTGTTGATCTTCTCCGCGAGCTTCATCCTCTCGCCCTCCTCCCCGTAGATGTGGATGACGAAGCGGTTCATCTTGCTGCAGAGCCTGCATATGAAGCCCGTGATCACGGCCTTGTCCGTGCTACCCATCTCTGCTGGCCCAGGTCTCTGCCCTGCGGCCCACGCACACCCAGCGCCCGCGTCTGTCCCGTTGTCCCCGGGTGCACGGGATTGGACAGGTGGACAGACTCCACGCGCGAGAGTCAGGGAAACGTATCGCGCCTCTTGCTCTCGTCCAGATCTTCTTTCAGAGTTTGTTTATCGCAGACTCCGTCACGGACACACCGAGCGCGCTCCAAGCGATGTCCAGGTCCAGGATCGTACGTGCCTCCCTCGTCACCCGCTCGCTTGGAAATTGTCAAGATTATATTTTGTTATTATTGTTATTTTATTATTATTATTATTATTATTATTATTATCAGTGTTTGCTGGTATCTAGACAAAATTGTCTAGATAATCATCTAGATAAAGAAATGGATCATCTTTATCTTTAATCAGATGAAGAGATATAAAGTATCTTTAGCTTTATCTTAGATGAAAAATATATATGTCATCTTATCTAAAGAATGTCTAAAATGACGTTTTCATTATGCAAAAAAGTTTTCCAGGCAAGCTTCTAAAAATTCTATCTAAAATATATTTTTCATATTATTATTAATATATTATAAATATATTATTATTATATTATTAATATATTATAAATATAAATTAATAAATAAATATTTATCATATGATTTATATATCTTTTTGCTATTATTTAAATATTCTTTAGGAAAAGAGAAAGAATGTGTGTTTATGATTTTAATATCCCATTTATAATCTGCGTCACATTTTTTATAAATATTTATAGTCTTCTAAAATAAACAAAAATATCTAGATAATTATCTAGATTGCAATAATTATCTCATCTTTCATCTAGATTAGTAAAAGCAAAATCATCTCTCTCTCTTCTAATCTTTCTCTCATCTAAGATAAATTTACGGATTTTTATCTTTATCATTATCTAGATAATTTTGAAATTATCTACAGCAAACACTGATCATTATTATTTTATTATTATTGTTGTTGTTTTTATTTTCGTTACCGCTGCAGCTGTAATTATTGTCGTCGTCCTGGTGCCAGGATTTCTAATTTCAGGACCTGCTCGATGATCCAGTTGTATTATTATGGTGGTAAGGGAAGTGGAACCAGGTGAAACGCGTGCAGCCCTGACGATCGCGATTGAAAGTTGATCCGAAAGCGGCTCTCGAGAAAGGGATGCGAAGGAATCAGCTGTCGCGAGCATCTGTCAAGCGCGATGTCTAATGTAAGAACGTGAATCTTTCTCTCTCTCTCTCTCTCTCTCTGGTTGGTTTTTTTTCTCTCGTCTCGTGTCTCGACGAATCAGCAATCTATAAATGCGATTGTTTATATTTAGATATATCAAAAGCGCGAAAAGAGAAATGGTAAAAGAAAATTGTATCTTTTTATTTTCCTTTTCTGGAAGATTTGGTAGATTAAATTATGAAGAAAATAAGATGTAAAATATTTTGCTTGAATTTGAAATCTGAATGAAAAAGAGATGAGAGCATTGTTGTAATTTCTCACTAAGCAATGTAACTGTTACCATATAACTGTTATATAACATATGTTATATAGTTATATAACTTATTTAGTGTTTGTTGGGTATTATATATTTTCACCTTAATATTGCTGGCTAATCGTATCTAGTAAATAAATTTAAATAGTACTCTAGCAAACATCAAGTAACATTTAATTGTTAATTGTAATTTCCCACTCAACAACATATCTGTTACATGTTATATAACTGTAACATGTTTTTAGTGGAAAATTATAACTAACAGTTATACAGTGCCTACCAAAAGTTCCGGGACGATCGAATATTTCATAAACTATGCACTTTAGAAAGAAATGTTTCAGACAAAAGTTGTATGGCTTGAAGGGGGCCATCAGATAGTGGCAATGATTTCACATGTGAGAGTCATTTGAAAGTCACGTGAAGTCACCGCCAATTTCTTAAATGGAACTCCCTATTTTTTATTACACATTCGTGTAGCTTATCTCGAGAGCTTTCCAAAACGCTATAATAAAGTATTTCTTTATTAAGTATTTTTCGAGTTATGAGGCTCGAAATAATTTCTCAATTTTACACAAACCATAAAATATCTAGCAAAATATTCATTTTTCGATTGCCTCATTCCAATACTTTTCTGTACCGAATAATGAGAGGAATCAATTGCCGTAAAGAAAACGCATAGTTGTTTAAAAGAAAAATCCAAAATGTAAATTGCAAATTACATATTTTTTCTTAAAAAACAACGCTCTCATGACACGAGAGAAGAGAATAATACAGTTGGAATTCGCGATTCGCGAACTGAAATCGCTTCCGGGAAAGTGCGCGCGAGCTCGATTTTTAAATCTCGACGCGCCCGGCGATCCAACATGGCGGCGATCAGCTGTGTTCTGTCACAATAGACACTCGCCTCGGCGAACGTTGGATAATTAATTAGCCCGATCTGCGCGGCGTGCGCCGATATCGGCGATCCTTTCCCACGATCCAGAGTCCTCGAGGATCCTTCGCGTCTCCCGCATCGCTCCTCCGTCCCCCGAGTCCCTTTTTTTTCCCTCCCCCGCGACCCGTCCACGGCCAGGCGTCCGAACTGTCCGAAGTGAGCGCCGAGTGGACGCGCAGCGCAGCCTTGCCGCACGAAAGCAATATGGTGGCGATGCTCGGGGACGGTCGAGCGAGCACGGGGGATGTTTAATAATATTGTCACCGTTGTCGCGGCGAGACGTGGATCGGTGACGGGCGCGAGTGATGAACTTGACGTGACCGAGAGCCTCTCGCTGGGCTGAAAGGACCTGGACACCATGTGCGATGTGTGCGTCGACTTTCACGATCTTCTGCTCTCCTGTAAGTGCGAGGATCGTACAGTAGCGCGCTTCCGTTCCCCGATTCTTAACCTATCCCACCCGCGGCTCCCCCGAGGGAGCGGGTCCTGCGCGGGGGGGAGGTCGTCCTGGAGGAGCGTGGTCGACGAGTCCGGGTCGGGAGGCACTTCTCGCGCTGGATCTCCCTCTCGGGAGAAGCAGGAAACCGCGAAATAGCGTCCTATAACCTTAGTTTGGGGGACCCTTCGGTGGCCAAGAACGTCCAGAGCGACTCTTCTTTAGCTTCTCTCGGGCTATTTTATTTATTATCGTCAGCTTCGAGGGAGTCTCGCATTTTTCGAGCCCTCGTCCTGATCCTGGGAGCCGGCTTCCCTCAGGATTTCTCCCTAAAATCGAATTTTCGAGCGTACACGTGTTGCAATGTTTCATCAACACGCTCCTCGAATAATTCCCGTTGAAGTTTGTATTCTTTTCTCGATGACTCTGAGTTTGTATTTTTTGAAAGATTTTTCAATATTTTCGAAAATAATATTGATTAATGTGAAAATATTTTTTTGCGATTTTTCGAAACTGTATATTTATTTATTTATCGAAACGAAAGATGCAATAGAGATATAATTTCTTGCAAATATACTTTTAATTTATGTTACATTAAATTAATTTTAATTTACATTTTCAAAGGAAATTTTTTATTACCATTTCTAACGTTTAATTTTTTCAGATGACGAACGTTCGTCGAAGGAACAGGATGCACTGGCGACGTTATGCATAACGGACGTCGACACGACATTGCATTATGTTAATCAATGGGTGCAAAGGTGTGTTAATTCATTCCATCTCTTATCTTTACTTTTCCTGCAAAGATGACATCCTCAAGTAAAAACCACTACGAAACAATGCAATGACATTTTCAAGACTACAACAATATGTCCCATGTGTGGAAATTTATCGATGCTTAATTTATCACACAGATAAATTATCTAATCAGTTATCTAATCATTAAAACAATTATCGAAATTTATTTAAATTCTGGATAAACATGAAAATTTTTTGTGAAAGCGAATCGCTACAGTGACAAGAATAACTGCTTCACAATAATAACTACTTTAGTGAACACTGCTACTATAATAATGAAAGAATATTAATAAAGTAATAATGATAATAAATAATAAAATAATAATGAAAGAATTTAATCAAGAATATTAATAAAATAATAATGAAAGAATTTAATCAACTTTATTACAAAATATTTATTTTTTTTTATTGATTTTATTGCAAATATTTTTGTTGTTTTTTAATTGATTTTCTTGCAAATATTTAGATATGAAATATGTTTACATCGTGACCCTTTCTTTTTCTTTTCCAGGCAATGTATGTGCTGTTATCGTGAAATTAAAAATTTTGATCGGTTTATAAGACTAACTCAGAGCATCGTACTCTGTACATTACAACAGTTACAAGTGATACAGCAAAATGAAGATGTCGCCAAGGAGGCTGTTGAAGAGGGGAAAGAGGAGGAAGAGAAGAATAGTAAGCGAAAGTCCAGCGATAACGCAAGTGATGCACAAGTGGAAGCTCAGACGAAACAGAGCTGGTCGCAGCAGGATAGGGAAAGATTGTTTCATCTCCTCTCGAAAATTTTTTTATTAAACTTTCCTCTCTATATCGCTATGAAACACGGCGGTGTAATCAATCCTTTAGCTCCTGTCAAGGTAAGACTCTTGTGCGATTCACAGATTATGTTGCTGTTCATTATACACAATTTTTATTGAATTTATTATATTATTTATTATATTATTTATCATATATTAAATATTGTTATTTATTATTATTATTAATTTTATTATCATTATTTATTATATTATTATTATTATATTATTTATTCATTATTTTATTTTATTATTTTATTATATTATTTATTATATATTAAATATTATTATTATTTATTATTATTAATATTATTATATTATTTATCATATATTAAATATTATTATTAATATTATTATTTATTATATATTATATTATTTATTATATTATTATTTTATTTAATTTTATTGAACTTTATAACACTTCTAATTGATAGGACGAAGGTGGCTACTGCGAACCGCACGATCCCGAGGTGCCAGCGCCTTTGATCCGTGCTGTATCTATATTTTGCCATCAAGGAGGCTTTAATTTGATGTCCGCTTGTTTCGATATGGAAAGCACACTGCCTGTTAGCCTTGCGCATTCTATGGTTGCAGTTATTTGTAATCTGAAACTTTGGTTAAACTACGGTAGCGTCATTCAACTATTTATACCATTACGCAGTCGTGTTATGAAGTACATGTGTCGTTTAGGGGACAAGGAATTGCGTACTCCTGCTGTCAGGACAATGGCAGGTACGTTTATGAAGCTAAAAGACTCTCAAGGTTCACGCGATTCGCATTATTCATCTCGTAAACTTTCCTAGATTTCATGTGGAGCGCGGTCAAGGATCCAATAGACGCCGTATTACCGAGCTTCGACCGCGATGGGCTCGACCTGGCATTTAAATACTTTACTAGTACAACTTTGACTATGAGGCTGGCTGGCGTAGCCCAGATAAACGCTCACATCACGGCTTCCAACGAGCTCTGCAACAGCGAGACCGTTGCCGAGGTCGAGCAAGTGGGCCATGCGCTTGCCGCCTGGTTGACCGAGAACAACATTATAGCTCACATATTCGGACCAAACTTACACGTAGAGGTTATCAAGCAGAGTCACATTATATTAAGCTTCCTAGCCATGGAGGGTAGAATTACGTCCTCGGACATGGACACCATGTGGCAAGCCGCGCAATTGAAGCACTGCGGTCGTCCAGTTTACGATCTGTTGGCACCCTTGGTCAAACATCTGGCTCCCACTCCTGTACTTCACCTATACTCTTTGCTAGGAAAACTAGAACCTAAGGATCACACGGAGCAAAGCTTGTTCCTGGCGTCTGCCTTGATCAAATTTATCTGGACGTCCGGTCGTTCGGCTTATCCGAGGGGTCTGGTGATGAAGAACAGGGAAATTTTGAGGAGCACCAGCGGAGTTGGTGGAAGTAGTAGCAGTGATCCGAGTGGTATGGACGGCAGTAGTCCGGAAGACGATGAGGAGGAGCCTAGTCCGACTCTGTCCGATGGACCGTCGCCTAGAAAACAAGCAAGGGCCGATAGCAGCGATGGCGAAGGTAATGTGAAGACTAGAGACCAGGAGACCGAACTAGGCTTGATAGAGTGAAGCCGAACTTTTGATACAGTCGTAAATCAAGGTCCAAGACTCGTATGTCTATCATCAACATCTTTCAGATGTGTAAGGATATTGTACGTATTGCCTCAGTTATAATGAGATAACTATTATTTTTCTAAAATGCTACTACTTACAAAGCACATTTTAAAGTCTTCTTTGAAGTCATTTATTTTGAAATTATTATAAACCAATTACTTCAAGACTCGCGTATTTTTCGGTAGCTTATAAAGTAGCCAGAGCTACAAGTGGACAAATTTGGAAATGATAACTTTTTCGGTACAGTTTGGTGGCTCTAATCAGGCATAGTTCGGTCTCCTGGTTCTAGTCTTCCTAGTACGTAACTTGTTCAATTAAATGTCTAATACGTCTGTTGTATCTTTAGGACATTACAAAGGAAAGAATCTGACGACCACCACCATCGAGTCGAGTCTTAATGAAATCGAAGACTTAAATTCTGAAAAATTTGACTGCAATAGAGAATTGCCTAAAGATTCATCGGCGAGTGCTATTCGCGAGGATATCAAAAATAAGCAGAGCGGATCCGACGCCGAAGCGGACACGGAGAAATCCAATACGGAGGAAATGTTTGTACACGAGAAGAAAAAGCGAAAGATCCTGCGCAAGCGAAAGAGACCGCAGAAGCGTTCCTTGAGCGCCGTTGAGAAAGCGCTGGAAGCCATCGTCGGTCAAGACGATGCTGTGAAATCCAAGGATTTGCTCGTAGATGCGAAAGGCAGAACGGAAGATGTGCTAAACAGCAGTTTGGACGTGGGCGCTTTAACTTCCTTAGACGAATCGAAGAGCGTCGACGCGTTGGACCGCGTCAAGCAACAAGCGATAGCTCTGGACCCAAACGACCAGCAAGTTCCGACCACGGCGGCGCTACTGAGACGCGCCAACAAGAATAAATACATGTCTATAGTGGGATACAACGTGGACCGAGCGGCTGACTCGGCGGACAGTTCACACGACGAGGACGACAGCGACGTGGCGGGGGTTCTCGCTGCCGCGGACGGTCCTGGAGCGGTGATATCTGAACTAGCCGGCCTAGTGCACGCCACCGGTCCCACGTTCCTGCCTTCAGGCTTGGATGAGATGCTCTCCGACGAAGAAGGCTCCTACAGCAGCAGAATATCGAACAAGAGTGAAAAGAACATGGCCGACTTTGACGGCGAGGAAAGCGGTTGCGAGGAAGAATTGGCCCAGTTGGCGGCGCGTCATCTGACCGCTATTCAAATGCAAGCCTATCATCCTCATCACTCGCACTCGGCCATGATTAGAAGATCGGTTTGCCAACCGCCGCAAGTGCGAGCTGCTCGGCAAACGGCCACTAGATTGAGCTCGCAATTTAATCTGGATACAGTTTGTAAGCCAGGTAATACATTGCTGTGGGATCTTCTTCAAGATGACAAGATCGGGCAGCTGGGCGAAGGCCTAGCTTTGGAGGCGGAGAAGGCTCTGTGCAATCTCTTGTGTTTTAACGTCGATCGCTTGATCCCGATGAAATTCATAGAAGGCTGCCTAGAGAACCTGGCGACCAATCATTCCGTGGTTGTGTCTCTAAGATTGTTACCAAAGCTGCTCGCGAGCTTCCAGCAATTTGGTGCGATGGACGCGCATACGATTACGACCTGGGCCGATCGTGAGCGCGGCATGATGAAACATTTCTTCAATAACTTGAAGACGTACACCAGCACGGGACCCAAGAGCAATTTGTATTCGCACCAGACGGAAATACAAGTCAGACTACAATTTCTGTCGTCGATCTTCTCGCCTTTAGGTTCGCCCGATTGCTTCCGTTTGAGTTTAGAACAAGTGGATATACTATGGCAATGCTTATCGCAAGATCCAATCTGCGCGGACGAGCTCTTCAGTTGGTTGCTCAGTCAAGCAAAGTCTACGGAGCAACACGCCTTGGGGATGGATACACTCAAGCATTTATGCATGCGCAAATTACCGAGCCTACCACCGGAAACTATCAGTATGACAGGCCTAAGTCTGTTTCAGCAATTGTGCAATTTGGCGCGCTTGGCTGCGGCGCATCTGGACAGACCATTAAGAGATGTGGACTCGGTAGGTATGGACTTCTTGTGGCGGATCGCCTTGAAAGCGAAAAGCACTGACGTCAGTATGGCAGCTATACAGTACCTCAACGGCTATTACATGTCGCGACAGCTAACGCAAGAGGCGGAGTTTGTTTCCCAGTGCATGACGCATCTCGCGGCGGCCAGCGCCGATCTCGAGAGCAACGAAGAGGCCAGTTTGCGCTGCATACAGCGCGCCCTGCTCCTGCTGAGGACGCACTTGGAAGCTTTTCGAAAACGCTACGCCTATCACTTGCGCCGCTGGGTGTTGGAAGGCAGAGGCGTTGCCAGCCAATGCTACGTAGCTATGAATACATCCGACAAAGGCCAACAATTGAGAATCTTTGTGCAACCTGCTGGTATACCGGAGAAAACGAGTTTCACTCTTCTCAACACCGATTACGTGGCGGATTTGCGAGCTGAAGTAGCCAAATGGTGGGACGATACGCAGAATACTCAAGAAAAGTCCGCGGTTTCTGCGAACGCCAGCCAGAATGGCGGCTCGGTTTTGGGATCGTTGCTTACAGATGGTCCCATCAGAATGATCACTCAGGGGCAAGAATTAACTATCGACTTTGACGAAAAGACCCTGCAAGAAATGGGCTTCAAGGATGGACAATTGGTATTTATTTCACCTGGTGCCAGTAGAGGTAACGGTGGCGGTGGTCGCTGCAGCAAACGGGACATGGATTCACCCTCACTATTACCACCCCCTCCTAGAGAATCGTTGCCAACCTTACTGTTGCTCCGACCGCAGTACTTTGAGCAGCTGTTTACGCTAATGAGAACACTCAGCGCGATGAAGACGACCGTGAAGGGTGGGCAAGAGATACCTCATACGAAGGCGCAAGTACTCTCGAGGAGGGTTTGGGACACGCTTACTCTGCTACCGACGAGCCCAACTTTATTGCGAGGTTTCCAAAAACTCGGCGAGACATCCCTTCAAGAACTACTCGATCCGGCGAGTCCGCAAAAGCTGATGTATTCCCTTTACATAGTCGAGTCTTTGAGTCGACGAGGTACGACGAGTCAACCGTCATCGAGCAACTCCACCGCTTCATCAACCGTTGCGTCGGCTCATCAAGGTGGCGGGGACGCGGACGACAATCAGGATGACAAGGAGAAAGACGTGGCTTGGTCTACGCTGTTTGTACAACACGGTGGACTCCGACACCTCTTCGATATCTTTATGTCAGGTTGTCTGGAGCAGGGAGATGGCAGCGAATGGCAGCAAGATTGCCTCGCCAGTTTGTTGAAGCAACTTTGTCATCTGGGCGTCGTGAAAGAGGAAAAGAAACGCAATAAAACGGACAAGCCGCTGTTGGTGCCCAAGCTGAGCGAGGCCATGCTCAGAATGATGAATGTGGACACAGTCATGCCAAGGATAACGAGTATTTTAAATGACGCCTCGTTACCACTCGATCCAAATCATTACAAGACCGGACTCTTTGGACGATCACAAGTGATACATTACGCCATGGCGCTGTTGGTTTGCTGGGTGCACAGCAATCCAACGGTACGACAATATCTTTTCTCCTCGTCCGAGCCTTTCGGGAAAACATGGCTGCGTAGACTGATACTGGAAGATCCCGAGCCAGCAGTGAGACGCGAGGTATGCACGGCTCTATACAAACTATGTTTAGGTAGCACTGGAGTGGAGGATGACAACTCGGAACAGATGCCGGGGTTGATAGTACCCATGTTAAACACTCTGCTGGAGCATCTCGTGATCGCCGAAGCTATGCAACCCTCTCACCGCAAACCGGACTTGCCCCTGCATCTGCATCCAGTCCTGGACGAGGGAAAGGAGCCCTATGGACCAGCTTGTAAGGACTACTTTTGGTTGGTATGTCGCCTGGTGGATTCTCTGCCGGACGAGGCGATTCGAGAAAGTACGGACGAGACTTCCGGCACGACTATCGACCTCGAGGCGCTGGCCATTCGCGTGATCGACTCCGTACTCGATCGGGGACACCTGGAGACGCGGCACAACACGGTGGAAGACGACGCTTTGGTTGGATTGATTAATCTCACGTGCAACATCATGACGCATAACCCTCCCTGCAAACAGGGGAAGATCGGGCAGAATCTGTTGGACCAGGTATTCGACTTTCTGTTTGCCTTGCCGAATCCACGGAGCAAGCACGTGCCCAAGTGTAAGAGCCAAGCGTCCAGGTCGGCCGCTTTCGACCTTCTAGTCGAGCTGGTGAAATCGGCGCCTGATAATTACAGAATCCTGCACGAGAAGTTACTTGCCCAGCACCGTCCAGGACCGCATTCTCCGTACCCGTGGGATTACTGGCCCCACGAAGATGGACGCTCCGATTGCGGCTACGTAGGCTTGACGAATCTTGGCGCGACGTGTTACATGGCCAGTTGCATGCAACATCTGTACATGATGCCGCAGGCGCGCGTGTCCATCCTGGGCGCTGATTGCAGTCGTGCCAACAAGCATCAGCTGACCCTGCGAGAACTGCAGAGGATGTTTGCGTATCTATTAGAGTCCGAGAGGAAGGCGTACAACCCGAGGAGCTTCTGTCGCGTGTATACGATGAACCACGAGCCGCTGAACACTGGCGAGCAAAAAGACATGGCCGAATTCTTCATCGATCTCGTCTCCAAGTTGGAGGAGATGACCGCCGACCTGAAAAACTTGGTCAAGACGCTGTTCTGCGGCGTGATATCCAACAACGTCGTCTCGCTCGATTGTGAGCACGTTAGCAGGACCCTGGAGGAATTCTACACCGTCCGTTGCCAGGTGGCGGACATGAGGAACCTCTACGAGAGCTTGGACGAGGTCACGGTCAAGGATACGTTGGAGGGCGACAACATGTACACGTGCTCGCAGTGTGGGAAGAAGGCGCGCGCTGAGAAACGAGCGTGTTTCAAGAAACTCCCTCATATATTGTGCTTCAATACGATGCGCTACACCTTCAACATGGGCACCATGTTGAAGGAGAAGGTCAACACGCACTTCAGCTTCCCTCTTAGACTCGACATGTCCGGTTACGTCGAGAAGAAGCTGATGCCGCAGCATTATCAGGACGAGAAGAAGGCGGTGTCGTCCGAGAAGAGAAAATCCGAGAACGATGGCCACTCGAGATCCTTACTGGTGGACGACGTGGAGGACCAGGTACAGCAGGAGGAAATGGAGCACTATCAATACGATCTGATCGGCGTGACTGTTCATACGGGGACTGCGGACGGTGGGCATTATTACAGCTTCATCAGGGATCGCACGTCCCCCAACAAGGACAAGTGGTTCCTGTTCAACGACGCCGAGGTCAAGCCGTTCGATCCGAATCAGATCGCGGCCGAGTGCTTCGGCGGCGAGATGACCAGCAAGACGTACGACTCGGTGACGGACAAGTTTATGGACTTCAGCTTCGAGAAGACCAATTCGGCGTACATGTTGTTCTACGAGTGGTGCGCCGATCCTGGCGACACGAAAGAAGAGGAGGCTACCGTGTCGAGTCCCACAGCTGATAACAGTGCGGATAATAACAGTGGACGACCGTCGTCCTCGTTGGTGCGCAATAACGTCAACAAGCTGCCGCCGCTGGAGCTCAACAAGGAGCTGGAAGACTGGATCTGGCAGGACAACATGCACTTTTTACAGGACAAGAATATATTCGAGCACACGTACTTCGGATTCATGTGGCAGGTATGCGGCTACATCCCCCAGACGCTGCTGTCCGTGCAGCCGGACATCACGGAGATGTCCGCGGAGCTGTCGACGTCCTTCTTTATGGAAACCTTCATACACGCCAAGGAGAAGCCGACGATGGTGCAGTGGGTGGAACTGTTGACGAAACAATTCAACGGATCGACGGGCGCTTGCGCGAGGTTCCTCGAGCGGATGGCCGGCGACTCGTGGTGGCCTATTCAGATTCTAGTCAAGTGTCCTAATCAGATGGTCAGGCAGATGTTTCAGCGGCTCTGCATCCACGTGATTCAACGATTGCGCGCTACTCAGGTGCCTCTGTATCTTCTCTGCGACGAGGAGAACGATGTCAACACCGTGGGCACGCGATCCTGCGTCACGCGATTCGTCAGGATGTTGCTGTCGCTGATGGAACACGCCAAGCAGCACCTCAAGCATCTCACCGAGTACTTTAGCTTCTTGTACGAGTTCAGCAAGATGGGCGACGACGAGGCTGTCTTCCTCATCAGGGTGCAGGCCATCTCTACGATGGTGAACTTTTATCTCGGACACAAGACGCACGAGTTCGTCGACGCGGTTAGCGAAGAGGAGGAGGAGGAGGAAATAGTGACCGTGCCTTCGGAGAAACTCCGACCCGCGTCCCTGGATAAGATGATTATGTTGATTGCCTACTTGGTCGAGCGCAGCAGAGGCCAGGATCATAGACTGGCCCTGTCGCCAGCGGATTTGAGCGCCGTGGCAGGTGGCAAAGGCTTCCCCTTTCTGTACCAACAAACGAGGGACGTCATTAATCTCACTCAGACCAGAAACTTGATTCAATCGTTGTGCCGTTGGAACGATAGACTAGCCATACACGTCGTCACGATGATATTCCAGGCGATAATGAAGCACACGGACGTATGCCAACCCTTTTTCAAGCTACTAACCCTTTTGACGGAGAGCTCGGGACTAAGCGGGCTGCCCTGCATGACCCAACTGATCCTGGGTAGGGTCTGGGAAGCGGCGAGAGTCGCTCCTCATGGCGCCCTCGAGTGGTTGGCTCTCGCGGTGACGAGGAGCAAGCTGGCGCACGCCTGGGTCCTGCAAGGACTCGACACCTGGCTCCAGCACTTCCTCCTCGAGCATTCCAATCAGAGAGTTCGTTCAGCCGCAGCCTTTCTACTGGTGTCATTGGTCCCTTCCACCCACTTTCGACAGGGTTACCGCACCGCTCATCGGCTCAATCTTGGCTGCAACTCGTCCAGAGAGCTCCAACTGTCACCGGAGGCTACTCTGATCCTGCATCAGATATATACGGCGCTCTTGAGACTACTGCAACCCGCGCGACATTACATCGACATACAAACTCACGGTACAATGAAACTCACTGCCTACTTTGCATTGCTCACATACTGCGTAGTCTCCAAAACCGAAAAGTTAATGGTGAGTTAATGTTGGGTGATCCTCTCTTGTAGAGCAAGAGAGAGAGGTCTAGCGAGTCTGAGTGAATAGATAAATGTCTGATTGCTTCATTCGCAGTTTGGGCAGTATCTCAATGACCTATGGACGCTTTTCCACCCGAAGCTCTCGGAACCGAGTATCCCGGTGCATCACAACAAGCAGGCGGTTCTCTTGTTCTGGTATCACGTCTGCTCCGATTGCCCAGAGAATGTCGCTATGATACTCCACAATCCTCACATAACTAAGAATATTGCATTTAATTACATATTGTGAGTATCACACACTTTGTCATCTGGTTCTTACATCTCCTGAATTTTTATGTATTTTGCAGAAATTTTGTTTTTAAACAATTATTACAAAATTGTGTCGCTTCCCAGCAAAACACCAAGTATCATTTATATCACTGTTGATTGTAATTTCGACAATATAATAACTAACAGTTATACAATTGTTATTTGGGGTTTGCTGGGTTATACAGGGTGTCCCATTTTAATCGATCACCCCGTATAACTTTTTTAATTTTGATTATAGAAAAAAATGTTTCAGACAAAAGTTGTATGGCTTGAAGGGGGACATAAGATGGTGTCATTGATTTTATCTTGAAAAGTCGTTTGAAGATCACGTGAAGATCACCTCCAACTTTTCAAATGGGACACCCTATATACTTTTGCATATTCTCGTAGCTTACCTCAAGATCTTTTTAAAACGCTATAATGAAGTATTTTTCTATTGAGTGCTTTCCGAGTTATGAGACTTGAAATCATTTCTTAATTTTACATAAATCGTAAAATATCTAATAAAATATTCATTTTTCGATTATCTTACCTTAATATTTTTACGTATAAAATAATGAGAGGAATCGAATGGTGTAAAGAAAACATGTAGTTGTTTTTTAAAAAAAATGTGTAACTTGCAATTAGCAATTACATATTTTTTCTTAAAAACAACTGTGTATTTTCTTTACACCAATCGATTCCGCTCATTATTTTGTACATAAAAGTATTAAGGTAAGATAATCGAAAAATGAATATTTTACTAGAAAAATGAATATTTTACTATTTTACGGTTTATGTAAAATTAAGAAATGATTTCAAGCCTCATAACTGGAAAACTACTCAATAAAAATATACTTTATTATAGTGTTTTGGAAAGCTCTCGAGATGAACTATAAAAATATCCAAAAGCATATATGGTGTCTCATTTAAAAAGTTGGAGGTGATCTTTATGTGACCATCAGATGACTCTTCAATGTCAAACTAATGACACCATCTTATGCCCCCCTTCAAGCCATACAACTTTTGTCTGAAACATTTTTTTCTACAAGCAAAATTAAAAAAGTTATTCGGGGTGATCGATTGAAATGGGACACCCTGTATGAAAGAGATGTATAAAAGCACATGTGCAACATGATGTATTCAGCCTGTATATCATTCCAAAGACTGTAATCAAATGCACACAATTACTATTTAAGACACATGAGAATTAATTTTCTTTTTATATTTAACAAATTGCATCTTGTTCATTGTAGAGCTGATCACGAAGACCAGGATGTCGTGCTATTTAACAGAGTTATGTTACCCGCTTATTACGGCCTCTTGCGACTTTGCTGCCAGCAATCGCGCACTTTTACAAGACAATTGGCCGCGCATCAGAATATCCAATGGGCATTCAAAAATATCACTCCTCATCCTACTCAGTATTCAACCGTAAGCTCTTCAGAGAATCACTTATTAAGCGTAGAGGTTGACGTTATTCGGATCAATTTCTATTTAGTTTGCTCGAATAACATTTTGCTGGAAATCTTTCCTCAAACCGGTCCTTCCACAGGCGGTGGACGAACTGTTTAAACTGATGCAGTTGTTAGTCGCGAGACATCCTGATCAAACGGAACAAGAAGAGGCGGAGATCGCATCGTTCAGGAGAGGCACGCTGTCCTCTTACTTACAAGGACTCGATGGTCGTTCATGCTGGGCAACTCTCATCTCTGCTTTTCGGTATCATAATGATTATAATTGTATCTTCTACGAAAAATATGAGAGAACGATATACAGGGTGTCCCATTTTTAAGGACCTGCTCAAATATCTCAGAAACACTGCGTTAAATCGAAAAATGTTTCAAATAAAAGTTGTGTGGTTTCAAGGGGACCATAAAATGGTGGCAAAAATTTAACCTTGAATAGTTACGTGAAGATCACCTTCAATTTTTAAATGGAATCCCATATTATTTATTACATATTCTTGTAGCTTATCTCGAGAGCTTTCCAAAACACTATAATAAAGTATTTTTTCATCAAGTACTTTTCGAGCTATGAGGCTTGAAATCATTTCATAATTTTTTTACATAAACTATAAAATATCTTGTAAAATATTCATTTTTCGATTATCTTATCTTAATACTTTTATGTACAAAAAAATGAGAGGAATCATTTGGTGAAAAGAAAACATACAGTTATTTTTAAGAAAAAATATGGAATTGTTAATTGCAAATTACATATTTTTTCTTCGAAACAATTATGTGTTTTCTTTATACCAATTGATTCTTCTCATTATTTTGTACAAAAAAGTATTAAGGTAAAATAATCGAAAAATGAATATTTTACAAGATATTTTACGATTTGTAAAATTGTAAAATTAAGAAATAATTTCAAGCCTCATAACTCGAAAAGTACTTGATGAAGAAATAGTTTATTATAGTGTTTTGGAAAGCTCTCGAGATAAGCTACACGAATATGTAATAAAAAATAGGCGGTTACGTTTAAAAAATTGAGGGTAACCTTCACGTAATCTTCAAGTAACTATTTAAAGTCAAATTAATGACACCATCTTATAGCCCCCTTGAAGCCACATAACTTTTGTTTGAAACATTTTTCGATTTAACGCAGTGTTTCTGAGATATTTGAGTGGGTCCTTTAAAATAGGACACCCTGTATCTTAATATTGAGACTGTATCATCTAATCTTTTCCTCTTTTCAGGATTCTTATCGAATCGGACGACGATCGTTTATACGTTGTTTACAACGGTGGCTTGAGCATGGCCCTCGAAGCATTTCACATGCTGCATATAATGTATCACGAGGCTACGGCTTGCCACGTTGCCGGCGACCTGGCCGAATTGATCGCCATTATTGTCGAGCTCGTGCGATGCGTTCGTACCGCGAGAGACGGACCGGACGCCAGAAACATTCTCGCCAACTGCAAAGAGTGGCCCGATATACTTCGCAAGCTGGCAACCTTACTGAACACGTACAACCCCCCGGACATGAGAAACCTGGCTATAGACCTTTTAAAAGAGCTGGTAATGCTCGTTCCTGCCGAAGCAATACTGATCCTAGCGCCATTACTCTCGCACTGCCACGCAGCCCTTCAGGAATCCCACGCCGCAGTCCCGCCCGGGCCGTATCTTCCGCGAAGATCCACTCCGCCTGGGAAGATGCCCACCAGACCCGCCAGGCCCATGGTGCAAATGGCGGTGCCCCATTCTCAGCTGGAGGCGTCGAAAGGAGTGGATCCGGAGTACGATAGCGCCCTGCTTGAATTTTACTTACCTTATCACGAACTAATAGATGTCATGTGTAGATTGGCGATAAATAACGATTGTATGACGGACGCGTTAGTGAATTTGAGCGCTATGCTCGGCTTCGAAGGTGAATAGTGATAGAAACTAAACGCCACGCGAGAGTAGCGCCAATTCTAATTCATCTTATGTTTGCAGGTGTACCTTTGCACTTGGCTCTGTTTCCTAGGTTGTGGTTAGATGTACACGCCGCTACACATATAGACAGAAAGCATATAGCGTCACTCCTATGTTCTTCCTACACGGTAGATTACGTGGACGCAGTGTTGCTAGACGAGAGATCGTCGTTAGGAGTGCCGGCGATACACGCCTTTCTCAAAACTTTCTTTCCCAAGCTGGCCGGCCACGTGCTGACCGAGCAAACGTGCTTGCTCATCGACAACCTGGTCAGCTCGTTGACGGCGATGGTCGAGGCGGTGGACGTCGAGGCGTCGGCGCACAGGCTGACCGGGGACCTGCGCGCCCTCGCTCTCGTTTACAGCAGCAGCACAAGACTGAAGCCATCCTCCAGCCTGTTGCCGGCCCTGGAGACCCTGCTGTCGCGAACACGGACTATCACGGTGAAGGAGAGCCGTACGTCGTCGGACGTCGAGTCGCCTTCCAAGCGGCGTAGATTGTGCGGCGACGGTCAACCGGTCGACAAGGACCTGTGCGCGCCCATCAACGATATCGACATGGAGAACAATATCTCCGAGGCGGAGCTGGACAAGGCGGACACGGTCAACGACACGATGTCTTCCGACTCCGGGGACGACAAGGCCGCCACTGCCAGGCACAAATCGGGCAACGTTCAGGCGGAGACGATCGCCACCAGCGGCGCGGTCTCGCCGCCTCGTCTGGTCACCACCGCCAACAGTTGTACAAATCAGTTGCGCTGCTCGTTGACCAACGTCTCGTGGCTCGAGATGCTGGAGAAGACCATCGTCGATCTTCAGACAATCGTGCAAGTGCAAAGCAAGAGTAACTAATGCAATTGCGACATGATACGTAGGCAGATATACTGACAGCTACGCTGCCACACGAGTAACGGGACGCACGACGATCAGCTGCACGACGTGTAAATGTGTGCGATCCTCTGCGCTGATAGGGTTTTACGCTTCTGCGTGTGTTTGCGCTCCTCTGAAATTGGATATAACTTCATTCACAATATGTATCGTATGTATGTATCGAGTCCGACTGCGATTTACTTTCCAAATATAGAAGAATAAGATATATTTTCGTTATTTTTCGTGACTTAAGAGCTACGTTAGGTTGAAATGCATCAAATCGGGAGGTCGTATCATACTTTTTTTTTTTTCATCCGCACACGTTCGTTAGTGCTGTGAGATAGATTGCTTGCCAAGACTCGAGCACTCTAACGTGCAATATACCGTACACCGTTCAGTATTCAAAAAATTAAAATATGAAGGATGTTGGGAATTTTTCAAAGGCATTTCTTGCAAATCTCGCTATCTCAAACAAACTTTATTGACGCTGCAAATTAATTAATTTCATCAATTTAATTTCGCTTATGTACGAAAGGAATCACAGGGTTTAAGAAATCGTTCGAGTAAGGACAGATGAGACACGGTACGTTTGATTGTTGGCGCAAAAATTTCCTCTGCATCCCTCTTGTTCGTTTCGTTCATTTTTTGACACGCATGAAGTCTCGAAAAATATTCATTTCATCAGCAAGAATGATTTTAGACATTTGTTTTCTGGAGCCGTTATCCTACAAATTTGTCACGCGTGCACAATCAGATCTCTTATTATTCCGTCGATAAGATTCGTCAATTTTAGGCAAAGGTTTCATTGATTTTCCATTTTTCAAGCCAACTATTTTGTTTTCGGAAAAGACGAAATCAATATTAATTATTATCAATCAATATTAATTAATTTATTTCCGTTTACGCGCACAATACCTAGTGTACATTATTACTAAGGAAAGACAAATAAAAGAGAATTCATTGATACATATTTATTACGGCAATTTTGATGCAGTATCTATAACTGATACATGAAGATAATCCTATACGTAAAGAAAATCCATAGCACATTGTTGTAATATTGCGGAAATATTACAATGTTGCTCCAATATTGCTGCAATGCTTACAGAAATGTTGCTGCAATATTGTTGTAATGTTTACAATGTTGCTGCAAATATTTCTGTAATGTTACGACAATGTTGCTGCAATATTTCTGTAATATTTACAACAATATTGCTGTAATGTTTACAATGTTGCTGCAACATTGCTGTAATGTTTACTGCAAATATTTCTATAATGTTACGACAATGCTGCAATATTGCTGCAATATTATTGTAATGTTTACAGCAACGTTGCTGTAATATTGCTGTAATGCTTACAGCAATATTGCTGCAATGCTTACAGAAATGTTGCTGCAATATTGTTGTAATGTTTACAATGTTGCTGCAAATATTTCTGTAATGTTACGACAATGTTGCTGCAATATTTCTGTAATATTTACAACAATATTGCTGTAATGTTTACAATGTTGCTGCAACATTGCTGTAATGTTTACTGCAAATATTTCTATAATGTTACGACAATGCTGCAATATTGCTGCAATATTATTGTAATGTTTACAGCAACGTTGCTGTAATATTGCTGTAATGCTTACAGCAATATTGCTGCAATATTACAGCAATGTTCTGTGCCGTATAAGACCTCGTAATTTGTACGGAGCGTTAAAAGTTCAAGTTCTTTATGGATTAATGTAAGATCTGATGACAAAGTTTGTTAGTATATTTATTTATATTATTCAGCGCTTCGACGAATCGAATGTAAGCTGTTTTTTTTCCATTTCACACCGCTTAATTACGTCTTTTTTTACCCGACAAATGTCTCTCAAACTTTTGTTGTAAGCGACCGCAACTTTTCTACAGTCGCCGGCCGGCTCTCTCTCTCTCTCTTGCGTTAAAACACGTTTACATTAAATCCACATCTCACATCACGAATGAACAGAAAGTCGCGAGACATTTTCAACAAGCTGAGCATTCGAGCCAAAATGTATTTATTCCCGAAGGTCAGCTGGAAATCACTTTTTCATGGCGTTCTCATAATCGTCGAGCTTGCCGGATAATGGTACTAAGAATAGCGTCGTCTAATTATTAAAAATCATGCTGCTTCTGCATCGCAGTTGTACCTCGGAGTGAAATATATATGATGGAAGTGTGTATAGTCTACGAGGGAGAGGTTTATATAATTTCCCGCCTGTCATCCGCGATACGACTGCAATGCTAGATCAGGAACTTGGAGGAGAAAGCTCACGGGGAAGATGCGCGTGTACAGATATGCTGGTCGACTGTTTAATAGAAAACTTTATTCCGCATTAATAACTAACGCTCTCGTTCTCTAGATGTTCCGTAAGCGACTTTATATATGTATATGTTGCCGAATCCGAGGAAGCAGACGCGTTCGATAGGCTCGTGCACGACGATAAAGCAAGTGTCCGCTTGATGCAGTGTATATTATCTTAAATGTGTCGCTACATTCGATGTACTTGTAACGAAAATGAAAAGAACGGAAGAAATATCGGCTCTCTCTCTCTCTCTCTCTCTCTTTCTCTCTTTTCTCCACGAAAAATGCGTTTATTCTAAACTTTGATTAGCATGAAATTATATAAGCATTATACGATGAAAAAAGCGAGAGAGGAAGGGGATAATTAACAAGATAGGTAAACTGTGGAAAGTGTATTTAAAATGAGAATCGCAATTAAAGTCGGCGATTTTTAATTGCGATTAGATTTATATATTTAATTAATTCTTTGTAAAATAAAGAGTCGATATAAAACAATTAACTTTAATTACTTTTAATAAATTAATATTAATTTTAATAAATTAATATTAATTTTAATTAATTTAATCCGCGATCAATCACGTCGACGTCAAGTATACATACGCAGAATTTCCACAGTTCTATGGCGAATATTTGCTTAATAAAAGCTCCGTTTAAAGTGTATGTACGTGTATATAAAATATTAATATTAATCATTAATATTTTATAGAAAATATTTTATATAAAATATATGTAAAATATTTTATACTTAAAATATTTAATTATAAAATATTTTAAATATTTTAAATAAAATATTTAATTATAAAATATTTTATAATTAAATTTTATTTAAAATATTAATATTGATATTTTATGTCTACGTATACGTTGTACATATATATACGATTCACTTGGAACAGCGAATTTTAATTTTGCAAAAAATCCGAAAAATCATTCGCACATCAATTAATGCATGAAGAAAAGATAGAAAGAAGAGCATTTACATATTTCAACATTAAAATATGATGGCACACGTAGCATATTTGTGCTCTCGTTGACTTTTGACACTCTCGAAATATCGGCAACGATTTATGAACGGTGCACGTTTGAAGATAAAAAGGCACTCGCGACGATGAGAAAAATGTTTATCAAGACTGTGTAAAAATTTTTAAGCGCACATTTTTAAGCGATACATTGAACTTTTTTTTCCCGTTTTTCATTTAGTCCATCCCAGCCGCGGAAATCGTTCTGTCAGGGTTTACATCTTTGGCCATGTGTCCACGTATTCTCGTTTTACCTATTCATTATTCATTAAGATGTATAGTTTTTTTTTCGAGCGATATATAATATAATAAAAGTCTCCTCATTTTAAAATGAAACATCCATGTATTCTGCCGTACATCCCGTCAGAAATATGTAGGACTATGATCTTGAAGATGGAGTCGTCCAATTGTTGACGATGAGAAAAAAGTGATTCTATAAAAAAAAAAATAAGAAATTTAATTTGAAATTTTTCCTTTATACACATTAGCTTTATTTTTCGGAAAACCCATTTTTGGAAATTGACGAGTAAAGTTTCAAAGTTTTGTTCAAAAGAAACTTGAATCAATTGGTAAAGAAAATTAGTAAAGAAAACACATAATTATTTCGAAGAAAAAATATGTAATTTGTAATTAACAATTACATATTTTTTCTTAAAAACAACTGTGTGTTTTCTTTACACCAATCGATTCCTCTCATTATTTTGTACATAAAAGTATTAAGATAAGATAATCGAAAAATGAATATCTTGCTAGATACTTTATGGTTTATGTAAAATTAAGAAATTATTTCAAGCCTTATAACTAGAAAAGTACTTAATAAAAAAATACTTAATTATAGTGTTTTGAAAAGATCTTGAGGTAAGCTACGAGAATATGCAAAAATATATAGGGTGTCCCATTTAAAAAGTTGGAGGTGACCTTCACGTAATCTTCAGGTGATTCTTCAAGATCAAATTAATGGCACCATTTTATGTCCCCCTCGAAACCATACAACTTTTGTCTGAAACACTTTCTAGTAAAACTGTTCCTTATCGAGATATTCGATATAATGTCGAGTGTCATTTTTTTAACACCCAGTATAACAGTTATATAACAGTTATGTAAATGTTACTTGGTGCTTGCTTTCAGGATTTTATGACAATTTTATGTATTCTGGAAACATATGTAAACATGGAGAAAACAAGTTATGTAGATTTCAATGATAAATTTTTCTCAAATTATATTTATTATATTAATTATTATATTAATTATTATATTAATTATGAAATATTAATGAAATGAAATGTTTTACAATTATATTAATTATAAAACACTTTTCACACTTGCGACGAAACATTAACTAAAATAATTCTAACCTCAGAAAGAAAAAAAAAACATTTTCCTCATCTTGAAATTCAATAAAATCGAGTTCTTTTTTTCGTCCCACCTATTCTCGCCTACTTTTGACCTTTTCTTCGACCTACTTTCCATGTCGTGTCGCAACATGAGTAGCGTCAACCGCAATCAGCTGATCACCCCGTCACTGCCAGTGTCTCCAGCAGAAGGGCTCGTCGCGACGCAACGTCACCTCCTGCTTTCCCGGCTGAAATGGGTCTCCTCGTCCTTCGTGTTGACGACGACGGATCGGAAACGACGTAAAAAAGAGTGGCTGGGAAACAAGTCGAGCATAGGTCGTGCCTATTGATGCGCATGATTATCTATAATCATGGACAACGTCCGCTCGCCGATGGATAACCTGTTCAACATGCTGTCGGGCTTCAGCGCGGGTCACGAGAAAGCCCTGAAGCAGGGCATCTACAACGCTGTCGCGCTCTTCTTCCTGTGCCTGGTCTTGTTAGCTGGCTATGGCCTCTACATCATAATGAGCCCCTTCATCAAACCCCTCATCTGGGCCCTGCTGTGCGGTTCCGTCCTGTTCCCCTTCAAGTACTCGTTGGCCACGACGGTGCAATCCTGGTTCGCCCAGGTGGAAGCGTCCCAGACCCCCCTGATCGTCAACGTCAGTCTGCTGCCCGTGCACATCTTCGACAATATCTCGGAGAACCTGGGCTCCTTTTTGTGGACACGAGTCAAGTATATCGTTGGGGTTGTGTCCCTGGTGTTGGCGACCCTAGGTGTCTATCATTACACTCCCAATGTCTTGACCTGCCTCGCCTGGAGGATGTTTCAGGTGTTCACTGCCGTCTCTGGGTTCTTCATCTTGACGTGCAACATCTTCACGGTAGAAAATTTTGCCTTACTTTTCTGTCATTTATATGTAATTATTTATTGTACAGAGTTTAAGCGTGGAAAGTCCTTAATATTTCGAAATATACATTTTTTAAATAAATGTTTCAGACAAAAGTTGTATGGCTTGAAGGAGGACATAAGATGGTGTCATTGGTTTGATGTTGAAGAGTCATCTGCAGGTCACGTGAAAGTCACATCCAACTTTTTAAACGGGACACCCTATATGCTTTTGCATATTCTTGTAGCTCATCTCGAGAGCTTTCCAAAACACTATAATTGAGTATTTTTTCATTGAGTATTTTACTAGTTATGAGGCTTAAAAAAGTAATATTTTAATTTTATAAACCATAAAATATCTAGTAAAATATTCATTTTTTAATTATCTTATCTTAATACTTTTATGTACAAAATAATGAGAGGAATTGATTGATCGGTGTAAAGAAAACACAATTGTTTCGAAGAAAAAATATGGAATTGTTAATTGCAAATTACATATTTTTTCTTCGAAACAATTATATGTTTTCTTTACTAATTTTCTTTATCAGTTCATTCCTCATTATTTTGTACATAAAAGTATTAAGATAAGATAATCGAAAAATGAATATTTTGCTAGATATTTTATGGTTTATGTAAAATTAAGAAATTATTTCTTATAACTCAAAAAGTACTTAATAAAAAAATACTTTATTATAGCGTTTTGAAAAGATCTTGAGCTAAGCTATGAGAATATGCAAAAGTATATAGGGTGTCCCATTTAAAAAGTTGGATGTGACCTTCACGAGATCCTCAGGTGACTCTTGAATGTCAAACTAATGACACCATCTTATTTCCCCCTTCAAGCCATACAACTTTTGTCTGAAACATTTTTAAAAAAAATGCGTATTTTTCGAAATATTAATGGCTTTCATTCACACTTTTGGTAAACCCTGTATAATTTTCTGTCATTTATATCTGTCATCCAGCTTGACAGAAGTGTCCTCTCGGATATTAATTGACTTTTGTGCCCTACAGGTCTCTGCGATACTCGTGGGATACCTAACGATACTGTACATCTACTGGACGCCATCAAACTCCAGCCAGTTTCGCTACATGTCCTTTGTAATCTGGTTCATCATCACCATGTATCTCTCGAGCATGGCGGGGACTTATCGAGTCCTGGTCTTTGCTGCTTTGCAAATTCTATGCGTCATTGGATTTATTTACGAAGTGGTATTGATTATGGAGAGTCAAGAGCTGAACGGTAGGCACTTGACGTTCTCGGAAGCTGCGCGTTTCGCCTTAACGAATAATTTATTACCGAGTCCCCAGGAAGAAATATCCTCGGAGAGCGACAGGACGCAGACGAACGATGAGATTTTAGAGGAAGAGAATCCCTCGGATACGCCGCTTCGTCCCTCGGAGGAAGAGGCGAGGAAGTCAGCGAGATTCCTAAAGTCAATGTCTCTGGATTCGTCCTCCGCGCGCAAGCCACGACCTGCTTGTAATGTACATTCTGTAACGCCATTACGCAACCGTTATTTGCTCGGCAAAATAAAGGAGGACTTACGAATGTCTCTAGATATGCAAGATGACGAGGTCGATACCGACAAGTATATGTATGGAGCGTTGTACGCGTGTATCGCTATGCTTCTCTGGAAGCACAGGTGGATCTCGCACATCCTGGTAATCCCGCTGGTGTATTATATCGTCAAGCAGGTGGGTGGTTATTTCGGTTTTCGGGAAATGATACGCAGACGCTGCGGCTCGACGATACAAGCGGCTAGGTCGTGGTGCCTGGAACGACATCAGGCTCTCATACCCTCCAACATCAGAGGCCTCTATAAAGTGAGCATTATCCTGGACGAGAAGCTGAGGGATGTTCTCAAGGCGTCCGTCAACGCGGTAGCGACCACCTCTGTGATACTCGGGCTGATCGTCTTCACCACTTGCGCATCTATTTTCATAACGATACAGGTAAAACAAACACTTGTCGATTCATGAATTTGTATTTGGTCGATTTTGCAACGTTCCTTCTGCTTGCAGGTTTACGCGGAAGGCTTGCACCTCGTTCAAGTGACCGGCGAAATATTGAATTCCTCCTTGATGAACAATCCTGATATCGATTGGGTCCCAGAGAAGTGGGAAGAATCTGTCAATAGCGTTCTAGATAATGCTTACACTTATGGGCGAAGCGCCATATCCGAGGGAGTAAGAAATTTACTTTTTTTTTTACTCTTCTTCCTCGCGCACGCTACAAGTTGACTTGTTTCATTCAGATTCGAGGTCTTGTAAAAGACCTGGAACCGTCCAAGGCGGAGCAAATGGAGAGGAAAGTCTTGGAGCTTTGGGATCGTCTCTACCAAGCCTGGATGATGTCGAATGCGGATCCAAATTTTGTAGGTCCTGTTGTAGACACTGTATCTGCAGCCAACGCTTGGGAGAACTTCAAGGAGAGCTTTGGAAAAATGCCTCTCCGTGAGTGATTCTGCATCAAGAAATTTGTGAAATTTACATCAATGATCCATTGCTTAGATCTCTGATTAATGTTTATTTTATAGAAATTTTTATATCATAAGTAATGTCGATCATTTTATACATTATATGTGAAATTGTTTCCTTCCAGATCTCTTCAACATGACAAGCATACAGAATTTTGCCAAGGAAAATATTGGTATTTTAATGTCGGTGCTTGATTCCATCTGGAGCATCGTCAAGGGCAATATGTCTGTGATATTGACAATATTTACAGAGCTGTTTTACATCGTGCTCATGAGTGGCTCGGCTGTATTTAATTTTGTACTCAGTACGGTACGCGTGACGTATTTTTTCTAAAGTTTCAATGTCAAAAGAAAAGATGGCAAATGTAAGAAATTGTTTTGTATTTCAGGTAGTCTTTTTTACGACCCTATTCTACTTGCTCAGTTCTAGTGGTAAAACTTACAAACCCATCGAGTTGACGACAATGTTCAGTCCCATTAGTTGTCACAGGTAAATATACATCTGATGTCTCGAATTCTACAGTGCCTACCAAAAGTTCCGGGTCGAATATTTTATAAACTATGCACTTTAGAAAGAAATGTTTCAGACAAAAGTTGTATGGCTTGAAGGGGGCCATAAGATGGTGTCATTGGTTTGAACTTGAAAAGTCGTTTGAAAATCATGTGAAGGTCAATTTTTTAAATGAAATAATTTCTTAATTTTATATTAACCATAAAATATCTAGTAAAATATTCATTTTTCAATTATCTTACTTTAATACTTTTATGTACAAAATAATAAGAGGAATCAATTGATGTAAAGAAAAAACTGAAATATATAATTGTTTTTAAGAAAAAATATGTAATTTGCAATTACATATTTTTTAAAAAAAACAACTATGCGTTTCCTTTACACCAATTGATTCCTTTTATTATTTTGTACATAAAAGCATTAAGGTGAAGTAACCGAAAAATGAATATTTTACAAGATATTTTACGGTTTATGTAAAATTAAGAAATGATTTCAAGTCTCATAACTCAGAAAGTACTCAATGAAAAAATACTTTATTATAGTGTTTTGGAAAGCTCTTGAGGTAAGCTACGAGAATATGCAAAAATATATAGGGTGTCCCATTTAAAAAGTTGGAGGTGACTTTCACGTAATCTTCAGGTGATTCTTCAAGATCAAATTAATGGCACCATCTTATAGCCCCCTTCAAGCCATACAACTTTTGTCTGAAACATTTCTTTCTAAAGTGCATAGTTTATGAAATATTCGACCGTCCCGGAACTTTTGGTACTGTATATTTATTTGTATGCATGGAAGAATTTTACAAAATCATCTATCTTTATTTCTAACAAGCACAACGCACGTAGAAGGGTAAGTTAATCTTCAGGTAAAAGCATGAGATTAATAATATTTGATTAGCTAATATGATTATATGTGAAAAGTCGATGATTTTTCACGCGACGAAAGAGCATACAATGTTAATATTTCTTCAGATTCGCCATCGCGCTGCAAGAGGCGGTAATCGGGGTGTTCGCGGCGACCTTCAAGCTCGCCTCCTTCTTCGGCATGTGGACGTGGTTCATTCACAACTTATTCCAAGTGAAGATTGTCTACTTACCATCGGCCCTCGCGACTATGCTGGGCGCAGTCCCCTTTTTGGACGCGTACTTTGCTTGCATTCCAGCTACGATAGAGCTCTGGTTCACCCGCGGATCAATGATCGCCATCCTTTTCTTTCTCTTTCACTTTCTCCCGTGTAACATAGTAGTGACGGAATTCTACAAGGAGATTAAAGGGTAAGACTGCTGCAGAGTATGCAAGTTTTGCCGAGTCTTCAGCCACAACACACATTTTTTTTCCTTTTCATTTCAGTGGTGGGCATCCTTATCTGACAGGTCTATCGATAGCAGGTGGAATCTTCTGTTTAGGCGTGGAAGGAGCAATCTTTGGCCCTTTGCTTTTATGCTGCATCATGGTCGTCATCAATTTAAGCCGACGTTACTTGCATTCGCCGGAGGAAGTTATACTTCCAGCGTATTCCAGGACACCATGATACGACTCGAAATAACGGCTTTCGCTCTAACAAATTAATTTACCGCTTCATAATATTGCGAGCTACGGGCTTGAATCCCCAGCTCTTATCTATAAGATCCAAAGTTTTATATGAAAGTTTTGATGGTTGGATTAAATGTAAGTTAACACATGTTAAATGTAAGTGTACACATGAACGTGCAGCGCTGAATCCAGATCAATCGATGAATGATTATCAAGGAATATCAGCGAACGTGAAGGAGGAGTTAATTATTTAATATTTTTTACATCCTTTTATATAAAATAATTTATATAAAATTTTATATAAAATAATTTTTTACAAAGTTTGTATATAATTTTTTTATAAAGTAATTTTTTTATTAAAAATACTAAATAAGCTTCTCCGCTGATGCTCGTTCGCTAGTACTCATTCATGATCGTTTATATTCATTTTCGATCTAGATTCGGTAAAGCAAATTCAAATGTGTGCGTCACACGTGTGTTTTTATGTGATAAAAGAACTAACAGGGAAAAATCTCAGCTTACGCTTATTAGCCTTAGAAATATATCACACACGTCTATAATTGAAACAATATTATTTTTCTAATCTTGATGTAATCAAAATATTTTTTCTTTTGACGAAATTTCGTTTGAAGCGACAATACATGTTTATAGTCTTCCATCATCTTCGTTTGAAAATTCGATAAATCTGGCAATCATATATGAATTTCATTTATGTATTATATTTTTAAAAGAGTATTAGATTATATGTATTGATGTGTTTTTGTTTCTAATTTATGCGGGCAACAAACAAAAGATAAGTTTTAAGATACGATACCGACTTCAAGACTAAACATGTTATGCGTATTTTTCATGTCAAACGTGTAACCAAAGAGATATGTGTTTATGGTAAATAAATTTTCTCAATGTTTAATGCGCGTATTGTGCGCTAAATTATGGTTTACTGAAATAATCGAAACGCAATCTTCAATAGCAGCGCGATGTCCAACTTAATGTCCATGATACTTGGTGGAGCCGTAATTGTGCTTGTTATTCTTATCGGATTCGAAATTTATTTACACTATGATACTTACTTTCCATCAAGGACGATTTGAAGAAAGTACGATATAATAAAATGAAACAGTTTATTTATATCGGTAAAAAGTAATGCGTGCGACAAATTTATTAAATATTTTTAATTATTAATTATTTATTATTAATTATCGCAAAACAAGTAATTCTTTAATCGATTTAATTATTCATAATTTAATTATTCATAATTTAATTATTCATAATTAAATCGTAACGATATATTACGTATGATTATTCTGAATTATAGATAATTCTGAATTATAATTATACAAAGTGTCCCAAAACTCATAATCAATCTTTCAAGGACAGATTCCTAGGATCATTCGAAGACGATTTTTTCTCAACGAAAATATCGAGGCACTAATAACTTTCGAATTATAAGTGATTGGAATTGGAAAGGGTTTTTTCGTAAACTAAGCTTTGTAGAAATAAAATATTAACAAAACCACATTCTTTGATTAATTTTAAATAGAATTTACATTAGTTGAGTTTTAATTTAAGGCTTAATTGCAAAGATATATGATGACAAAAATCGGGAACATGCAAGAAATGATGGCCTTCATCGATATTTTCGCTGAGGAAAAATCGTCTCCAAATAATCCCAGGAATCTGTTTTTGAAAAATTGATTATGAGTTTTGGGACACCTTGTATATTATATATACATATATTAATATATACATATATACATGTATTAATATATACAGGATGTTTCAGACCACCTGTATCACCCATTTAAAAACTAGAGAAGTGATTATTTCAAAGTGCACTCTATCGAATGGTGATATTTTCAACTTCTGGTTCAGATCGGAAATAGGTGATTCAGACCGGAAGTGCCTTTTTTTTAAATGAAACCCCCTATTTTTCATTGCATATTCTTGTAGCTTACCTCGAGAGCTTTCCAAAACACCATAATAAATTATTTTTCCATGAAGTACTTTTCGAATTAGGAGGCTTGAAATCATTTCTTAATTTTACATAAACCATAAAATATCTTGTAAAATATTCATTTTTCGATTATCTTATCTTAACTTTTATGTACAAAATAATGAGAGGAATCAATTGGTGTAAAGAAAACACATAGTTGTTTCTAAGAAAAAATATGTAATTTGCAATTAACAATTCCATATTTTTTCTTAAAAACAACTGTATGTCAGAAGTTGAAAATATCACCATTCGATAGAGCGCACCCGATTTATAAAGAAAATGTTTTTACTTTTTTGAAATAACCACTTCTCTAGTTTTCAAATGGGTGGTACAGGTGGTCTGAAACACCCTGTATATTACGCGTTGTGATTAATATGAATTTTTCATTTTTCTACAACAGAATAGTCGTCATCAAAATTGGCACGTGCATTATAAATGTCGGACAATGTTGTGAGTGTCGTATATTTTCGTAACAATTCGACTGTCGTCTCTTCATAGGCATGGAACATAATTGTTTTCTCTCTCTCGAACATGTGGAAACCATTTTCAGAAAAATGACCGTGTATAACGCTCGTTTCTAGCCACACGAAGAGAGCTATATTGTCTGTCGATAACACAAACTCGAAATTTTGATAAGGACTTCCAGGTAAGACGATCTGACCTACGATGTTCATCTGAAACGAGAGATACGTGTTAATCATTTCTTCGACAGCTGCAACAAGTCAAATGATACCGATGATTTTGCTTACAGTAACATTGGCAACTGGGATATTGGCATTTTTTAGTGGACCAGGATATACGTAATGGATTGGAGCGATTACAGATTTAAAACTATTTATGAGAGATAAAGTGATCAGGCAAGACCTCTTGGCGGATTCCCATGATCCGCAACCAACTCGATCGAGAGATTCGTCCAACTGGAAAGACGTAACTCTTATGGCTTTACTGGGTTCCTGAAAGAATATAGTCATGTGAATATTTATAAATTGCGTGTACACGCATTGTTTTCTTTTTCTTCGTCGATACTTACTACTTCAATATCGAGGAACCTTGCGAAAAGGGGTATTGTTGATTCCCAGTTGTAATAACGAATTTCCACTTTACAATTTTCTATTGAGTACCATAGATCAGATACAACATATATCGAGAGCTTATTGGAAATGGACAGGTGTGATGTAACGATAAGAGGGTCGAAGAAATCTTTGGCGTAATAATGAAGCATCTTCCAGCGACCTTTGACATCTGTAAATATAACGCAAATGGAGGATTTTCAAACGACACTTGTATTAAGATTCAAGAAAATTCTCTTGCAAGTTAAATCGCGCTGCAGAATATTTCAAGTTATAGTTACAAGATTATCATACAGAGTGTTCCAAAAATACCGGACCGATCAAATATTTCATAAACTATGCACTTTAGAAAGAAATGTTTCAGACAAAAGTTGTATGGCTTGAAGGGGGCCATCAGATAGTGGCAATGATTTGACATGAGAGAGTCATTTGAAAGTCACGTGAAGATCATCGTCAATTTCTTAAATGGAACATCCTATTTTTTATTACATATTCTTGTAGCTTATCTCGAGAGCTTTCCAAAACACTATAATAAAGTATTTTTTCATTGAGTACTTTTCGAGTTATGAGGCTTGAAATCATTTCTTAATTTTACATAAACCATAAAATATCTAGTCAAATATTCATTTTTCGATTATCTTACCTTAATACTTTTATGTACAAAATAATGAGAGGAATCAATTGGTCTAAAGAAAAAACATAGTTGTTTTTAAGAAAAAAATATGTAATTTGCAATTAACAATTACATATTTTTTTTAAAACAACTATGTGTTTTCACCAATTGATTTCTCTCATTATTTTGTACATAAAAGTATTAAGGTAAGATAATCGAAAAATGAATATTTTACTAGATATTTTATGGTTTATGGAAAATTAAGAAATGATTTCAAGCCTCATAACTCGAAAAGTACTTCATGGAAAAATGATTTATTCTAGTGTTTTGGAAAACTCTCGAGGTAAGCTACGAGAATAAGCAAAAGTATATAGGGTGTCCCATTTGAAAAGTTGGAGGTGATCTTCACGTTACCTTCAAACGACTTCTCAAGATAAAATCAATGACGCCATCTTATGTCCCCCTTCAAGCCATACAACTTTTGTTTGAAACATTTCTTTCTAAAGTGCATAGTTTATGAAATATTCGACCGGTCCGGGACTTTTGGGACATTCTGTATACAAAATGTTCTTGTTTGTACCTATCGAGGACCATGAAGGAGCTTGCCAGACGTCGTTGAGCTGCCAATAGAGAGCCCCCATTGTCATACCTTCGCCTATAGAGTTCACCTCGGATTTGGCTTGTCTGTAACTTTCCGTTTGTATCCTCATGGAAACGGCTTGATTGATCTGACTGAGATAAACATAATTCGCGAAATCTCGGACGCTATCGTTACTCTGCGGTATAATAAAGTTGCGTGAGATCAACAGCTGCATGTATTGATCGCCGAGTGGCATATGCTGTCGGTGTTTTACAAAATCACTGTTCACATAAAGCTCATCTGTCGCGTTTTCCACAGCGGTAGTTAGCGTGTACATCGATGGCCAAGATTGAAATCCGTATTCGGAGCAGAATCTTGTCCGAGGATACTGAGTGATGTCCCATCCGTTTCTGATATAGTTATAATAGTGAACTGGAAAATATACAGGGAAAACATATTTAACGCTTAGCAAATGTGTCCTATTGATATATTATTATAGGGTGTTTCAGACCACCCGTACCACCCATTTACATAAACCAGAAAATATCTTGTAAAATATTCATTTTTCGATTATCTTACCTTAATACTTTTATGTACAAAATAATGAGAGGAATCAATTGGTGTACAGAAAACATACAGTTGTTTGTAAGAAAAAATATGGAATTGTTAATTGCAAATTACATATTTTTTTCTTAAAAACAACTATATGTTTTCTTTACACCAATCGATTCCTCTCATTATTTTGTACATAAAAGTATTAAAGTAAGATAATTGAAGAATGAATATTTTACAAGATATTTTAAGGATTATGTCAAATTAAGAAATTATTTCAAGCCTCCTAACTCGAAAAGTACTTCATGGAAAAATAATTTATTGTGGTGTTTTGGAGCTACAAGAATATGCAATGAAAAATAGGGGGTTTCATTTAAAAAAAGGCACTTCCGGTCTGAATCATCTATTTCCGGCAGGAACCAGAAGTTGAAAACATCACAATTCGATAGAGCGCACCTGATTTATCAAGAAAATGTTTTCACTTTTTTGAAATAACTACTTCTCTAGTTTTTAAATGGGTGGTACGGGTGGTCTGAAACACCCTGTAGATATCTCAAAAACGATACATTCCCGGTTATTTTGGCAAATGAGAAAGATACTTATCTCTCGAAGAGTTACAAGAAACACAAGAGTATTCGACTTAGTTATGAGATATTCTGTATATATTACTGTCTCCGTAGATATTCGAGTAAGGATCTACTCCGGTGTAATTGTACGTTTCCTCGAGTGCTCCGTTGCCCGGGCTAGATACGAGGAAGGGTCTTACGGGATCTAGTCTCGCCACTTCTTTCTTCAACAGATCCACGTAAAGCTTCACGTAATCCTTTCTGTAGATCTCAGCAGACCCGGTGCCGTACCAATTTCCAAACAGCGCCGCTTCGTTCTCGTTATTGCCGGCCCAAAGCACGATGCTCGGGTGATTCTTCAATCGCATCACGTTCTGCTCTATCTCCTGCTGAACATTCTCCAGGAAGTTCTGACCTGTGGGATACATGGCACATGCGAACATGAAATCTTGCCAGATCATGATCCCGTACTCGTCGGCCAAGTCGTAAAACAATTCAGACTCGTAGACACCGCCTCCCCATATTCTCAGCATGTTCATGTGCGCCTCTTTGGCGGATAATAGCAAGTGCTTGACGGTGTCTTCCTTCGCGCTCAGTTCGGGGAAGATGCTGGCTGGGATGAAATTACTGCCCTTAGCGAAGATCGGTATGCCATTCACGCGAAAGTAGAAGCTCATCCCCTTTTCCAGAGGTTCCTCCACCAGCTCCACAGTTCTGAAGCCCACGCGGATCTGTTTACGTAGTACATTCTGTTCCGTTGTCACGATGATACTTAAATTGTACAGATGTTGCTCGCCATAATCATTTGGCCACCAGTTCTCGACGGCATCCTTATCAGAAGGGGAATGTTAGATTGTTGATAATATTAAAGTTACCATGTATTAATGATAATTGGGTAGAGGAACTTACTGCAGGCACAATTAGCGAAATGTTAACATTTATATATTCTTCGCTCCATTTAAATGCGACATCAGTGGAATTGCTGATGAGTTTGGTTTCCGAAATGTGCAATATTGACGCTACATGACAACTGAACGTTGTTCCTCTTCTCGTCTCGAGAAATACTGTAACAAGAATATCCCAAGTGTTCTCCTTTTTGCGTACGTCACTTGTAACATTATTGAGCCACACATCATTTATAGAAACCAACTCGACATCTCGCCTGTAAACTTGTGTCTTATATTATTCTGATAGAAAATATAAACGAGAAGCATATTACAAGAGGAATGGTTTCCAATTACCAAATGCCCATCGAGGGAAAAGCTGGGCCCCAATCCCAAGAGAAACTAGCTTGCATCTTACGAATATGATTTACGTGGCACTGTCCATTATACTCTTCAGGCACGCACACTGGTGGTACAATATATTTGTAAGATTCTTTTTGGACGTTATATAAATACTCAGCTACTTTGACAGCTGACTGAAATGTGACTCGCAACAGATTCTGGCCTTCCTGTATATTTCAAATATAAAAACAAATTTCACTATCAAAGGATATACGTTTTGTGTCGATACGATTCCCTTACTTTGATATAATCTTTCGCATCAAAAGAATATCTCAAAAACATGTTAGAAGTCTCTCCAAGCCTATGGCCATTCAACGTGATGGTAGCAAATGTATCAATTCCATGAAAAATCAGGACTATCTTGCGAGCGTTTAAAAAATCACTGCTTACTAGAAAAAAAAAAATATATTTGGATTATATATATGTAAAAAAGAAAAAATATTCTTATTTCAATTTATTTACCGTTAAAATTTTTGGAGTACACAACAGATTGGTTCCCGACCCAACGATTATTGACATCGTTCCTTCCAAATAGATTATCCTCTATTATGCCATTTCTATATAAATCTGTATAAATTCCTCCAGGAACAGTTGCATTGAATGACTGTAAGATGACGTCTGTAAAAAAAAGAAATTATGTAGCAGATTATTTCCAGATAAAAATATAAAAGAGGATAAATATGCATGTAATTTTTATAAAATCAAGTCCCTCTTACCATTACCGCAGTCTTCAAGCAATTTCTGTTTACCTGAAAGAAATATATATTTCTTGTATTAACTTAAATTGACAATAATGTATATGTGTATTCTTTGTACCAATTATGCACATACTGTATCTTTCATTACATTTATTACATTATAAACACATGTATAACATGTCAGGAAGTCTGTCAAAAATAAATGAGATATATTTTTGACAAGGGATAAAAATATATGATAATACATACGACAGGTGTCAATAGTTCCACTCCACTCGCCATTTAACGTTATAGATAGACAGGGTGCACTTATTAAGGATGAAATCCATAATGTCAAAACGAGGAGCTTCATTTTAGCAGCTGAGATATGTTGAAGTAGGTAACTATTTGAAATTAAATAAAAATTAAAAATAATTCATTAAAAATTTTATATTCATTTATTATTTTTTTCGCATTTCACACGTCGAGCTCTGATAAATGCAAAGATAATAATGGACAGTGGTTTCTTACTTGGAAAGAGTTTCATTGTTATCTAGTCCTGATTCATATGACACTTCATTTTTTTTTCTCTTGAATTTGATTATCGTTTTAGATTAGGCCGACGTTTATCAATTCATAACCTTGATATCGAGTGAGAACAATAACACGTTTTAAATTAATTTTAATTTTAATAAATAATAAATTTTAATTAATCTAATAAATTTTAATAAATAATAATTTTAATAATAATTAATAAATAATTTTAATAAATAATAAATTTTAATTAATCTAATAAATTTTAATAATAATTAATAAATAATTTTAATAAATAATAAATTTTAATAAATTATTATTTTCTCGCACAAGGTATAAAGATATCTTGTTAGATGACGAAAAATTCCAGGAAGAGATACGAGTATCTCAATATTTTTTTTCGAGTTGCAGGAGTGATTTTTCAAAATGTCTTACTTTTTTATATAAAGTTAATGTGTGAAAACTCGAAAATTAATACTTTAATGCTATTTTATTTATAAACCATAATTTTCTATTAGTATAAAAATATTATATGGTAATTTACATTTTCAGCGCATTGGGATAATTTTAATGAAATTACACACATGTTATCGTGTTTACATGTAGAGCCTCTTTTAAAAAGTGCTCCAGAATAAATTTACAAACTTAAAGTATCATTCAATACTTCAAAATCGCTTAAACATATACAAAATATTATATATTGCAAAATAAAGCTTCATTTATATACAAGTGGAATGTATTTCTATACATATATATTTATTTAATGGCCTTGTAATATTCACTGTCTCCTTTCTACAACTTTTGATACTGGTAGAAATTAATAAAATATTTATGCAATATAATTTTTAATAATACAATATGTTGCCAAATCTCTATCTCCTATTTTTATTAAAATAATTGTTAAGAAACATAACAAATAGAAAAAAAAATGAATCTTTATAATGATTTATATTGAATTGGTTTATATTTCAAATAAACTTATAACAAAATTGATAAGTGTATCATGAGATAGATTTATAAAGTCCCTTAACTTGTAATTTTAAACACACAGTTTTTGATGAACACAAAGTAGATAATTTCTTTATGAAAAAAGAACTCTTCGTGAATTAAATTTTAATTTTCAGGGACAAATATATAATAGAATCACATTTTTTAATCTCAAGCAAATAAATTTCATTTTATCTGAGAGTTTAAGTTGACAATTTGTAATCACGTTATTTTCTATGATACATTTTTGTCAAGAGGAAATATTTTAAACTTTTTAACGGGAAATAATTTTAACAATTTTCAAACATTGCTCCAAGATGAGAATTATAAGACATAATACTCTATATTACATGGTATCTTGGGACAATGATAAGCAAATGCAAAATACATGCATATCGATTCTTAACATTAATACAATCGCTTACTTTACGTACGAAAAATTTTCCTTGTCTCAGGTGAAGTAGAAAATAATTGTATGTTTAAAAGCAAATTTTTGTATAACGACAAATAAATATTCCTATTTTATTTCTTACTATTTTTTGGTATATAATTTCCTTTTTTTATTCTTATTTATTTTTGTCTTATCAGAGAAAAACTGACCCAAATAAGCTATCTCGGGATCTTTTTGTTCATCAATTACTTGCTTATATGTATGAAAGGATGAAGAAGGTGTAGTATCGATATCTTCAGATCCTAAAGAAAAAGATATACAAATAAATCTAATACAAACGGCAATTTAACCGAAATACAATACAAAATTTTTTAAATTGTAAAATAAAAATTAGAAAAAGAAATGCGATATTTACATGCGTGCGTCGATAAAAGAAAATATTTAAAAAATAGAGAAAAAGAGAGAGAGGAAAGGAAAAGAAAATTGTGAGTTTTACAAGCTCATTAAATTTTCAATTCCTAACATGATTTACAGATTCTCCGCATAAACTTATGCAAAAATGCTTATATAGAGCTTTCTTTTATATACCAGGAAAATTTAACAATTCAGAATGTTTGCTGTACAATTGAAATAATTATCTAATTTATCACGATTAGATAATACTTATCAGAAATCAGAAACACCAGCAAACAACGGATTATGTAACACTGAACGTACCACCTGAATGCCTTTTATCCTGCCTAATGATACATTGCTGAACATGTTCCTCGTATTCCACCCCGTTGCTAGTTTTGTAATTGCTGCATATATTACATTCCAATTTAATCGCGTCATTACTATTCTCTTCGTTATTCATCTCGAATTGTTCGCAATCAGCGGCATGATTCTCTATCTCGCTATCCGGAAACAACTTATTGCATATAGGACAATTTACATTATTTGTCAAAGTAATTTCATTATCAGATTGATTGCCATTCTGCACATCCTGTAAATAGACATATTATAAAAATTAATAAATTTTAATAAATATTTACAAAGAGAGACATATTGTAAATAGACATATTATAAAAATTAATAAATTTTAATAAATTACAAAGAGAGAGAAAGAGGGGCAGAGGAAGAGTTATACAGGGTGGAGCAAAAATTTGGATACAGTCAAATATCTTGTATAGAATGCATTTTAGAACAAAATGCTTTAAACAAAAGTTGTAAGGATTAAAAAGATGTATTTAACTGTAATATCTATTCGACATTGAGTGGCGTCGCCAAGGTCAGGGCAAGGTCAACTTGAATTTTTTAAATGGGACCCCCTATTTTTCATTGCATATTCTTGTAATTTACCTCGAGAGCTTTTCAAAACACTATAATTCCACATAGTTTCCAATTCCATATCCACAAGATATTGGACTGTATCCAGACTTTGATCCACCCTGTATAATTTATTAACTTACTGGATTTGTTTCGAATAAATTGTCCTCATCATCGGACATTAGTTGACGTTCCCAGCTCTGAGTTCCGTTTCTAATCCTACATGATTCTCCTTCCTCTCGTTCGCAAAGTTTTGGCCTCTTTTCCTTCTTCTGCCCATCGTTCTCCTCTTCTTTCGACGCCCTCGTTTCTTTAATCACTTTCGTATTACGAAGCGAAAGTCGCTTCTCGTGTAATCTAGAGCGTACCTCTTTCGGTATTGGCAATGGTCGCATCTCCACGTTCTTCTTCACCGCAACCTTCTCCTCGTCGACATCCCACTCTTCTATCAATTGCTCGATTTCGTTGTCTGTCAATATATTCTTTTGCTTTTTGGCCTGTTCGACAGCTTTATTCCCACCCCGCGTTTTTGCAGATGGTTTCGACGTACCAATGGCCTTTCTTGGTCTTGGACGTGGCTTACTAGGATTCGGTGGTACTATCCTTCTCGGATATATATTCAAGTCTGTCGAGTCGCTTTCATTTTCCTCCTCGGTTTTCTTGGCCCGTACACATCTAACGTGCTCGTTATCGGGGTCTGCATCGCTATTGTTATCGTTGATGGAGTTTCCTTGACGCATGATCACGCTCGACGTTGCTCTTTCATGACAATCATTGGACGCGCGTTGATTCTCGTTGCTCGATTTACTGTCGGGTCGTGTTCTCCTCTTCTTATCATGAGAACAATTGTACCACTTGTCCTCTTCGTCCTCGGTGGAACTGTCTCTAGTCAGATTAGCGATGCGAGAGCTCGCTTTACGTTTACTAGCACGCTCGTGACTATCCCTGTACGTTTCTGTTTTGTTCTGTTCAGTCTTAGATTCGGTTAATGGATTTTTATCCAAGCTACCGTTAGCAGTGCCGACCTACAGAAACAAGGATTAGTATCAGAATAGAAGTAAAACAGAATTGAATGAAGTAAACAACTATCTTTTCTTTTTTACACAAATATAATTTATTCAAAAATGTTTTGCAGTTTACAGTATTTAATAACTGTGTTTCTTGTAAACGCTCATGTATACATGTCTGTGTATAAATGCCATATGTTTTTATAATATTAATAAAAAATATCAAATTCCTTCCTTATAATTCGTTGGATAACAAAATGGCTAAAAAAATGGCTCGTATAAATCATTTTACGTGTACATACTGTTATAAAGCTAGGATGTAACGACGTTAGCAAGTAATACATGGAAGTTAGTTTACACATAGTATTAATATATCGAAATAGATGCACCTTTTGGACACAGCGTATTGTAATACTATACAGTTTCGAAAAAGGAAATCTCAGAATCTTGGCAAAATCCTGCCAGGTTTCTCATAAAAGACAAGAGTAGAAGAGCAAATTATTATTTACACAAAAATTTCTCTTATATTAATGCATCCCTTCGAAAGTAAAATTCTCATAATTTGACTTTATCCACAATTCCAGAGGGTTTAAAAGCGCACTTAATCAATGATGCTTAAAGAAGTTTCCTCAAGTCACACGTAGAAGATTTCTCTCCAGACATATCGAAATAGCATATATAAAGAAAGTGAGTACTTTGAATAAAATTCTCCAAGCAAGTACAAGACCTTATATCTAGGAAAAGAAATGCAGCGTAAAATAAGGAAATAAAATTTAATACTGGCGAAATTTTCCATCGAATTGCAATGGCAAATGGTCTCTTTCGTGTTAGAAAAATGCGTATATGTATATATATATATATTTGCATACGGAAAAAAAGAAGAAGACCTCACGCTCTTTAACGATACGAGCGATATGGGTGGGATTGTAGGGTGGTACCCACCTGAATGGGTGACCCCCATTGAAATATCGAATTAGCAGCCGGGTGCCAACTGTACCACAAGTCTGCTACCTCCTTCAAATGCTGGCTCACTAATCGTATTGCTTGGTCGCGCTGCTCGGGCGTGTGCGTTTCTTTGCAATATCTGAACAGCACACGTTCTCGAATCCAGGACCGGTTTGGTTGTCGCAAAGGCACGTCGTTTTCGTTGATGCAGAGGTCGAGCGGGTTCAGTCGCCATCTTTCCAACCTTTGAACTAAGTCACCCTGGGTATCCTGCGCCGTTTTCCTATCCGCCACGTTCTGGCCCTCTCGTGGATTATTCGACGATCTCAACGAGAGTAAACGATTTGTACTGTGGGTAGAATTGGTGCTCTCCAACTGCTTTTCGATTATGTCGTCGCTATCTGAACTCTTGCGTCTGTACATGGGGTTTCGTACCTCGAAGAGAGGCGGGGAATCCTGATTGTTGTAGTGAGTCTTATGCTCGTGCACCGTTGGTGATGTGCGATTCAATTTGTAAGAGTACGATGGTCTAGGCAGCTCTGTAGACTCTTGTGAAATTGCCTCTTGCGATGCAGTCGTGTCGGTTTCCGAAAGATGTTGATTATTATGTTGTCCCTGGAATTTTTAAACAAATAATGTACTTTACTTCTTCTCTAATCCCTCGATAATATATAACGATCAAACTTTAAATTTCTTGTAGTTATTATATATTTCAAAGCAGCATATAATTTATGTGACAATTATATTATATACCCTGTGCGTATCATTGTTATTGGAGGCGACCTTTGATGTATCTTGAGACTCGTTGATAAATCCAAGCAGTCGTTTCATTTCTTTGTACGTGAATTCTGGCTCGTATATCCCAATATCTAGAGGAAAATTAACAATTATCAATCATACTTGTAATAAATGCTCTATTTTCTCTTCCGATGAAAATATACAATTTTTAAAAATTTATATATTTTTTAATCCTTGATTTATGACAACTGCACATGTGTATTTTAATTATTGACTTACGACAATGCATTCTAGTGTCTTGGACACTTATTTACTAATGTTTACTAATTTATATTATTAAATATAACTAATAATTATTATTATTAAATATAATTATAAATTAAATGATCAAATATAATTATATATTAAATTATTATTATTAAATATAACTAATAATTTATATCAATTACTAATTTATATTCCTACCTAATATTTTACTAGTATTTATTAATATTTTTGGCAAAATTTAAAATTTATTTAATTGAAAATTCAATTTATTAAATTTGTTTTTATTCATTAATTAATTCAATTGGTTGATCTTCCACGCAACTACGTTGGATATTTCCGACTGCAATTACCCGTGAGCTTGCGTTTCATCTCCTCCTCCTCAATCTTCCTCGCGGTTAACCTCTCGTTTTTCTCCCGGTCCATGTTTCCATCCGACATGGGGAACGAATTGCTGGAAATCGTGCCGAATGATCCTCCTCCTCCTCTTCTAAGGACGCCTCGCGCGGGATTCTCGCTCTGGGAAAACGTAAATAAGGGCCTCCGCCTCCAGTTTCCTCCCCTCGGACCGTCTCGTCCCACGATGCCGCGAGATGATGCTAGATAAGTCCCCGGACATCGGCTCACATCAGCTGTTTTTCAACGAATGACGCGTCGACGAGCATCGGTTCTGTCAACGTCATTTCTCACCTGCATATGTGCGTGACGAAAAAAAAAAACTGCGATATCTCAACGAGATTTGTGAGAAAAATATACAAACTCCTCACGAAAGGGACCTTGGGCGAGCGGCAGCGCCACCTCGCTCGCGGAAGTAGCGAACTAGACGCGGCCCACGTGACCTGTCGCGGCAACTTCAAACTGTCAATGCGCGCGCGGGAGTCTTTATACAGGGTGTCCCGATCGATCGCGAATCATGGTCGAATATCTCGATAAGGAAGAGTTTTACTAGAAAGTGTTTCAGACAAAAGTTGTACGGCTTCGAGGGGGACATGAGATGGTGCCATTAATTTGATCTCGAAGAGTCACCTGAAAGTCACGTGAAGATCACCTCCAACTTTTTTAATGGGACACCCTATATACTTTTGCATATTCTTGTAGCTTGCGTCGAGAGCTTTCCAAAACACTATAATAAAGTATTTTTTCATTGAGTACTTTTCGAGTTATGAGGCTTGACATAATTTTTTAATTTTACATAAACCGTAAAAAAACTTGTAAAATATTCATCTTTCGATTATCTCACCTTGATACATTTATGCATAAAATAATGAGAGGAATCGATTAGTGTAAAGAAAAAACATAGTTAAGAAAAAATTTTAAGAAAAAATATGTAATTATTAATTGCAAATTACATATTTTTTCAGGTGACGGTTATATATATTTCCCACTCAAAAATATAACTGTTACATAAACTGTTGAGTGGGAAATTATAATTAACAATTATATAACTGTCACTTGATGATATTTGCTGAGTATTTTATATATTTTATCTTCTTCGCTTCACTTTTGTGTCTTACATCGATATTTTACACTATGTAATTTTACCGACTACAAAACCTAGCTCCGACTTACTGCCGTATTGTATACTTATATAGTGTACGACTCTTTCAAAGATTACTTACCCATAAAATATTCAATGAAGATTGTGAGTTCCCCAGCTAAAGAACATTGAAAGCTAAAGAACATTAGAGAAGTGATATGTAAAAGCCCATTCTTTGTAAAAGGGAGATCATTCTTTATAAAATGCCATAATATTTTCCATATTCAAAATCAAACATACACAATATGTATATGTATTAATTAAAATGTCAGAAGAAAAAAAGAAAAGGAGCAAAAGATCAGAGAATATGTATCAAATGTATATTCATTTTTATTTATATTTTTTTCATGATAATTTTCGACTGTTACATGTTATATAACTGTTATATATTAACATGTAATATATTACATAACATGTTATATAATTGTTACATAACATTTTTTTATCGAGTGGAAAATTATAACTAACAGTTATATAACTGTTATTTTACTGGGAATAGAACGAAAACACAATAAAGTGTAAACAATTTTTTCCACAGCCCGCTTAAACCGATGAAAAAAAAAACATTCCACGGAAAAAATATTCGCAAACGTCATCTCTCGCTGTCAACATCGAGAGAGCGCGCATCATCTTTTCGAAGAAAATAAAAAGAGAGAAAAAAAAGACACGTGCGCGATAATAAATTCACAAGCTACCTCGTTCGATACCTTTCTTAGGCTATAAGATGTCCAGGGGGGAACGGGGGAGGGGAGGGAGCAGAGTTGAGTTTTTCCATGACTTTTCTATTTATTCATCGTATCGAGCCGCGTTACTAGGAAGACACGGGGCACGTATGCAAAGTGTAAAGACGTAAATACGCGTCCCTCCGAGTCATCAGTGTGTGTACGTACGTATGTCACTAATATAGAGGGTGTAATTGTTAATTGCAAATTACATATTTTTTTCTTCGAAACAACTGTGTGTTTTCTTCACACCAACGGATTCCTCTCATTATTTTCTACACAAAAGTATTAAGCTAAGATAGTCAAAAAATGAATATTTTACTAGATATTTTATAGTTTATGCAAAATTAAAAAATTATGTCAAGCCTCATAACTCGAAAAGTACTCAATGAAAATATACTTCATTATAGCGTTTTGGAAAGCTCTCGAGATAAGCTACAAGAATATGCAATAAAAAATAGGGGGTCCCATTTAAAAAATTCTAAGTGATCCCGCTCTAACCTCGGCGACGCCACCCAAGATCAAACTCTTAGCGTCAGTAAATAGGTCCTTTGAAATCCCACGACTTTTATCCGAAACATTTTTCTCCGAAGTTCTTAGTTTTCGAGATATTTCACCGTTTTCCCGATACTTTTCGCACACCCTGTACGCGCGGGCGCGTAGTATCTGTCATCGACGCGGCGCGGCGCCCATAGGCGTAGGACGCGCCAGTATTGCATCGCTCGCCCAGCTGACGGCTGACCTGACGTTTCCCTCGTCACCGGCCGAGTTTGAGAAAAATTTCTCGTCGGAGAAAATTCTTGTCGCGCCCGCAGACCCTTCCACACCCAGTCTACGTCGCCGTCCGCCATGCCACGCGCGAGATAATGTCACGGTCCGCTGTTGGACGGTCGCGCTCGCCGACGACGGGGACGACGAGGTTAGGCGCGCGGTTTATTATCAATCCTGACGTGTCAGACGCGAGGCGCAAATGGCGGCCGAGGAGGATGTGTCCGCGCTCGTGGAGCGGGTGGACAAGCTGAGCGTGTCGGCGACGAGGATGGCGACGACGACGGACGAGGACGAGGAGGCGGCGACGACGACGGCCAGGATCGAGAGCGGGAACGTCGAGAACGGTGACGGGAGCGGCGGCGAGACCCGGCTCTGGGGCTTCGAGACCCGGGAGCTGTACAAGCTCGCGCATAACTTCTACAAAGGTGAGCCGGTATTTCGGTTCCTTTGTCACCTGATTATATGAATGTATTTGTGTGTGTTTGTGTGTGTGTTTACGACGCAGTTAGAGGCATTTTTGTTGGACAGATTCTTGAATTCCTTCGAATGCCTTGAGTGAAGGACTTTGTAAATATTCCTTGTATTTTTCAATTTGGTTGGATAAAATCCTCGAATTCCTTCGAATGGTTTGAGAAAGGATTTTGTAAATATTCCTTGAATTTTTGTTGGTTAGAAAATTTCTTTGGATGCCTTGAGCCAAGGATTTTGTAAATATTCCTTGAATTTTTATAGGTTAAAAAATTCTCTTGAATGTTTCGAGTCAAGAACTTTATAAATATTCCTTGTTTTTTTCAATTTTTGTTGGATAAAATCCTCGAATTCCTTCGAATGCCTTGAGCCAAGAATATTGTAAATATTCCTTGAATTTTTGTATGTTAAAAAATTCCTTTGAATGTCTTGAGTCAAGGACTTCGTAAATATTTCTTGAATTTTTTAATTTTTATTGAACAAGATCCTCGAATTCCTTCGATGTCTTAAGCTGAGAACTTTATAAATATTACCAATGATAAAGTTGATTTGAATATGCTAAATATCGGTCCAGGTTACTTATTTTTTGGCTGTCGAAGCATTTGGTTTTGTATAAATGATGTGGGCTTTTTATTGTTTATTTTATCCTATAGCTTATTGTTTTTTTTATCCTATAGTTCTAACGATTTTTTTTTACATTTTGACTAAATTTATATTTATTTTTATTATTAATTTTTATTTATTAATTTTTATTAATTTTTATTTATTAATTTATATTTATTACTTACTTTTTTGCGACATACGAATAATATTGTTAAAGGAATACAAATCATTTTAATATGTTGTTTTTATATGAAGATTTTGTTATTTTTCATACTGAGGAAGACTAAGTAAAGTCGAAACGTTTGTGATTTTTGAATTAAATTGATTTTTGAATTAAATTTTGAACTTATTAATATTGCTTTTATTTTATTTAGACCTTAGTAATTAGCTCGTATTATTGGCCCTAGAATTTTTATTATTGCTTTATAAATGTTCCTTGTATTTTTAATTTTTATGCAAACTTTTATGGTAAAGAAGGGTAAAGAAAAATAATTTTCTTGAAAGATTCTTCTCTAGAATCTTATTTAATAAAAATATGTAGTACAGTTAAAAATTTATATTATTCCTCCGAATGTTAGAGTTTCGAAGGCTACATTATGTTAATTATTGTCAAACAGAAATAAATGTGAATGCAAATTTTGCTGATATATAAATGCAAGAGTATTTTTAAATTTACAAAACATGACCATAAAAGTCTTTATATGAAAGTAAAATGAAGCGAGTCTCTTGTATATTTAATTTTGTATTGTGCAATAATTATTGATCATTGATCATTGTTTGTGTTCATTGTTTCTATTCTGTTGTGAAAGATCTTTACATATAATGGTACGGATGTATTTTTGAAATATAAGAAATGTCAGAAAAATTGTGTGCACTTTTAATATTTTGTAGATAAATTTTAATAGTAAAAAGATAACAATTATATAACTGTTAGTTATAATTTCCCACTCGGAAAAAAATTGTTATATGTTATGCAATTGTTATATAATAGTTACATAACATAACATGTAACAGTTATATTGCTGAGTGGAAAATTCCAACTAACAATTATATAAATGTACCTTTATTTATTATTATTATATAAATTATATATTTATATTTATTATATTAATAATAATATAATAATAATTATATTAATATTTAAATTATAATAATAAATTATGTATTTATTATTATTATATAAATTACATATTTACATTTATTACATTTAAATTATATATATTATATATTTATTATTATATAAAATATATTATATATTTCATTATTAAATTATATATATATATATATATATATATATATATATGTATATATTTAATTATTAAATTATTAAATTATATATATTATATATTTATTATTATACAAGGTGTCCCAATTTAATGTCCCACCCCAAATAACTTTCTTATTTTTAATTTTAGAAAAAGACAACTTTCATGTAACTCTTTAAGGTCAAACTAATGGCACCATCTTATGTCCCCCTAAAAACCATACAACTTTTGTCTGAAAAATCTTTTTCTAAAATTAAAAATAAGAAAGTTATTTGGGGTGGGACATTAAAATGGGACACCCTGTATATCTTTTACAAAACTCTTATTGAAAAATTTATTTATTCAGAGAAAGAAGGCAAGGCTGTGCATCTCTCCTACGAGGATAAATTGAAATTGGTGGCGTTCACGCAGCAAGTGACGCATGGAAAATGTACAGCCGAAAATGCACCACCTCTGGGCGTCCTGGACGTGATTGGAAGGGACAGGCGGTTGGCATGGCAAAACCTAGGGGATATATCAAGGGAACAGGCGATGGAGGGTTTTATAGTATTGTTAGATAAGCTGTGTCCTCTATTCAGAACCGTGGTCGAGGCGCAGAAGAGGGACTCCGAGGAGAAACAGCGGCTCAAGAAGGAGGAGGAGGCCAAGAAGCTGGACGAGGAGAGGAAGCTTAAGGAGCTGGAGGAGGAGAGGAAAAAGCAAGAGGAGGAAAGACTGAAAGAGGAGACTCAGAGGAGGCAGATCCAGGATGCTTTGAATCAGCAGACCTATTATCAGTTCAAGGTGTACGCCGAGCAGCAATATCCCGGCAATCCGGAGCAACAGGGCGTTCTGATCAGGCAGTTGCAGGAACAACATTACCACCAGTACATGCAGCAACTGAAACAGAACCAATTAGTCATCGAGGACCAGACGGAGGAGGAGGAGAAGAAGAGCGTCGAAGCAGAGGACACGATCTGCAAGGACGACGACGACGACGACGACAACAAGGACGACTCGACCGAGAACGCGCCTCTGAACGATGACGACTCGGACGATTTGGAGGACTGGCCGCCCATCACTCCCGCCGAGATGTGGACGAGGAAGGGCGTCGAGGAATTTAAGCAGATCATCAGGAGAGAGGCGGGCGACGCGGTCATCAAGGTCGGCCACGGCGAGACGGTTACGGTGCGAGTGCCAACGCACGAGGACGGGACGTGCTTGTTCTGGGAATTCGCGACGGACGGTTACGACATCGGTTTCGGGGTTTACTTCGAGTGGTCCAAGCCGGAGTCGAATCAGGTCTCCGTTCACATAAGCGAGTCCGAGGACGAGGACGAGGAGGAGGAGTACGAGCCGCGAGAAGACCTGGAGAGTGGCTCGGTAATAAACGGCACCCCTCGACCTGAACGGAAAACGAGCACGCCGCCCATAAGCGTCATAGTACCTGTGAGTAATCGAATATCACTCTCGTTTTCAGCTCGTACTTGTATGTAAGAACTTGCACCGCACTGATTATTTATGATTTCAAAGGTATATAGGAGAGACTCTCAAGAGGAGATTTACGCTGGAAGTCATCAGTATCCAGGCGAGGTAAGAGCATAAGAAAACTTGCCCCAGAATTATAGTCTCGGCATATACAGGGTGTATCATTTTAAAAAACGCACCTCGATAATTCTTCAACGAAGCATTTTCAGCAAAAATGTTTCAGACAAAAGTTGTATGGCTTGAAGGGGGATATAAGATGGTGTCATTAATTTGACATGAATAGTTGCTTGAAGATCACGTGAAGATCACCTACAATTTTTAAATGGAATCCCATATTATTTATTACATATTCTTGTAGCTTATCTCGAGAGCTTTCCAAAACACTATAATAAAGTATTTTTTCATTGAATACTTTCCAAGTTATAAGGCTTGAAATCATTTTTTAATTTTACATAAACCATAAAATATCTAGTAAAATATTCATTTTTCGATTATCTTACCTTAATACTTTTATGTACAAAATAATGAGAGGAATCAGTTGATCTAAAGAAAAAACATAGTTGTTTTTAAGAAAAAAATATGTAATTTGCAATTAACAATTACATATATTTTTTAAAACAACTATGTGTTTTCTTTACACCAATTGATTCCTCTCATTATTTTGTACATAAAAGTATTAAGGTAAGATAATCGAAAAATGAACATTTAACTAGATATTTTATGGTTTATGTAAAATTAAGAATTGATTTCAAGCCTCATAACTCGAAAAGTACTTGATGAAAAAATGTTTAATTATAGTGTTTCGGAAAGCTCTCGAGGCAAGCTACAAGAATATGCAAAAGTATAAAGGGTGTCCCATTTAAAAAGTTGGAGGTAACCTTCACGTAATCTTCAAACGACTTTTCAAGATAAAACCTATGACACCATCTTACGACCCCCTTAAAACCATACAACTTTTGTATAAAACATTTTCACCGAAACCGCCATGGTTTCGAGATATTCGAGTGCGAAAGTTAAAATAGGACACTCTGTATATGTGTGCATATATATTTCAAGGTAATTATTAATTTCTCGTTTTTGCAGGGGATATATCTTCTAAAGTTCGACAACTCTTACTCGCTTTGGCGGAGCAAAACGCTTTACTACCGGGTGTATTACACACGGCAGAACTTCGTGAAGAATAATGATTAGTCTTTACGTTACATATTGAAGAGCTGAGATGTGTATCGGGGTATACGTCGTCGTCTGTTGAGCACTAGCCTTGGCATAATAATTGTCTACTAATAATGCTAGTCCAACTAAATTAAGTTTCATGTTCCCGATTCGGTTCCCGCGAGAGCGATAAAATCTGTTCGCATACAAAGAAAATATATATATTTATTGTATAGTCAGATAAGGACACACACACACATGTTCTATATATTGTTTAAAGGTGGCAAAAAACTGTGCGCACGAAACAGATTCTTAAAAGATTATCTACGAGATGACTGTGTATATTAACATTTAACTCTTCTGTCTACATAATATCGCAATTAATCTGCGGCGAGATTCTTGCACTTGTGTCGTTTCCTCGATTCAGGCTGCGATTCCTGTGTCGTCGTGATTTTGGAAAATACTTTAAAATATTTATAATATCGGTGCGCAAATCTTTATATATTATATATATATATATCTCTGGAAAAAAATGTTTCGTGTTAGAACAAAGGGTTAAATGTATACACATGCGCTTTTGTATTGTCTATATGGATATTTGCTTGGAATGTTTTTTGCTAACTCCGTGTTATACAGACTTTATCACTGTATTAGTGTTCACTATGTCATGTAGCTTTTATTAAAATTATCTTATTTTTCTTGAAGGAGAAATACAGCAACAGAGATCAAGCGCGCACTTTTTCCTCGTTTCATTCGCGACTCAACGACCAAGTTCACCTCTTCACTCTCTCTCTCTTTTGGTTTTATAACGTTTATTATTCTATGTAGCTATATTATTTTTACAGCAAAAAATCGTGCGATCTTATATATCACTCACGATATTAATGATTGGTAATAATAATAATAATAGTAATAATAATTGTATATATTCTGTAACATCCAACTACAAATAAGTTATACACTAACGGGTATGCCGGCTTGATTCCGCTCTTGTCGTCACTCCCATTTTATCACGCGTTTAGCTTCGACCTATAAACGACGTTTAATTAGAAGAGCACTTTTTTTTCAGACGGCATGAGTTTTGTATCGTTAATTTGTTTTCGGGAAAGGAGACACAGAGCGAAATTGATTCCATTATATGCGCGCCCTAAAAATACACACGTAGATTGTCCGCAAGAGATTAAATGTTAAGCGCCGATCAAACGACGGGATTTACCAGAGGTTGGCTGGCTCGTTTTACACTCGGCTCGACAACTGACAAAGTATATATATATATATATACAGGGTGATCCAAAAGTATGGAAACGGCCAAATAACTGTGGAGGAATGCACTTTGGAGAAAAAAGTTTGAGACAAAAGTTGTAGGATTTTTCCCGGGCAATCCGACGGTGACCTTAGATTTGACCTTGGATAGTCATTTGAAGGTAATCTTTATGTGACCTTCAAATGACTATCCAAGGTCAAATTTAAGGTCACCGTCGGATTGCCCGGGAAAAATCCTACAACTTTTGTCTCAAACTTTTTTCTCCAAAGTGCATTCCTCCACAGTTATTTGGCCGTTTCCATACTTTTGGATCACCCTGTATATTACTTGTAATAGTATCTAACTTAAGCATACTTGGACGAGCCCGAGCTCGATCCCGAGCGCAAAGTTTACGCGCGTTTTACCTCCCCAGCGCACACCAAGTAACATTATATAATTGTTACGTAACTCTTATATAACATGTAACTGTTATGTAACAGTTGTATTGTTGAGTGGGAAAATTATAACAGTTATATAAATGTTTTTTGGTGTTTGCTGCTGGGTTCCCTCGCTAAAAAAATACGGCTTCGTTGTTGTACAAATCATCCTCTCGCAGTACGAGAGCTATTGTGCGACGTTCTCCCCAGTAAACACCAAAAAACAGTTATACAGGGTGGACCAAAAGTCTGGATACAGTCGAATATCTCGTATGGAATGTATTTTAGAACAAAATGCTTTGGACAAAAATTGTAAGGATTAACAAGATGTATTTAACTGTAATATCCATTTGACATTGAGTATACAACTGAGAAAAAATATTTAATTGTTAATTACAAATTATATATTTTTTCTTCGAAATAACTATGTGTTTTCTTTATACCAATTGATTTCCTCTCGTTATTTTGTAAAAGTATTAAGGTAAGATAATTGAAAAATGAATATTTTACAAGATATTTTACGATATATGTAAAATTAAGAAATGATTTCAAGTCTTATAACTCAAAAAGTGCTTGAGGGAAAAATATTTTATTATAGTGTTTTGGAAAGCTCTCGAGGTAAGCTACAAGAATATGCAATGAAAAATAGGGGGTTCCATTTAAAAAATTCAAGTTGAGCTTGCCCTGACCTTGGCGACGCCACTCAATGTCAAATGGATATTACAGTTAAATACATCTTTTTAATCCTCACAACTTTTGTCTAAAGCATTTTATTCTAAAATGCATTCTATACGAGATATCCAGATTTTTAGTGCACCCTGTATAACTGTTAGTTGTAATTTCCCACTCAGCAATATAACTGTTACATGTACGTAACAGTTATATTGCTGAGTGGGAAATTACAATCAACAATTACATAAATATTACTTGGTGTTTGCTGAATTTTTTCCCCTGTTAATTTTTTTTCGCGCGATATAAATTTTTCTCCGCGAATTGATCTCACTTTTTATTCCTCGAGCATCATCGCGACGATTGAAATTTAGAAACGATTTCGTTCGTGTTGTCGCGCGCAATTATTACGCACCACGTGCATGGCAGTTGACGAATTCGAAACGTCAAAGCTCTCTATCTATCTTACCTATGGTTCTAACGACGACCATTATTTCTTACTTTTAAGTGACGCAAAGCTTATATCTTATCACTGCCATTGCTGCGAAGGTTGTCTTATTTAAAAGCACGTCCCGTTCGATCTAACGTGAATTAATAAATATCGCGATCTCTCTTTCGAAATCGTCGCTCGTTCAAATTAAACGCTAGCTTCTTCGCCGACCTCGTCGCCCTGAGATTTTCAGAATGATCTCATCATGAGCTTTTTTTTTTTTATTTCGTTTCAGCCCCGAAAAACGTGAGAGCCGTAATTTTTACAGAGAAACAACCTTGAAATATGTATATCTTTATCGAAAATTTTAACTTTATATCAATATACTTGGACATGTATATCTATAAGGTCCAAGGCAACAAGGGTGAACCAAGGTTCGCGTAATCTCTCGATGCTTTTGAAACTCGGATCAATCTTCAAATCATTCCTTTCGTCACATTTCACTCAGCAAACACCAAGTAATATTTATATAATTGTTAGTTGTAATTTCCCACTCAACAATATAACTGTAACATGTCATGTAACTGTTACACAGGGTGTCCCAAAAGTCCCGGACCGGTCGAATATTTCAAATATTTAAACTATGCACTTTAGAAAGAAATGTTTCAGACAAAAGTTGTATGGCTTGAAGGGGGCCATCAGATAGTGGCAATGATTTGACATGGGAGAATCATTTGAAAGTCACGTGAAGATCACCGTCAATTTCTTAAATGGAACCCCCCATTTTTTATTACATATTCGTGTAGCTTATCTCGAGAGCTTTCCAAAACACTATAATAAAGTATTTTTCCTTCAAGTACTTTTTGAGTTATAAGGCTTGAAATCATTCCTTAATTTTACATATACCGTAAAATATCTTATAAAATATTCATTTTTCGATTATCTTACCTTAATACTTTTATGTACAAAATAATGAGAGGAATCAATTGGTATAAAGAAAACACATAGTTGTTTTAAAAAAATATGTAATTGTTAATTGCAAATTACATATTTTTTTCTTAAAAACAACTATATTTTTTCTTTAGATCAATTGATTCCTCTCATTATTTTGTATATAAAAGTATTAAGGTAAGATAATCGGAAAATGAATATTTAACAAGATATTTTATGGTTTATGTAAAATTAAGAAATGATTTCAAGCCTCATAACTCGAAAAGTATTTCATGGAAAAATTTCCGGCCGGAACCAGAAGTTGAAAATATCACCATTCGATAGAGGACACCCGATTTATCAAGAAAATGTTTTCACTTTTTTTAAATAACCACTTCTCTAGTTTTTAAATGGGTGATACGAGTGGTCTGAAACACCCTGTATTGTTGTGTTGTAGTGAGAACAATTATAACTTATAACACTTATATAACTGTTATTTGGTGTTTCCTGGGACCTCTATCATATTCTTATTACATTTAATATCACGGGCTGAAACGATTAAATTATCACATGTCATTGACGACGTATCATTGAAGTCCCTAAGTTCCTGGGACGTTAATGTCTACTTCGGATTGCCCTCAAATTGATCGAGAAATTAATAAGTAAAAGAAGGTATGCGCAAGACAACTGCATATTTACGAAGCAGCCTCGGTAGCAACTTTCTTTACATCACCTTAAGCCCTAGAATCGCGTTAATTTCTATTTCTTGTTTTTTTTTTTTTTTTTAAGTCTTATAATTACGGATCTAAAGTATATATATATAAATACGACGAAGGCATATGTCGGTAAATGCGTGTGCGTGCGTGTGTGTACGTGTGTGCGTATGGTTGAAAGTGGAACATTTATCAAAAACTCAGCAATTGTGGTCGTTTGGTGTCGCGCCGAATAAACTCGCACCTGATACAATAATAATAATAATAATAATGATAATAATAATAATAATATAATCGTCGCGTGCAGTGTATTATAATTGAGCTATATCGCTTAACATCAAATTTACACCTCGCTTTATATATTATATATCGTCCTTAGAAAATACATAATTCGGTACCGTTCGATGGATTCGCGACGTGAACTGGTGTCGTCAAACGAACAACGCGAAGAAAACAGATGATCGACTCAAGGGGGATTGACAGAAATACGTTCCGTGAAAAATCAAATCGTCAAACTGTTCCATTTCGCACTTTTCGAAAAATAATTAATAATTTTGCTCTCCATTTTCCTATAATTTTTATTTCCTTTTTCTATCAAGGGAAGAATTTGAAAACAGGATTTGATGATTTGTTCAACCTTTTTTTAAAAAAGAAAGATAATAACTCTTTTTTTTTTGAGGAAGATAACTTTGAACTGATGGAACGAATCTTTGAAAATCCTCGATACTTTGTCCATTTTCCCGGCTCGGTTAAATTTATAACAACTAGTAACAAGTGAAATATTTTCGTTCGATTCGTCGCTTATGCTCAAGATGTTCGCACGATGATGAAAACTTGAGAGGAGACCGGAAAAATGTGGATGCTCTTGCATTGTTACACGCATCTGGTGGGTATCTGTCGTTACCACAACATTTAAGGTCGCAAGTTCTCTGCCCACTTTACGTAGACAAATTACAAACAGCTCGGAGACATATGATTGTAATTAACGTTAATAGAAAAATGAGGACACTTAAAAGTCGATAACAATATGGAGCATTTATCAAATCTTTTTTTGCATTTATATGCATTAGCCACGTGAAATATATCCCAACAAACACCAAGTAACATTTATATAATTTTTAGTTGTAATTTTCCCACTCAATAAAATAATTGTTACATGTTATGTAACAGTTATATAACATTTAACATTTACATAACATATAACAGTTATATTGTCGAGTGGGAAATTGTAATTAACAGTTATACAGGGTGTTTCAGACCACTCTGGAATTGTTAATTGTAAATTACATATTTTTTCTTAGAAGCAACTATGTGTTTTCTTTACATCAATTGATTTCTCTCATTATTTTGTACATAAAAGTATTAAGATAAGATAACCGAAAAATGAATATTTTACAAGATATTTTATGGTTTATGTAAAATTAAGAAATAATTTCAAGCCTCATAACTCGAAAAGTGCTTCATGGAAAAATAATTTATTATAGTGTTTTGGAAAGCTCTCGAGGTAAGCTACAAGAATATGCAATGAAAAATAGGAGGTTCCATTAAAAAACTGCACTTCCGGTCTGAAATCGCCTATTTCCGGCCGGAACCAGAAGTTGAAAGTATCACCATTCGATAGAGCGCAGCCGATTTATAAAGAAAATGTTTTTACTTTTTTGAAATAACCACTTCTCTAGTTTTTAAATAGGTGATACGACTGATCTGAAACACCCTGTATAACTGTTATTTGGTGTTTGCTGGGTTAATACGTAACTAAATCGCTCGACTGGAATGTACGAAATGGTCTCGATGACAAAACTTAAGCGGGTCGGATCCACTAAACCTTGCTAACCGACAATCTAAAGACTCGTTGCTCTTGGCCGCAACTCGCGATAGCCTGCGTTACATAATTGACTCGACGTTTTGTATAACAGCGTATAACGCCTAATAGTAAATTGCGCGTTAACTTTCGAATTGGCTTGGCTAAATTAGCGAGGCACGTCGTCCCGAAAAATTAATTGTACTTGGACTTGCTTCCAAGGCGCGATCCAATCGCTTCGCTTACAGCGTATTCGTCTATTCTGAAGCTCTTCTACGCTTTCGATCGCTCGAACGCGATCGTTTGGCAAAGCCGTAACCTTGCGGTTTGAATTAGACGCAAAGCACGCAAAGTACGCTAAACGCGCGGACGTCTTCTTCGAGATCTATCCGCGAAATCTCGTCTAAACTCGTCGTGGTCCTCTTGCGAAGAATGCCATCTTTAAGCGAAGGCGCAAAGGGCAATAGCCCGCATTGGAATGTCTCTTTGAAAAAACCGCACGGCCCGTTTGCGTGTTAACTGGTTTTAACTCGAAAGTAGTAGGACGGATACTTACAATACAAATATACAGGGTGTTCCATTTTAATGTCCCACCCCAAATAACTTTCTTATTTTTAATTTTACAAAAAGATGTTTCAGACAAAAGTTGTATGGTTTCAAGGGGGACATAAGATGGTGTCATTAGTTTGAACTTGAAGAGTTACGTGAAGATTACGTAAAGGTCATTTTGAATTTCTTTAATGGAACACCCTATATATTTTTGCATATTCTTGTAGCTTATCTCGAGAGTTTCCCAAAACACTATAAATAAACATTTTTTTATCAAGTACTTTTCGAGTTATAAGGCTTGAAATCATTTCTTAATTTTATATAAACCGTAAAATATCTTGTAAAATATTCATTTTTCGATTACCTCACCTTAATACTTTTATGTACAAAATAATAAAAGGAACCAATTGTGTAAAGAAAACACATAGTTGTTTCGAAGAAAAAATATGTAATTGTTAATTGCAAATTACATATTTTTTTTTCTTAAAAACAACTGTATGTTTTCTTTAGACCAATTGATTTCTCTCATTATTTTGTACATAAAAGTATTAAGGTAAGATAATCGAAAAATGAATATTTTACAAGATATTTTATGGTTTATGTAAAATTAAAAAATGATTTCAAACCTTATAACTCGGAAAGTATTCAATGAAAAAATACTTTATTATAGTGTTTTGGAAAGCTCTCGAGATAAGCTACAAGAATATGTAAAAATATATATGGTGTTCCATTTAAGAAATTCAAAATGACCTTTACGTAATCTTCATGTGACTCTTCAAGATCAAACTAATGACACCACTTTATGTCTCCCTTGAAACCATACAACTTTTGTCTGAAACATCTTTTTCTAAAATTAAAAATAAAAAAGTTATTTGAGGTTGGACATTAAAATGGGACACCCTGTATAGCGCGGAACGAAGGAATAACAATTTTAAGGCTGAGTCGAAACCGACTGGATCAGCTAGGGAAACCCCATCGGCGACTCGCTGTTTCCTAAATACATTACAGTCCCGTTTATAATATTGTAGACAGACTAGGGAACTCGCAATCTTCTTATCTACTTCTGCGAACAACGCACCGATCACTTTGGTTAAACGCTCTGGTGCTTTAAAGAAATTTGATTGTATCTTTTTGGAAAATTAACAACTTCTGATGTATAGTTGATGTTACAGTTATAAATTTTTAGGAGTTTGCGACGAGATAAGAGAGTACTTTGTCTTCGTTAATTTTGCGTAAATCTCACTTTAACGGAATTTTCATTCAATGTTTATGATTATCAAAGCATATACCCAGCAAATAACAGTTATATAACTGTTAGTTATAATTTTCCACTCAACAATATAACTGTTACATGTAACACGGCAAAGTACAACTAACAATTATATAAATGTTACTTGGCGTTTGCTGGGTAATATTCTAGATTAATAGCCAATAAAAAATTTAGTTTTCTTTTTAAATTTTGCTAAGAAGCAAAACCTCACGTTTCCTCGCAGCGAAATTAACGCAGCACTTTATACAGCAGAAGCGTCTAACCGAGACCGGCGCATTCGATCACCCTTGAACAAGTACGCTCGTTACAACGACGTCTCCATGCTGAAATTCGCTCGCCTAAGGTCGTTCTCGGCTCTATAATCCTCCACCCTGCCTGTGAAGCTGCGCCGGAAGTTTCTGTCGGTGTGGACGAGCTTCGGGCGCCGTTCCCTGAACGATCCGGGCCTCAAGCCAGGCCTGTTTGGCCGGTGCTGGTTCAACTGGTGTCTCCTGTCTGGAGTGTAAAAGTCGGCTGGACGTCCCTCGTAAGACCTCATGTCGTCGTACTCGTTGGAGCTCGTCGACCACCTCTTTGCACGCTCGGAGGGCAGTCCTCCGTAGGGTGGAGGAAGAGCAGCGTCGTTCCGGTAAGCTCGCGGCGGAGGCAACGGCGGCGTCTCGTCGACCCTGACACGGACGTCCACGTTGGCGTCCATGGTGGTCGACGGGCTCCTGGTCTGCAAGAGAAATCGAAGATCCCTCTCGTGGCGATACGAGGGATGGGCGATGCGCGGTGGATACGCGACAGCATCGGCTCGGAATGGCTCGACCGGGACGCGTCCCGTCCGTTCCCCGATGTAGGCGTCCGGGACCCGTCCCGTCCGTTCCCCGATGTAGGCGTCCGGGACGCGTCCCGTCCGTTCCCCGATGTAGGCGTCCGCGACGCAGCGCCCCGGAGGGTCCCGGATGGCCGGTGATCGGCTTGGACGAGCGGAATCTTCTCTCCCGGTGTATTCCATGGAGTTTCCGATCGGTACGATATTCTTGCCTCCGAAAGGATCGCCTGGGAAGACCTCTTGTAACGGGCTGGCGAAAATGAGCGTCCTACAAAGACGGATATGATTTATTAGATTGTTTGCTTGAAATACACGTTTATTAGAGTCAGGGAAATCGAGTCAGGAAAATCGAAAACTCAAAATTTTCACATGGTGATAACGAGGAAGTTTGACACGCTATATAAATAATAAAAAATATAATTAAAAATGCATAATAAAAATATATAATTAAAAATATAATTAAATATACATAAATATACATAATTAAAAATATAATTAAATATACATAAATATATAATTAAAAATATAATTAAAAATACATAATTAAAAATGTAATTAAATTATATAATTAAAAATATAATTAAATTATATAATTATATATAATACATGATAAAAAGTATAATTAAATTATAATTAAATAATTAAAAATTATTAATTATAATTAAATAATTAAATAATTATTTAATTATAATTAAATAAAAAAGAAAACTTGGAGAGAGAAGAATTTTTAAGAATTTAAAAATGCGAGTAGAAAAGATTGCAGGTCTGAATGAAAAATACAAGAAGAAATACAATGGCATATATGAAATATATCGCCAAGTGTGAAAAGTTAATAATGATATATGTAAGATAATTACCAATTAATAAGCCACAACACACGCCATTATGCGATGAGAGCAAGCAGAAACAAAATTCAGCATAATATTCATTATTAATAAGCAATAAATAATCAATATTAATAATAATCGATAAATCTAGTTTACACAAATTTTGTAGCTATCCCAGCAAACAAAGTAACATTTATATAACTGTTAATTGTAATTTTCCACTCAACAACACAGGGTGTATCTTAAAAAGCTTCCACTAAGCAAATAACGTTATTCCTGATTAAAAACCGAGTCGAAAAGTCCTGAATCACTTTTTTCCATAATGCTTAATAAACCAGTAATTAATGAGTCGCGTCAATAAAAAGACAAACTTCTGCGTTATCAATATATGAAGATTTGGATAAACAAAAAAAATAAACTGTTTTGCGTTAATTTTTAAACAATTCATTTTTTCAGAAATCTTTTTAATACTTAAATCTCACATTGTTCTGTGCATGAAAGTATTAAGGTAAGATAATCGAAAAATGAATATTTCACTAGATATTTTATGATTTATGTAAAATTAAGAAATTAGTTCAAGCCTCATAACTCGAAAAGTACTTAATGAAAAAATACTTAATTATAGTGTTTTGGAAAGCTCTCGAGATAATCTACAAAAATATGCAAAAATATATAGGGTGTTCCGTTTAAGAAATTCAAGGTGATCTTCATGTGACCTTCGGATGACTCTTCAGGGTCAAACTAATGGCACCATCTTATGTCCCCCTTCGAACCAAACAACTTTTGTTTGAAACATTTTTTTCTTAAATGCTTTGTTAAAGAAATAATCTAGTGGAACTTTTAAAATGGGACACCCTGTATAATTGTTACTTGGTGTTTCCTGGGATTATCGCAAAGAATATGAATGCACATATAGCGAGAGAAAGCGAAAGAGACAGAGAAAGAGACGCCAACATTTATTTAAAAAAATAGCACACCACGAATAAAATATAGAGATAACGACAAGACTTACCTGGTGCTCTCTCGCTTTTGATCATAGACAGAATACATTTTGTCTCTTGGCATAAATTCCTCGAACGACGGCATCCTTCTTCTGGGATTCAATCTTTCCCTCGAGCGCGGGCCCTTCTCGCTTCTGCCGACTGGGCTCTGGACGCACTCGATACCTTGGTTGATAAGCTCCTGATCAGCGAGGTTCTGAAACTCGTCCGCGGTCACCAGCGTGTACCTTCGCCTGTTCTGCTTCAGAATCGACTTGAGGCAGAAGTACGTCCTCGAGTCGGGGAGCTTCCAGCAGGCCTCGTTCGACATGGGATTCACCATGATCCTGCTGCGCGGCTCGAGCTTCGGGATGGTGCCGTTGCTGCTCACGTTCCTCGGCGAGACGCTCGGCTCGTCGAGGGAGAAGGACCGGTGATGGGCCAGAGAGGGTGGCAGCCTTCTATGAATACGTTCGGGAAAATGCAGTCTCTCGATCGGAAGAGTCCTCTCTGGCACGTTGAAGCCTGCTCTGCCGCCTCCCATCAGTTCCTCCTCGTTCTCCAGGATGTTCTCCAGACTCCTGACATTTCCATTCGGAAACGCGACCGCCGGTTCCGCCCGCGAACGCAAGTTGGGCTCGGAAATGTCGCGGGGCATAGGCCCAATAAGGTCTGCCGATGAGGTGAACGTTTGCGAGCTCGCGACGGATTTATTTCTGGCGACCACGCGAGGAGGAACGTCCGTATTGATCGTTTGCGTGCTGGTGGAGATTCTGCCGCAGCTGCCGCACTTGCTCGGAGATGCTCCGGCTTGAAGATTGTCCATGGAATGGGGCATCACGTTCCCGGGAGGATGCAAGCGGCCGTCAGCCGTCGTCCGGAGGGTTGCTATCTCGCTCTCGAAGGTATCGCTGGCGATACTCGTCGCAGGAACACCTGGAACACCTGGAACACCTGGAGGCAGCTCGCTGCTGGCCGCAATTTCAACGTAACTACGCTCGTAATCGTTCGCGTTCCCGTGACACGGGCATGGGCAGTGACACTCGCACGGCATCGGCGACAGCGCCTGTATAGTCGGATCGTTGGCGTTGCAAGGGGGATGCGTCACGTCGCTCGGGACGACGTTTGCGGCGACGGTAGTCGCCGCGATCGCGTTCCGATGATCGTGTTCGGCGCGCTCGTAGAGAAGCGCCTCGGAGTAGCTGGGTACCATGTCGGTCGCGACATCCGCCTCTCGTCGTTGCGCTTGCCAATTCTCCTGATTTCGCTCCGGGCCGTCGTTACGAGGCGTGGCGGGATCCATCAGCAGCGCCTCGCTGTAACTGGGCGCCAACATGTAAGAGCCTGGCTGGCTCAGCTGGCTCATGGACGCGTGGATGGGTTCGCCGGAAGTTGGAGTGTCGTAATTCACGCCGAAGAGCTTGGTGACCTGTGATAAAGAAGTTTTTTATACAGGGTGTCCCACTTTCACACTTGAATATCTCAAAACCATGGCGGTTTCGGTGAAAATGTTTTAAACAAAAGTTGTATGATTTTAAAGAGGCTATAAGATGGCGTCATTGGTTTTACCTTGGAAACCGCTATGGTTTCGAGATATTCGAGTGTAAAAGTTAAAATGGGACACCTTGTATATTTCCATTGGGACTTGATCGCAATTTTTATATCGAACAAATTTCTGTCCGAGACTACGGTTATTGAATATTGAAACTGTCAATGCCGAATCAATCATGTAACGATTAATTTCTTTCTCTCTTCTTTACCTGATAATCGGCATATTGCGTTTTATATTCGATGATCACCCTCAGCGGCCAGCTGAGCAACAGGGCGCTCAGACACCAGTAAATGTAACGATTCGTGAACCAGGGATTACCAAGAACGGCGACCAGCATCGTGTTGACGTTATATCCGAGATCAAGACCCTCTCTCATTTCCATGTAATCGTCACTGAGTTCCTAGAAAGACAAGTGTACATTATTTCTTTCATCATTTCAACAATTTTCTACATAAAGTTACCTATCCAGCAAACACCAAATAACAGTTATATAACTTCTAATATATAACTTATAATTTACCACGAGCGGTGTGTAACTGTTATATAACGTGTAACAGTTATATTGTTGAGTGGGAAATTATAACTAACAATTATATAAATGTTACTTGGTGTTTGCTGGGTATATGCCTACCAAAAGTTCCAGGACGATCGAATATTTCATAAACTATGCACTTTAGAAAGAAATGTTTCAGACAAAAGTTGTATGGTTTGAAGGGGGCCATAAGATGGTGTCATTGATTTGATCTTGAAAAGTCGTTTGAAGGTCACGTGAAGGTAATCTTCAATTTTTTAAATGGAACCACCTATTTTTTATTACATATTCTTGTAGCTTATATCGAGAGCTTTCCAAAACACTATAATTAAGTTAGTTTTCATTAAATACTTTCCGAGTTATGGAGGCTTGAAGTCATTCCTTAAATTTACATAAACCGTAATATATCTAGTAAAATATCATTTTTCGATTATCTTGCCTTAATACTTTTATGTACAAAATAATGAAAGGAATCAATTGATGTAAAGAAAACGCGTAATAGTTTCTAAAAAAAATATGTAATTTGCAATTAACAATTACATATCTTTTCTCAAAAACAACTATGTTTTTTATTAACATTAATTGATTCCTCACACTGTTCTGTGCACAAAAGTATTAAGGTAAGATAATCGAAAAATGAATATTTTACTAGATATTTTATGGTTTATGTAAACTTACGAAATTATTTCAAGCCTCATAACTCGAAAAGTACTTGAAATATTCGACTGTCCCGGATCTTTTGGTAGGCGCTGTATATCCCAGCAAACACAGAATACTGCAGCAAAGTTGCGACAATATACATTAATTATGAGAAACGAAAATCCAAGCTTCTGACAGAGATATAAAGCCGGTTGTCGCTTATTTTCGTACTTGCTCGGCGAAGAATCGCGATCGAGCCTCCTCGAACTCCGTGGCGGACCTTATGTTGGAAAATGCGAAGCCCTTGGTGAGCATAATCTTCGTGATCGGTATCTTCGGCTCGAGTATTAATTCCTTGCTGATGTCCTTCACTCCGCAATAATCGTAGTAGTAGTGGGAGGTGGCCGAGTGTGTGTTCACCCTCTCGTAATAGACCTGCGGAGGAGCGAGCCGGGGGGGTCAGGGGGGGGAGGGAGATTCGTCGGGCGCGTCCTTAACCCTTTCGCTATCGCGACATCGCTGTTACTATGCAATTGCAATATGCAGAAACGGAATATCTACATCTGCGATTTTTATCGAGCTACCTCTTTATCTAGAGGCTTGTCAAAGTACTGAAACAGATAGGATGCCAGAATATCGCCTTGAAACGGTGGATCTCTATTATACTGATGTAAAACAACGTATAGTGTTACAGACGTATCTTACGCTCTATACAGGGTGTCTCATTTTAACTTGGACAGTAAAATATCTCAAAAACTAAGCCCAGCAAACAAAAATGTTTCAGACAAAAATTGTATGGTTTCGATGGAGACATAAGATGGTACCATTGACAAAAAAAAGTAAAATCAATTGGTGTAAAAAAAACACATAGTTGTTTCAAAGAAAAAATATGCAATTGTTAATTGCAAATTACATATTTTTTCTTAAAGATAACTATGTGCTTTCTTTATATTGATTCCTCTCATTATTTTGTACTTAAAAGTATTTAATTAGCAAGGCAAGATAATCGAAAAATGAATATTTTTACTAGATATATTACTTATGTTCATGTAAAATTAAGAAATGATTTCAAGCCTCATAACTCGAAAAGTACTCAATGAAAAAATATTTTATTATAGTGTTTTGGAAAGCTCCCGAGATAAGCTACAAGAATATGTAATGAGAAAATGTAGGTTCCGTTTAAGAAATTGAAAGTGACCTTCATGTGATCTTCAAATAACTCTTCATGGTCAAACCAATGGTACCATCTTATGTCCCCCTCGAAACCATACAACTTTTGTCGGAAACATTTTTGTTTGCTGGGCCTAGTTTTTGAGATATTTTACTGTCCAAGTTAAAATGGGACACCCTGTATAAATCTTTCGGCCTAGTTTTTGAGAGTATTTTATATATATATATATATATTTTACTTATATATATATTTTACTGTCCAAGTTAAAATGGGACACTCTGTATAAATCTCTCCTTTTAGATAACTTCCCGAAGGATTTCGCGGATGCCTGGAAAAACGTTGGCGGAAGGGTTGGAAGAGGTGCGCTTAAAGGTCCGATGAAGCCGAATGGGGCCGCGTGGATGCGTCACCTGCGTCGTCGTATAATTATCCCCGTTCCTATAACGCGTGATTTGCCGTTTCCTGCGCACGTAGTGGTAGGAAACGGCCTTCCACCATATCCTCGGCTGTGCCATCTTCAGCTGCGTCAGTTTCGATAGCACGCTGTCCTGGCTCTCCGCATGCAGTAGATCGATTCTGATCGGCGAATGATAGCACTCCACCAGATAGACCAGATACAGCATCCCCATAAATGCCACCTGCACGACAGACAGAGAGAGAGAGAGAAAGAGAGAGGGAGAAAGAGACAAAGGGGGAGAGAAAAGAGGGTAAAAGAGCCGCTGGAGCGGCGTGGCATGCATCCAAGCGTGCGTAAAGGGAGGAGGAAGAGAAGCCAGAGGGACGTCGATATTACTTCTCGTCGAGTGATAAAAAAAAAGACAACGTACCCGGTCGATTCGTGGGGTATGGGGAGAAAAAGCGGAAAGAGGGCCTGCTCTTTTTTTCTCTCGCTTTCCATTTCGAGTGTTACGTACCGGAATATATATGTAGCCGTCGTCGCAGGGCGACGAGATGTGCTTGGTGCTCCTGATGGGATACTTGGAATAGTTGACCATGATCTGTGGAAGAAGAGAGGAGTTTTCAGCGTTTTTTTCCTTTTTGCAGGATCGTAGAAAGGAATTTCTTTAAGCATCGTGACGCGAAATTGACAGTGTTTGCTATTTCAAAATTATCTAGATAAAGATAAAGGTAAAAATCCGTAAATTTATCCTTAATCCTTTCTCTTTTCCTAAAGAATATTTAAATAATAGCAAAAAGATATATAAACGATATGATAAATATTTATTTATTAATTTATATTTATAATATATTAATAATATAATAATAATATATTTATAATATATTAATAATAATAATATGAAAAATATATTTTAGATAGATTTTTAGAAGCTTGCCTGGAAAATTTTTTTGCATAATGAAAACATCATCTTAGACAATTTTTAGATAAGATGACATATATTTTTTATCTAAGATAAAGATAGAGATATTTTGTATTTCTTCATTTAGTTAAAATAAAAATAAAGATGATCCATTTCTTTATCTAGATAATTATCTAGATAATTTTATGTAGATACCAGCAAACACTGGAGATGGATCAGTCTTGTCACGTACCTTGGTAACGTTGGCGCATCGGCACCACGTCACTGCCGCGAGACAACCGTATATAAGAACCGTCAGCACCAAACATTTGCAGTTGGGCTCTTTTTGCAGCGCGCCGCACAACGTCTGAGGCACCGGTCGCTGCTGAGGGTGAAAGATTAATGTACGAGGGTTCGTTAGCTATTGAGAGGGCGGAAAGCGCTTATTGGAAATTAATGTTCGGCTAATGGATGGCGTAACGTTTCAATGAAATTGCCAATTTTGCTTCGGATGTCTTCAATATGTGCCATGTTATAGACATTATTAATTTCTCTTCTATTATTTTTCATCTGCATCGATAAAAGAGACTATCTTTTTTGAATCTTGGAATTTAAATAAATCTGGAATCTTTTATATCGTATCAAATTGATAATTTTTATAAATATTAATATCTCTTTCATTTATTCGGAATAAATAACACTATTTTATCTGTACATCTGGACAAAATTTTATAGTGATGCATTACGGTTATACTTCTTGATTAAGTGGAATGAAATTATCAATATTTTTTCATTAGGAAAATATGTGCATATTAATTCTTTTCAGATTAAATCCAGCAAACACCAGGTAACATTTATGCAATTGTTAGTTGTAATTTCCCACTCAACAATATAACTGTTACACATTATATATAACTAATAATAATATATAATAATATAACTGTAATAATATATAATAATATATAATAATATAACTATAATAATATATAATAATAATATATAATAATATAACTATAATAATAGATAATAATAATATATAAAAATATAATTATAATAATATATAATAAAATATAATAATATATAATATTTATTATGATAATATGTTACAGTTATATTATAATAACATGTAACAGTTATATTATTGAGTGGGAAATTATAACAAGCAGTTATAATATTTGGTGTTTGCTGGGAAGTATACTCTTCTTCTGGAGTGCAATATTCTTCTTCTAGTTTTGCTCCAAGAGTCAACAAATTCCGAGCAACTAATTGGAATCAATTTCATACGACGTTTGAATTGATTGTAGAGGGGGAAGGGGGTCCGGCATTCGCCAACGTACTTCCTCGTTTTCTCGATTCATCGTGATCGTGTTATCCAGCAGGCCTCCCCTCGAATTGGACGATTGTAACAGACGTCAGAGACGAAATTGCGTCATTTCAGCGTAGTACGTCACCCTTCTCGTTCACTCCTCGTCGAATCGGGAGCACCCTCCTGCGATCCTGCGGCATCACGATAACAATCTATTATTCTCTTCCATTGAAGGACATTTTTACGTTGAATTTATATAATACGCGAGATACCGTAATATTATCCGCGAGATACCGTTATATTATATAGCAAGCACCAAATAACAGTTAAGTATAATTGTCCACTCAACGATATAACTGTTACATAACAGTTATATAACATTTACATAACATGTTTACAAACTACAACAAACCAATATAAAAATGTTACTTGGTGTTTGCTGGGATTCATTATGAATACGTCCGAGCTTTCTGTCGGAGAGGCAGCTTTTGCAAGCAAATTGCCCCGTCTGAAAATGATTTATGTCGACATCTCGATATTCAATGGAATCCGATACAAAATACATAAATTCTTTCGCCGCAAAATTGGAAATTTTTCTCCACTTCAACAAAGTCGAATGAACGAGCCGATCTTCAAAAATTGCGGATATTTTTTTTTTACTTAATTTTACTTTAATTTTTTTTTACTTAATTTTACTTTAATTTCTTTTTTGTCTTTTTATCTCGGGATTTTTTCAGAAGCTACGTGATTGCGTTGTGAGAGTTCGAAGCGATCGAGGTTTATCGACGTTTCGGGTGGAAGAAATAATAGCATCCACGTGTTTACGGGATTCGCACATTAATTTATGTAAAGATTGCAAAATCAATTGTTTAGCAATTTGGCTATCACGCACATCGAGGTCGAAATTAATCTGGCCTCGTCAAATGTCTTCACATCTTCAAGAATATTTTGCAAAAAGCACCCTAGCAAACACCAAGCAACAGTATAACTGTTTATAATTTATTATTATATATTATATTATATATTATATAAATTATTATATAAATTATTATATATTAATTAATATTATAATAAATTAATAAATATTATTATAATTTATATATAATTTTATATATAATTATTATATAAATTAATATATATTATGTTATATATTATTATATAAATTTATTTTATTAATTTATTATATATTATTATATTATTTATATTATTTATATAACTGTTATAATTTCCTGCTCAACAATATAACTGTTATATACCTATTATATGTTAAATAACAATTATATTGTTGAGTGGGAAATTATAAGTAAATTTTATGACTGTTACTTGGTGTTTGCTCGGACCCTGTACATAAGATTGGAAAAGGTGCTAATGACTGCGGAATGTCAGCGGTGCAACGTGCAAAAATTCCTCCGCGTGCAACGCCACTTTTCCGATATATCAAAGGTATTCGAGCATTATTAACGCAGACTAATGTAAGAGCAAAAAAGATTTTGCTCGCGATCAACATAATTAGCTGGGCAAACGCGAGCGTCATGCAATTCCTATAATTGCTTTTGAATATTAAACGCGATCATACATGAACATGAAATATTTTACACTCTATCGATAATAGATCCATTTTCCTAATCAGTTTCGCCACAAGTTGAGCTCGTGAAGCAAAGGGAAATGAAGAAACATCAAGACAGAGAGACGCATACATGTCATGCAAGCATTGTTTGCTGATATCTAGATAAAATTATCTAGATAATCATCTAGATAAAGAAATGGATCATCTTTATCTTTAACCAGATGAAGAAATACAAGGTATCTTTATCTTAGATGAAAAATATATGTCATCTCTCTCTAAAGATTGTCTAAGATGACGTTTTCATTATGCAAAAAAGTTTTCCAGGCAAGCTTCTAAAAATCTATCTAAAATATCTAAAATATATTTTTTATATTATTATTATTAATATATTATAAATATATTATAAATATAAATTAATAAATAAATATTTATCATATCATTTATATATCTTTTTGCTATTATTTAAATATTCTTTAGGAAAAGAGAAAGAATATGTGTTTATGATTTTAATATCCCAGTTATAATCTGCGTCACATTTTTTACAAATATTTATAATCTTCTAAAATAAACAAAAATATGTAGATAATTATCTAGATTATCGCAATAATCATCTCATCTTTCATCTAGATTAAGTAAAAGCAAAATCATCTTTATCTCATCTAAGATAAATTTACGGACTTATATCTTTATCTTTATCTAGATAATTTTGAAATTATTTACAGCAAACACTGCGTGCAAGTTACATACATCATGTTTGTGCCCGACACACGCGGCTTGCACACGATTATCGTACTTTACCGCCACTTTGGGGGACATCTAGCCGACATTCGCCACATCCTTGCGTCGCGTGCCGCGCGATCACAAGACTCCCACATACGTATCCTCGAATTCCGGAGGACCTACCCCACCTGCTCGCATCGGAGCAGCCCCGCTGGGGTGGAAAATTATCGAGTGCGCCGATATATATCCGCACGCCTAAGTTTGCAGCGCGTCATGGGTGTGGATCCGCTCCCAGGAAACGTGCCGCGATCACTGCTAAGCGGCTCCACCGAACGGAGCGTCCCCGCGGCGGCGCCCCGACTGACAGACGGGGGTGGCTCGGTGCCGACGTCGGTGGGGATTGTTCTGCCCGCCTGGCATCGCTCGCGTCGCTCACCTCGCTCGTTCTCTTCCTCGTCCTGGATCCTTGCCCGACTCGTCGCACGCGCGAGCGTTCGCGACTAGGCTCTCTCCGGGACCTTGAACAGCCTCCGCCGCCTCCCCCGATGACTCGTCTATTAACGAGAGCGCTTACGAAGGTCGTCGGCGCCGCTTTCCGGACAAGGGCCATCAATTATGCGAATGACATTGGTTCTTCAGGTTTTTCCGCCCTCCATGGATTATCTTCAAGAGAGAAAGAGATAGAATTAGAGAGAGAATTTTATGATTGGAAATTCCGTGACGAAGTGGAGTTATAAAGAGATTCTTCACACAGTAAAAAGTTTTCTGTTAAATTTAACATATTTCACGTGTCCCAATTTATCCATTCTAATTTTAATGTTAATTTAACAGAGGGCAAGTATGTAAATAAATAACACAAGTAATATGTTTAAAAATTAACACAAAAGTGTAACGCTTAAACTTTATCTGGAAATAAAGTTTATGTTAAATTAACATATTTATAATGTTAAATTTAATTTAAAAGAAAATGTTATTCTTACATTTTTATGATAAATAACAGAAGAGATATGTTGACTTAATATATGGAAACTGTTATAGAGAGAAAAATAACACAACTTATCTGTTCATTTTAACATATAACATATTTCGTCAAAAATTCATGCATTTACATATTAATTGTGTTATTTTAACTCTTAGAAATGGTGAATATTAACTCAACGCAGAAATGTCAAAATAACGCAATGATAATATGTTACATTAACATAAAACACGTTTTTACAAGAGAAAATTTTAACAGAAAAACAAAATGTTTTTTACCGTGCATAGAAAAAAGGACATTCATATTTTAACATGGAAATCTTGGTGCTTGCTGGCAGCAGATTTTATAATTATACGAAATCGTGATATTTTCAAATCGTAACAATAGAAAGACTGGTACTTTGGATATTTATACATATCGCTAAAAATGCCCATAAACTATCAGAAATGTCTTGTTTGAAATTTCTCTTTTTCAAATTTTGACTCGAATGTTTCGCATCGTGAATATGACGCATTCTTAGTCCAAGGATCGATCGAGCTGTTAATTAATTAAAGCTAAAGTTACAAGGTTCAATTAAAATTACAACGTTCTGCTTCGTGAGCTTCCAAGTTTCAATTCTCAAGGCGCTTCTCCGTTTTCCGGATTCGCGGCGTCAGAAGTTTTATTCGCAAAGATTTCACACGAAGGGATTGATCACCCGTGTCGCTTCAATTTGAATAAAATTTTCAGGAAATGCTTTCCAAGATGGATCTTGTAAAGTTGTTATTTCTCCAGAGTTCTTTCCGCACAGAAAAAAAAGGATATTCTTGTTTTGAAAATATATTTAGTTTTAACGTGGAAATCTTGAAATGAGATATTGCGTTAATTAAAGAAAAATATAATTGCGTAAATAATTGCTTACTTGAATAAAGCCATTTTATATAGTTCAATCAAGAAAAATATATTCTCATGATTTAAGATTTAATTTTCTCGAATGGAAGAGAAACAATGTTAGATAGAAAGTAACATTTTTAAATCAAGGATTATAATTTTCTTAAAGCAGAATTAAATAATCATATATTCTTGAGGTGACAATTACAATATTAAAATAAGACTGTAATATTGTTGAAATTTAAAATTATTAAATTCTTCCAAAAAGATTATAAAATTGTTAATTGTTCGTATATACGAAACAATGAACGCGTTAATTTAAGTATATAAGTTTTGATTCGACACTTATTTTTTTTCTGTGAGATTCTTTGCGCAACCAAGTTCTACATTTTTTTTAACATGGAAATCTTGAAATGAGATTATTGCGTTAATTAAAGAAAAATATAATTGCGTAAATAATTGCTTACTTGAATAAAACCATTTTATATAGTTCAATCAAGAAAAATATATTCTTATGATTTAAGATTTAATTTTCTCGAATGGAAGAGAAACAATGTAAGATAGAAAGTAACATTTTTAATTCAAGGATTATAATTTTCTTAAAGCAGAATTAAATAATTATATATTCTTGAGGTGGCAATTACAATATTAAAATAAGACTATAATATTGTTGAAATTTAAAATTATTAAATTCTTCCAAGAAGATTATAAATTGTTGCGTATATACGAAACAATAAACGCGTTAGTTTAAATATATAAAATTTGATTTGACTCTTATTTTTTTTCTGTGCAGAAGCAGCATCTACCTATCATAAGGCGAGGGAAGTGTGACATCGACCCTAAAAGTCATGATTTTCCTGTTATCTCGTCCTTCCTGTGTAGTTATCGTGGGAACTACAACTATGCGGGATAAAGACGCGCGTTTTGGCGCCGTCTCGACGGGTATCTATTGATTGCAATTTGAGATGCTGGCAAGAGAAGGGGACGCGATCTGGAAAAACAATAACTCATAATTCATTAGCAATGAAGCGTCAAAAAATCTAAATATCATCCCAGCAAACACCAAGTAATATTTATATAATTGTCAGTTGCAATTTCTCACTCAACAATATAATTGTTACATGTAATGTAACTGTTACATAACATGTAACAATTATATTCTTGAGTGGGAAATTATAAATAAGTTTTATAACTGTCATTTGGCGTTTGCTGGGATTAATTATTTATATATAAATATTAATTATTTATATTTAATTATTTATATATAAATATTTATATTTAATTATTTATATATAAATATTTATATTATTCCATATATTGGGAGTTTTTAAAAAGAGATTACATTTTTTTAACATACTTAATTTGTTCAATTTTTACAGAGCTAGAAAATTAAAAAAAAATATCTATATTTATTATCCTCAATATATTTTTAAACATAGAAGAGTTGGAAATATTAAAACATTTTTTTCTATTCACATTTGACATTTAATTACATGACGCCTTAATCGAGAAATAATAAAACAAGATCAAAGTATTAAACTCAATTTCCGATTTCGAAAATCAGAAATAGATTTTCTCAAATATATCTACATATTTTACAGGGAAATCTTGGTTCTTGTATTCATCTTCGCTGCGAGAAATTCTTGCTGGATAAATTGCTCGCTGGATTTGACAAATGACGATAATGCATACGCCCAGTTTAAACAGATAGATCGGCTTTAATATTATTTATGAAAGTACCGAGAGATCTAGGAAGCTGCACTGACACCCTTTAAACGATTTGACCTTATTTTTTTCAGAGTAATCAATAGGCGAGGGTTCTACTAATAAATACTTAGACAAATCGATAAGTAAGCAGAATCAACAAAGTGTCGTCTAAATAAATTTGCGACGAAATATACATATATATATATATATATACATATACATATGTGTATGTTGTTTAGACATGCGCGTATGTAATTTTGCGAGCGCGAGATTTATTTTATTTATGCGCGTACTTTCTTAATTGCCATAAAATAATGTATCTCTTATAAATTTAATAAATAATTTAATAAATAGTTTATCTCTTATAAATTTAGGCGAGTAAGAAAGTGAATGCATCAAAAAAAGGGACAACGCGAGTCAACTTACCACGTTGTAACGTAATTTCTACTACTTTGGAAGCCGGCCAAACCCGCATTCTGTCTATACATTGATTCTTCAGAGCCGCCGTATGCATATATGTATATCAATTGATTTTGAGGATATTTATATGCAAAGGATGGTGCGTGGGATATCTTGGAATAAATTTGTTTAGGTCTTCTTAACATGTCTAACACCTGCCAAACGATACAAAAAAGCCAGAAATTTCTAAATGAAGCTTATTGCTCGAATTTCCATACATGTACATTTATATGACCGAAATCCATTTAAATGTTTATTTCGCAAAAAGTGCTGCATCAATTATGGAACTATTGTTTGATTAAAATCGATGTGTATATGTACATTAAAAGATTTTACACGCATAAAAGATCTTTTATTGTACAGTACATATATATATATATATATATGTAATGTTTTCGCACTTGTTATAATTTTAATTGCAATAATATGCTACATGTGACCAAAATTAAACAATGCGCTTCAAGAAATATTTACTAAAATATATAAAATATTTTATTTATGTTAAACTGAACATCTATTATTTCTACTAAAAATAAATGTCATTCAGCATTAAAAATTTAATTTAATATAATTTTGTTTTCATTATAATGAAAGAAAATATTTATAAGTGATTTTTTTCTTGAGATTTAATGTAATTTTTTTATAATATGAATAAAATTCTACTATATAATAAATTAATAAAATTTTTCTTTGTGATAAATCTAATTTCTTATTAATGAATGCTACATGTATGGAATAAATCAAATTATTTACATAATTTTGGATTTTTACAAAAAAAAATTATAAAAAAACGAGTTTTATTATAAAACGATTTAACAATTCATGTTCCTCTGTAGACTTAATCATTATGAACATGGTATATAGCTGTACAATACCTATATATACACACACTGAATTTATAATTTTATCCAAATATCGATTTAAGAAATTCTGTCCTATCTTCCGCATCCATCTTTTCTGCTTTTCTATTTCTTATCTCACTATCAGTGTCTCTTTGTTTAACTTCAGGCAATTTGAAAGTCGTTTCCCCTCCTTGTTTTTGTTTCTTAAGTAATTTCTTACTCCTATCCACATTATACGAGAAGAAGTTAACTTCTCTCTTAGCTTGTGCTATTTCAGTCAAAAGTCTTTGTTTATGCACAGCACGTTCGTATGCTAAGCGCTCGCTCAAGTGAATCCATTTAAATCTAAAAGTATAATATAAATAATGACGAGTAATATTAATAAAAATATATCTCATTATCTTTATTATCTATATATAGATAATAAAGATAATGATATATTTTTTTTGTTCTCGATGCTCACCTAGGCAAGTACTTTATATTCCATATAACATCAAAGAACTTGCTTTTCTTTCTCGTAGATATTTGAGTGTTGTTTAAGGTCGCAGCTACAAATTTTGCTACTTTCTTGCTTTCAAACTCTACCCAGCCTTCAGTGAAATGCTTGATTGCTTTTCTCCGCTTCTTCTTCACCGACTGTGCCTCTAAAACATTTTGATATCTTAAATAATCACATGTACAAGAACATATATAAATATATATGTATTGAAAAATAAAATAATTTTTAATTCTTATTTTTCTCAATATTTGAAAATTATTTTCTCACATTTATATCAAGCGATTGTTTAATCGCAAAAATAAAGTTAAAATTATTTATAATTAATGATATATTTAAAGAAAAATAAAATAATTTTTAATTTTTATTTTTCTCAATATTTGAAAATTATTTTCTCACATTTATATCAAGCGATTGTTTAATCGCAAAAATAAAGTTAAAATTATTTATAATTAATGATATATTTAAATAAAAATAAAATAATTTTTAATTCTTATTTTTCTCAATATTTAAAAATTATTTTCTCACATTTATACCAAGCGGTTTTTTAATCGCAAAAATAAAGTTAAAATTATAATTAAAATTATAATTAAAGATATATTTAAAGAAAAATATTTAAACACAAACTAACCATTTTCGTCGAGTTGTAAATACACTCTGTCCACTTTGCCATAACCCGAGAATATTTCTCGAATCATTGTGACATTCATATATTTCGGGATTGTTGACAAATATATTATTCCCCTTTTACCTTTCTTGCCGGGTTTTATCACGTTGTTCGTCTCCATGATAATATTTTTCAGAACGTGTACCTCAATTTGAAGAAAAACAAGTGAAAACGTGAAAGCTGGAGGGAAGGAGGAGCGAGCTTCAGCGCCACCTATCTTCAAACTCGGACGCGAGCGAATTAAAATCAATCACGTGACAAGAAATCATCGTTTGAAAATTAGGCGCGCGATGTGTCGGTTCTCCTTATCTTGCATTATAATCTATCAAATAAATATTAATTTAATCTCTATTTTTATTCTTATAATTATAATTTTTATATTAAAATTAATCATAATTAATTATAATTTTCATATTAAAAATTCATATTCAAAAATTTTCATATAAAATTAATTATAAATAATTTTAATTTTCATATTAAAATTAATTATAAATAATTATAATTTTCATATTAAAATTAATTATAATTTTCATATTAAAATTAATTATATATAAATTATATATATATATATATATATATATATATATATAAAACACAACGTGAAAATAAAGTAAACATAAGGTAAAATATTATAATGACAATTCTATCGCATCTATATCCATTTTTTTTTCACCATCACATCATTTTTTTTGGAATAAAAACACGTATTAAGGCCTTAGCAAAAAAAAATATAAAATATGTCTCAGCTAAGCAACATTTATATAACTGTTATATAATATATTATTCCCCTTTTAACTTTCTTGCCGGATTTTACCACGTTGTTCGTCTCCATGATAATATTTTTCAGAACGTGTACCTCAATTTGAAGAAAAACTAGTGAAAATTTTAGAAAAACGTGAAAGCTGGAGGGAAGGAGGAGCGAGTTTCAGCGCCACCTATCTTCAAACTCGGACGCTACATGTAACAATTATATTATTGAATGAAAAATTACAACTAACAATTATATAAATGTTGTAATTTCCCAATCAATAATATAACTGTTACATGTTATGTAACAGTTACATAACATGTAACAATTATATTATTGAAGAAATTACAACTAACAATTATATAAATATTATTCGACATTTTCTGATAGTATATTCAACAAAGCTGACCGCGCGAAAATTTAAAATTCGAATAAAAAATCTCACCCAATAGAACAACGAAGCTAATTCCTGCCTCGTCGAAAGAAATACACGATCCTAAGTAAAAAACAGAACATATTCCTCGCGACACCCGGCTCTATTGTTCTCCGCTTCCCTCCTCTCCCTCTCGCTCCCTGTCGCGAACGTCAAAATCGCGCGCCACCAGGCTCGATTGCGCAACCGCCGCGCGCATCGTGTGTACGTGTGCGACGCGTACACACGCTCCCCCATGTGTGCGTGATATTCGCGCACGATAATCGGCCGCCAATTCGCGGAGGGACGACGCAATGGATCCCTGAGTAGTCGCGGGCGCAGCGTCTTTTTTTCCGCGACACCGCGTATGCAACGGGGCTGATCTCGCTCGCGGCGAGCGACGTCAGGAGGCAGCGGGAGAGACGGTGAGCGGGTAAGAACGTCGTCGACGACGATCGGGCCGAACCCTGGCCCTGGTCCTCGCCTTCCGTCCGATGCCAGCCGAACAAAATGGCCGCCCGCGGGTCCCCGACGATGCTGTTGTTTATCCGTGAAGGCTGACGCGGGAGGCGAGAAGGCGTTCCTCGGCCAGTGGCGTCCCCCTCATCGGGACTCCCCGTCGTCGCCGGATCTCCCGTCGCTCGGACCGGCTCCCTCGAGCGTCGCAGCGGCTCACTTCCGCTTTTTTGTGCGCAGGCTACGTCAGTTTCCGAGTGGCGGTAGTGGTGGTGGTGATTAGCGATTGGCGGCGTGGACTTGGACGAACCTGAACGGGCCTGAACCTCGCAACTCGTCGCGTCGGGATCACCAGGTCTCGCGTCACCAGGACTCGTTCGGAGATATGCGTTCACCTGGAGGCGGCGGTCGGGAGGTCTCCAGGTCGGCGAAGAGGAGATAGTGAATTTTGGAGCGGAATTTGGCGCGCTCTAGGTAATTATAACCTAGACGAGCCCCTTTCGCGGGAATTCGAGGAGACACGTTGATCGCCCGTTGATCCCTTCCCCAGGTAGACCAGGATGTCCAGCTCGTACATCGTCGAGCCTCAGAGCGAGGAGAAGAAGGACGACACGTTGATAATCGTCGTGAACGACGATGGGACCTTGTCCGTCGACCAGGCCACTCTACAGAACCTGATAAGTAAGTTGGGAGTCGATCGAGAGTAGAGATTTTTGTATTCGCTCCGTGATACTCTATAGATCTCTGTATCGCTCATTGAACGTTTTGCAGTGACCCAATCGACCGCTAATGTTAGCGTGGTAAGACTCGGACAAACTGAGACAGATATGGAAAATGGGGATATAACCTTGACCGTAGATCCACCGCCATTTACGCATCCTACAGCGAGCTCGGTAAGCGCCAATGCCAGCACCGACTCGGGTGGGTTGGTAGATCCTTTTATGGAGATGGATCCGGAACAGTTGGAAAGATTAGAGACAGCTCTACAAAGCGAAGAGGCAAAGCAGATACTCGGGGAGAATGTCACTGCAATGCTTGGTACTTTGTTTATTATTTTTTTTTTTTGCGTTAAGTTTAAGCCCCTTTCTTATGATTGCGACGCTGGGTAGGAGTTTTCTGTTTACATTAGCGATTTTTCATTGTGTCCCGTCGATATAGATGTGCCCAAAAAATTTCTGATACTACACAAGTGCTCCTAATATTTCTTTGATGTTTAACGGATTGTCGATTTATCTTCAGACTTCTCCATGCATTTGTTTTCCTTAGATATGTTGTCGGTAGAAGAGCAGCAGAACACCATACGCTACAGTATACAATTGGATCATTGTTATACGAGCAGATTGTCACCCAATGATCCGATACCAAGAGATCCCTTACCGATTGTCGACGACTCGCCTGATTCTAATGATGTTCAATATATACATCAATCGTTGTCTCCTCGAACAAGTGTAGCATCTAATGAGGCGGAAAATGCTGGAGTTAAGAGCAAAATTATTGTAAAGAGTATTAGTGTAAGTGATCCTTGTTATTTAATAGAATGTCACTATGATAAAGGAGAGATTAATAATGTGTATTATTAATCTCCTTTTATTATATCTCTATTTTATCTTTATTATCTTACCTTATTATGTTTCAATAGGCACCGTTGCAGAACAAAATAAATAGACCGATACGTAAAGCCACTGTGTCCACACCTACAAATGTAACTGGGCTTTCTAGAGTTAACACAACCATTATTGGAACTCCCAAGTTATCAGGACATCATCTTGCGTCAAGAAATATAACAAATGTCCAGCATGGCGTAACTAAGGGTATCAATCTTTAATCTTATATTAACAATAGTTTAAAATTATTGTTAACAAGTATAATTTCATCATCAATCGCGTTTGTAGCACAAAGTAGGAATAATGAAGAGGAAGAGGGCGACGAGGCGACAGAATCATCCACAGAATCCTCAGAATCGGAACCACCGTCTGATAATGATAACGATTCGGACTTTGGCCCTCGCCAAACTAAAAGGGCTAATACCAAGGCTCGAGGGGGACGAAAAGGTCTTACTACCAGGGGCGGCAGCATGACAGCTGTTCGAAGAAGAGGTCAAAACAAACAGCTCGATATGGAGCAAGTGCGACGATTAGACATGGAAATGGCTGCTGCCGTTAATGCAATGAAAACTCCGGAGAAAGACGATAAATCAGGTGAGTAAAATGAATTGTTAAGAAAGTGAGCGATTCAACGGATTAAATAATGCAATTTCAATGTTGCCAGAGAGGTTTAGTCCAACCAAAAATAAGAGACAAATCAAAACCCTTGGTGGAAAGAAGAAAGAGGAATCATCATACATGGAAGTATCCCCGCCTGAGGAAGCGCCATACGAGAAACCTCTGCAAACGACAAATCAAGTGAAGGCGAATCTAATCAACGCCAATATGATCAAGGGCGATATGATTTTAACGAAACCTGGTCAAGGAAGAAGTAATCCAAAGGTTACGTTCGTTCAGAAACATATCCCGATGAAACCGAACGAATTCAAGAATATCGGGCTTAAGAAGCCCATGATGGTTCCTAAGGGAAAATCCCCTGTGAATCAAACGGGCGCAAAGTTCTTTGCAACCAAAGATGGAAAACTGGTACCGATAGCATCCAAAACGATGAGTCCGAACATACAAGTTTCCCCAGTAAAAACAACATTGACACAGCAACCTGCGTCACAGCAATCTGCACAGGTCGTGAGTCAAGGACTGCCGGTGCAGCAGCAGGCAAAAATTTCCCCAGCAGCCAGCAGTACTCCTTTAAGAATCAAACTAGGCGATATAAAAAGAGAAAAGCGAAAATCCGATACTAACGTGGACTTATTCTCGAAGGGGGAAGAAAATTCTGCAAAGTTTATAGAGAACAAGGCATTGGATGGTCAGAACTTTTCCAATTTTTATTATCAAATTAAGAGTGAATGGAAATGATTGAAAGAGTCTTTCATTAAATTGTACCTTTAAATGCTAAATCATTCTCTTACAGGCGCGAAAAAAATTAAAAAGGATACTCGGAAAGTTCCAGGATTTGTAGCCGATAGTCTGGGTCCAGCACTTTTTTCAACACCAGATATAATTCGACGCGTTGGTTCGAATAGCGATGGAAAAAGTGCGGATAACACTGCAACACCTACAACTCCGACAACACCTTCTGCGACAGTGGTGTCTACACCCGGATCAGCGACAATTCCCATGTCGCCAGTCCCTTCATTAGATATTGGCATTTGTGCTGGTTCAAATGCAGCACAAAACGTTGCTTCCAATTTTAATAAAAAGACAGTGTCCAATATTTTAGATCAATCTGCTGAAACAGAGTCGCAATTGAATCTCAATGAGAGTAGCAGTGTAATGCCAGGAGATGAAAACGAACAAAAATCGGAAATTAAGACACCCCTTGAAGAATTGCAACCATCACTGGATCCAGGTAAAACTAGATCTTGGACAAAGTTTTATTAATTTTGCATATTCCTCTAAGATTGTTATTTCTATACGCTATTTATTCACGAGTGATTTTTCTAAAACTATTGCTTATCTTTACATTTTCTTGTTAAAAGAAAAATGTGCCATTCTAATATATTTTAATGCATCCTATTATTTTTTTTATTGGATTCTTTTATTGTTTTTACAAATATTTTATATTATTTTATGTTGTCAAGGATCGCAATGTATGCTTATGTGAAATTTATGTTTTGCGGTACTATCATATGTTTTCTTAGCGCCAAATACTGCTTCATCAGAGGGAATTATTCAACCTGCGGTACCTAGTGTCTCAAATCATGTTTCTAAAAATAGTAAGTTTTATCATTAATTTATACTGTATTGACATGAAAATGTTACGCGTCTATATACATCTGTTTTTCTATACATTTTCTCTATAACGATAATTTCACCTTATTCTTTACGAATCTATATACTCTATTTGCTTTCTAAATATATCCCTTTTTTTAATTTTTTTCTTTTTTTCTCTTAAATATCATACTTATATTATTTGACGATAATTCATGAATGTATTCTGTATTTTTGTTAAAGGTGGGATTGAAGGGGAAGAACAATTATTTGCTACTTTAGAAATGGAAGCTAACAAGCCTGAAGAAGACCTTCTAGCTGAAGCATTATTGTTACAAGAGGAATTGACAGATGATTTAACTGAACATGTAAGCATGTTTAATCATTTTTCATTGTATAATAATAGTAAGTATAATATGTAAGTAAAATACATTATTTCATAATAAGTAAAACCTTCAAAAATAAATATAATAATATATGTATGTGTAAAAAGAATATGTATAGCGATATTTAAAAAAATATTGAAGTTTGGATTAGAATTTTAGTATGCCTTGTATAAACTTTTTCTCAAGGGAATGATATCAAGGTTCCAATAAAATCTGATTCTAGACTTTAATATGTAATCACATATTCTTTCAATGTTTAAAAGTGTTCTGGTCTCTTTTTGCTAAAGAAAGCCTACAATAATGGTAAGCAACACATACATATATACATAAATATTTATTGCAGTAAATACATAATGAACATAATAATAGTATTGATATTTATGAAAATTCTATTATTATACATTAACATTGTGAATCATTATGCATTGTTATTTTGATCATTTGTTCATTTATTAATTTTAGAAGGAAGAATTACTTTATTTCAATCGTTTTCAAATTTTAACATATTGACTTATTTTGGTATTTACTTATTTGCGTACATACATTTTAATAAATGTATGACAAATATCTAATTTTTATAAATATTTCTAATTTATAATAAATAAATATAAATTTATAAATATCTAATTTATATAATATATATAAATAAATTTATAAATATATAATATATATAAATAAATTTATAAATATATAATATATATAAATAAATTTATAAATATCTAATTTATAAATATTTTTAATTTACAAATATTTATAAATTGGATATTTGGCATGCATTTATTAATTTATTAAAATGTATGTACGCAAGTTTATAAATATTTATAAATTAGATATTCATTTCAATATTATATTTTGATGATTGTAAATTTGATTAAACAATTTTGTATATTTTGTATCGTACTAGGAAATATTTTCGTAATTATTACCAATAATTATACAATTTTCCCTACACAAATTTTAAAATAAAGAATTTTTTTTTTCTAATCCAATCCATAGACATATAAACATATAGATTGCTTATAAGACAGTGGAATCTAAGTGTAGATGTCCTGAAGGAAAAGAATAACATGAATTAACTTGTGTTTCAGAAAAAGGCAGAAAAGCAATTTATGTTAACTTTTTCTCTCAGGAAGACACTCTCCACTATTTTATTTTAAGCAGTCTATATGTCTATGACACTGTTTTATATTTTTTTTCGTATCGTGCAATATGAAAATTAATGAATTGCAGAAAGGACAAAAAAACATGAAAAAACACAATGATATTAAACATTAATACAAATGATTTTTTATTACTTTTGATCGTGTTAATATTTATGTTGATTATTGATTTGATTTGTTTATTGATCAAGTTTTTAATAATATTAAAATATTTTTCAATCCAGAAATTGAAACAACTTATTTCCATTCAGAGATTTTGTTCTAATAAATTATGATTATTAAAATTTAAATATTTTTTAAAAATAGTTTGTATAGAAAAATTGTTTAACAAAAAATGATCCTTTAATATCTCATTTATTTTTCATCTTTTCTTGTCTTTATCTGAATTGGCAAGATTTATATGGATAATAAATGAGGGTGGGGGAAGGGGGGAGGGGTAAACTCCGTTTTATAAGACTCGATAATAAGAATTGATTTAGTTAGTTTAATTAGTTTCTTTTCTATTATTTTCACGTTTTTTTTATATATCAATATAATAATTTAAGGAAATATAATTACACTTTAATCTAGTGACTGTTTGTGCTAATCAATTTTTTGGACTTTTGCAATAGCCAATCAACTTTTTGCTCCCTAGAAAAAATGTCGACATTTCATATCAAATTTAATGATTTCGGAAAATACATATTTTTTAATCTAATGGCTTTTTACCTTTCAAACACGTTTTATTTATTTTTGCAATAAACTTTATTAAACCAATAAATCCACTTCTCAGCAAAAAGTTACCAGATTAGTTATATTCTACTCTTGCCCCAAATTGCATGACATCAAAAAAACTCTGAAATGTCATTTTATATATGAGAACACACAATAATTATTCTAATGTTTTATTATTATTTTTTAATTATTTCAGTCATTAATAATAATCACGTTGTCTTTGTTCCTCCTGCCTCTCTCTCCCTCTTTCTCTCTCTCAAAAATATTATGAAGTAAAAATACTTAAGTAAAAATAATTAAAATTATTTTTCTCATTGTATATATTATATATTATATATATATATTGTATATATATTGTATATATTTTTCTCATTGTATATACTTGTGCAGAGCACGCTGGTCGATGCCACACCATCTGTATCGGAATCATTGGCATCAAACAACATGCTTATACCTCCATTAATAACATCCGAACAAGAATTAACTAAACCAGTGGAAACAGCAACAACGACACAGAATCAAACAACAAATATTTTGAAAGAACCGAGTAAAAAATCAAAGGATGATAAAGAGCCGATTCAGATCATTCGGGGTGGCCGTGTGATTACATTGCCACCCATCGAAGCGCCTGCAACTAGAAGCAAACGATTGCAAGCCAAAACTGAAATATCGCAGAAAACCCCTGAACCGATCAAGAAAATAGAAAAATTCATGTGAGTTTTCTCTATATTATGAGCAGAACTTGTGACTCCAACAGTAATGTACTAAAAGTGCAATCAAGGTTCTTGTGATTGTGACTCCAATGACAGTAATGTACTATAAGGACAATCAAGGTGTAGAATTTTTTTTACCTGTTCTCTATGCTCGAAGCTCAGGCTCAAATTCTTCCTCTTCAATTTGTGGCACTGACTATTTCATTGCTTATCCATGCTGCCAAATGATAGGCTTAAATTCGAGTCCCATTTTTGCCTCTTCCTTTCTGATTGGTCAGTCAAAAAGGTTGCAGTTCGAGTGAATTTTAGAAAAACGACCAACGGAAAAACGACCAACAATGCACAGAGAGAGAGGGGGCTTCGGAGGGCCTCCGCACAAGGTGTTCTGTATCGCATTACGTTACGTTAAGTATAGATTGTAAATTTAACTCCGTACGTAAACTTTAGTCAACGCACAGAAAAAATCGTAACGTAAAGAGGCATAAGGCCGCAGCACACACTTTTGCATAAGCTCATAACCATAAGCATAAGAAAATTGATTGGTTCATTTTCTTATGCATATACCTGGGGACCAATCAATTTCCTTATGCTTATGGTTATGAGCTTATTCAAAAGTGTGTGCTGCCGCCTATATCTTTAAAGATATGTCTTTAAAGATATACTCTTACGATTTTTTCTGTGCTTTAAAGATATGTCTTTACGTTACGATTTTTTCTGTGCGTTGACTGAAATTTAAATTTACGATCTATGCTTAATGTAACGTAATGTGACGAAACACCTTGTGCGGAGGCCCTTAATCGATTAACTTTGCCAGCGAGAAAGTTATAAGCAAAAAAATTTTATCTCGTGTTAATATATCTTGTATTGATATATAAACTTTTTTATAATATTCGATTAACTTACTTTTTGAGTATTCGACTTTATTATCTAAATTTTTTTTGTGTCAAAATGCAAAAAAGCAAAGTTTTTCGATTTTACTTTGAAGCACGTGTAACGATATTCCGATATTAAACGCAAATCCAAGAGGAATAATAATATTTTCTACTGATATTGTTTTAAAATACCTTGTAAATAATTCACTTAAATTATTTTCTAAATTTTTATTTGTAAATAATTCACTTAAATCATTTTCTAAATTTTTATTTGTTGAATAATTTTTAAAATACCTTGTAAATAATTTTATTTTCGAAAAAACAAAGCTTAGAATCTAAAATTCTAATAATTTCAAGAAAGAAAATACTGTGGAACTGATAAAGTTTATTTGTGATTATTTATATTCAAATTTGAATAATTAAATATAAAGGAAAGTTTTCAAAATGAATAACACTATAAATAATTTACTCGTTGAATTTATTTCACATAATTTTATTAAATAATTGGAGACCAGATAATTACTCGAAAGATCTAGTTCTAATGTTTAAAATATTATATTCGACAGTAATAATTGTGTTACAGTCCGCAAGTCCAACAACTATTACAAAATAAAGAAGAATTAAAAACGAATGAAGAAGAAGATGATGATGATGAGGAAGATGAAGAGGACAATTCAGATTCAGAAGATGATCCAGATCGATTGTGGTGTATCTGCAAACGACCGCATAACAATCGATTTATGATATGTTGCGATGTCTGCGAAGACTGGTTCCATGGAAAATGTGTACATGTTAGTAAGGCCATGGGTAAGTAATCGAATAATCTAGCTTTAAATGACGAGATGAAATATTTATATTTATATTTAATGATATTTAGTGATATTATACGCGATGAAATATTTATATTCAATGATATTATTTGTACGATAGGCCAACAAATGGAGGAGAAAGGCATAGAGTGGGTTTGTCCGAATTGTTTAAAGAAGAAAGCTGAAGAGGAAAAGGCAAAGTCGAATCCACAATCTGGAAAACAAAGAACAAAGATTGAACTAGTGAATGAGAATTCAACATCGCAGAAAGTATTATCAAAAGAAATACCTTTATCGAATCTTTCTGTTGACTGCGGTATTACTCCAGTTTCTGGCACGATGCAGTGTGTTGTATGTAAGAAGGAAGCCAGAAATTCTAGCATTTATTGCTCAGATGCATGTATTCTGGCACATGCTCAGGAAACTTTGACCAAGGATAAACCTGTACCAACAGGATCAAAAATCACAAAGTCGCCTGTAACAGAAACTAAGGCAAAACCAGAGGCTAGAGTGGTAGTTCTCGATAGAAAAAGTGGCAAACTTCTTACTGGTACGTAGATTACTTAATGTTAAATATTAAATATTAAATGAAAATATTATAACTTTTTCTCTATAAATTAATCGTACATTTTTTATTCTGCGTATATTTGTCATTTAAATAAGACTGAAAATTGATGAGAAAGTTGAAGATGTAAAGAGATTGTTAATAAGTTTAAAAGATAGAGATGTTTGATATATATAAATATTTATGTAAATTATCATTAATTCAGGTGCAGATGCTCCTACAAGATCTAATTTGCGAACATGGTTAAAAGAGAATCCAACTTTTGAAGTGATAGGAGCTAACAATATCAATACGCTTCAGATAGGTGGCAAGCTTGTCACGCAGATCCAAACATCTGGAAAAACTGTATGTATAAAATTAAATTAAATTAAATTAAGTAGTTTAAAATGGTACAATTATTAATAGCATGATATTAATCATATATATAGATAACTTAAACATATACAAGGTGGACCAAAAGTCTGGATACAGTCGAATATTTCGTATAGAATGCATTTTAGAACAAAATGCTTTAGACAAAAGTTGTAAGGATTAAAAAGATATATTTAACTGTAATATCCATTTGATATTGAGTATACAACTAAGAAAAAATATTTAATTGTTAATTGCAAATTACATATTTTTTCTTCGAAATAACTATGTGTTTTCTTTACACCAATTGATTTCTCTCATTATTTTGTACATAAAAGTATTAAGGTAAAATAATCGAAAAGTGAATATTTTACAAGATATTTTACGGTTTATGTAAAATTAAGAAATGATTTCAAGCCTCATAACTCGAAAAATGCTTGAGGGAAAAATATTTTATTATAGTGTTTTGGAAAGCTCTCGAAGTAAGCTACAAGAATATGCAATGAAAAATAGGGGGTTCCATTTAAAAAATTCAAGTTGACCTTGCTCTGACCTTGGCGACGCCACTCAATGTCAAATGGATATTACAGTTAAATACATCTTTTTAATCCTTACAACTTTTGTCTAAAGCATTTTGTTCTAAAATGCATTCTATACGAGATACTCGACTATATCCAGACTTTTGTCCACCCTGTATAAAAGAGATATATTATCAAGTTATTTGGATTTCTATCTAAATCTAAAAATCTTCCATCTAAATATAAATATATACAAATTTCTAAGTATAAGAGTTTGAAATGAATAAAAAGATACGCCAACTATATTTCCAGACAAAAATAACGCAACCGATTAAAGTGCAAACCATGCCAAAGATGATCTACACGAAGGTAGTTGGCTCGAAACAAACTGTTTTAGCACCCAATAAGAAAATTACAATAATTCCTGCTACGCAACAGCAAGCGAATGTGTCGCCGAGTAATAGACCAACGCAGATGAAACAAACAATAATCTCCACGACGCCGGGAAAGAGCCCTATAATATTGAAAACGACGATGCCGAAAAGTGTCGTGTCGGCACAAGTGAAAGCTCAAGCAGCAGCAGGCTCGCCGAAGCCGACGCCGATTAAGAAGCAAGAAATCAAACCATCGCCGTCGCAATCGAAGCTACAAATTAAGCCAACGCCGGTGAGAAAACCGGAGGCGGAGCCCATACGACTGAACATACGGAAAACCCTGACGGAATTATTATCCAGCCGTATAAAGGAAACCGAGGATTTGAAACTGACCGACGAGGAGATTGCCGACTTGGCCTTCAACATAGAGCTCGAAATGTACAAGTATTTCAAGGACACAGGTTCCAAGTACAAGGCAAAGTACAGGAGTCTCGTGTTCAACATAAAGGACACCAAGAATCTGACATTGTTTCGAAAGATCGCGGATCGCTCCTTGACGCCAGACGCGGTGGTACGATTGAGTCCCGACGAGATGGCCAGCCAGGAATTGGCCGAGTGGCGGGAGAAGGAGACCAAGCATCAGCTGGAAATGATAAAGAAGAATGAATTGGATCTGATGGCTCAGGCCAAGTCGATCGTCGTGAAGACTCACAAGGGCGAGCAAATAATCGAGAACGACGGCGGAATCGACCACGTCGATCCTAAGACACCGGTGCAGGATATCGTTACCGCGTTGAACAGCGGCGATAGCATAAGTTCCACGGTCGACGATCTGGAGAAGGATAAAGACAAGGAGGATAGGCTGAGGTCGCGAATGGACGCGAAGAAATCCAAGGGCATGGACGAACGCAGGAGGAAGGACAAGGAGAGGGGCAGGGAACGCGATGGCGTGAAGTCCAAGAGCAAGGATCGACGAGAGCGAAGCCACAGCCGGCACCGGCGTAGCCGCGATCGAGATCGCAGCAAAACGCGAGACAAGAGCAAAGAGCGAAAGTCCAGGAATAAGGAGAGCAGACGCGACAAGGATAGGGAGCGCGAGAAGGATAAGGATCGCGATCGGAATAAAGATCGGGATAAGACGAGCAGGAAGGAGAGCAGGGAGAGAGGCCGGCAGAAGGAAAAGGACAGGCACAAGAGCAGCGACAGCTGGATGAGGAACCGTAGCGAGAGCAGGGAGTCCAAGGACGTCGACAAGAAGGAGGAGGACCGTAAGAAGGAGACGGAGAAGAAGAAGGAGACCTCGCCGTCTGTAGAGAAGCCAATCGAGGATCGCCTCTGGCGACACATCGAGGACGAGGCGACGACGAATACGATCGATGGAAACGATTCCGACATATCTGACAGAGAGCCCAGCTCTACCGTCACGATCAAGACCCCCGACATAAACGAGGAGCCCGAGAGAGACAAGGAACAAGAGACGGACAAGGAGTCGACGACGAAGGGCGGCTGGCGAACCGTTTGGCGCGGTTTCGTCAACATGGTGGACGTTGCCAAGTTCTTTATAACCGCGCAGGAGGTGAGCGGCAACGCCAAGGACCTCATGGACGACTTGCCGGACACCGTCGACGTCGTCGGTAGGATCAGCCACGACACCGTGTGGGATTACATCTCCAAGATGAAGAGAACCGGCTCGAAGGAGATTCTGGTGATCAGATTAACCGCCGCGAACGACGAGGAAAAGATCCCATACATCACTCTGTACAGCTACCTGAATAGCAGGAGCCGTCTGGGGGTCGTGGGCAACGTGTCCAAGAATATCAAAGACTTTTACATAATGCCCTTCTCCAGCCAGAGCACGATACCACCAGTGCTCCTGCCGCTCACCGGGCCAGGCTTCGAGGAGCATCGACCGCATCTGCTTCTAGGCATCATAGTTCGCAACAAGAAGAAGCGACTGACGGCTGTACCGTCGGTCGCGCCTACGAAGACGTCGAAGAAGGAGTCCGACAGAAGTTACACGCCGCCCCTGGTGAGCGTCCCGAAGGAGAAGACCACGTCGCCGCCTCCGTCCTCGTCTCCCATGCTGTACAAGACTGTTTCTTTGGACTCGACCAAGGAGAAACCTGCCACGGTGACGCAAATGACCTTGGAGTCTCTCAACAAGGCGCACATAGGTATGTCGCGCGGGGTCATAGACACGGCGACGATATGCAAGATTGTGCCTGAGTTGTCGTCCAAGATAGACCTCACTTCGTCGCCTGGCAAGGTCGCGTTGGACGACGACGGGGACGAGCCTTACAGTCCGGGTGAGATGGACGACGACATGAACAGCCTGCAGACCACGACTGACAGCGCCGCAGGTATTCTGTCGTCCAGCAAGAACTCTACGGAGCTGCAGAGGAAGATGGACGAGCTGAATCGGCAGATCGAGGAGCAGAAACAGCAGATTGAGGAGCAAAAGCAACAGATACAGAGTATTAGCTCGTCGTTTCTCGACGAAACGACGCCGACTCTGCCGGTGAGAGTTTCCCTAAGATCCGTCTCTCGCCCTTTTGTGCTTATCCCGATGTGAATAAAGTTGATTTTGGAATTCGTCCGCTTCCCGACACGCTCCCAATCCCGTGCCCGAGCTGCTCTAAGATTCTTACTTCTGAGAAGATTTGGCTGAAATGACGTTTACGTCGTTGGAAATAATTTCAACATTTTTCGACAGGACAATCTGGCCATTTAGCAGATTTTTCGAGTTTCATATCAAGCTTAGTCGATTTAGTTCATTGTAAAAAATTGTATTTTCTATATTTCTTATTATTTTTAATCGATATTAAGATTCGTGTAATATCGAGTTTAGCAACAGTGAGGTAGATGTTGCTCTCAAAAATTAAATATATATGCAGAATTGTAACTCGATCAGCTAGTGTATTCGCTGAAGTAGAAATCAGTAGCTCTACAGGGTGTCCGATTTTAAAAGTTCCATCCTCGTAACTTTTTTAATTTTGATTGTAGAAAAAAATGTTTCAGACAAAAGTTATATGGCTTGAAGGGGGACATAAGATGGTGTCATTAGTTTGACGTTGAAGAATCACCTGAAGGTCACGTGAAGATCATTTTGAATTTCTTAAATGGGACACCCTATATGCTTTTGCATCTTCTTATAGTTCATCTCGAGAGCTTTACAAAACACTATAATTAAGTTAGTTTTCATCAAGTACTTTCCGAGTTATGAGGCTTGAAGTCATTCCTTAATTTTACATAAACCATAAAATATCTAGTGAAATATTCATTTTTCGATTATCTTACCTTAATACTTTTATGTACAAAATAATGAGAGGAATCAATTTGTGTAAAGAAAACATATAATTGTTTTTAAGAAAAAATATGGAATTTGCAATTAACAATTACATATTTTTTCTTCGAAACAACTATGTGTTTTTTTTACACCAATTGATTCCTCTCATTATTTTGTACATAAAAGTATTAAGGCAAGATAATCGAAAAATGAATATTTTACTAGATACCTTACAGTTTATGTAAAATTAAGGAAAGATTTCAAGCCCCATAACTCGAAAAATGCTCAATGAAGAAATACTTTATTATAGTGTTTTAGAAAGTTCTCGAGATAAGCTATAAGAATATGCAATGAAAAATAGGTGGTTCCATTAAAAAAATTGAAAGTGACCTTCACGTGATCTTCAAACGACTTTTCAAGGTCAAACCAATGACACCATCTTATGGCCCCCTTCAAGCCATACAACTCTTGTCTGAAACATTTTTTTCTACAATCAAAATTAAAAAAGTTATGAGGGTGGAACTTTTAAAATGGGACAGCCTGTATTTCCTTTCACCAATCATTTTCTTGATATATTTGAGAAGTTTAAAATATTTTTGAAGAAAAGAAGGGTATACGGAATGCATATTATACGTCTATCGATTTATATCTCATCGACTTTCATCGATATCTCTTATTCATTCATTCTATCATCATCATCTATATTTATTCCAGGGTTTGGGACTTGATCCACCCAGCAACGACTGCGAGGAAGCTTACAGCCCGTCAGATGCTCGCTCCTTTACGCCGCCTCCACCTGGAATCACCAAGTTTGCGCAGCCCATCCTCGACAAGGTCTCGGACATCACGATACCGCCGAATTTGCAAGAGATTCTGGCGAACGTTAAGCGACAGGAATCTTCCAAAGTGGACCCTTACCTTCCGTCTAAGCCCAGCGCGTCGTTCCTACCTTCAGCCGGCACCTCCCTCTACGCCTCGAGCACCGAGAGGTACTCGCCATCTTCTTCCAGGATCAGTCAGTCGGAGAAGGCGCTGCCCGAGGCTCCGAAGGAGAGCAAGAGCACGTTGAGCACGCTGAGCGATCTGGACCTGATCCGGAAGGCTGAGGAGGAACTGGCCGCTGTTGCTGCCGCGACAGCAGCAGCGGCAGCGATACCGAGCATGTCCACGCCAACATCACCGTCATCCCTGCTTGCGTCTCCCGTCCCGAATCTCGTCCTGGCATCGTCGATGAACGAGGCACCTTCGATGTCGCAGGCTCTTGCGTCTCTTCCCTCGGAGCCCGTCGTGGAGGCTTCGTACAAGCCCACTCCCTCGGACTCCTTCAAGAAGACCTTCGCCCCCGAGCAGCCCAAGCCGCCTGGCCTCGAAGACGAGGACTTTCCCGCCTTCCCCTCGATCCCACCTACGATAGACGTCTCCAAAGCGGTCGCGTCTCGCTCGAAAGCCTCGCCCAAGACTGGCATCGTGCTCAATGTCAAGCGGAACTTAAGCGACGACGGTAGTTCACCGCCGCCCGCTAAAGTACCGAGGACTAAGTCACGCTGGGGCCAAGGACCTTCCGAGTAAACGGTCGAATCGGACGGTGAAAACCTCCTAGAAAAAGACTTCTAGAATATGTATCTCGTTATGTGCGTTGCCCACTGATACTTTGAACGCTCCAAGAGGCGACAAATCATGAAACCACCGATTGTAACTTGTAACATAAGTGTACAGAAAAAGTGTACGAAGCGGAAATGTAGCGTTTCTTGTATGCGATGGAAGCTGGAGAGACGAGGTCAAGTATGTTTGACGCAGTGAATCATCAGTAATAGTATTTACCTAAAACATTCGTCGGAATAAATGGCAGAGACATTATACCCTCGACGAAGCATCAGGTTTAGATGTAGATAGGACGTCCTCGTGATGACGAGATTTGTAAGAAAAAAAAAAAAAAAAGCGTTACCCTGAACGAAATGTACCATCTATATCAGAGCTTTATGAAGCCCGAGAGAACGATTGTCTACCTTCCCTCCACAATTTTCTATCCCCCCATCCGAGACGAGCTTGATCGACGAGGGAGCCATCGTTCCATCCATCTTCCAAATCTCGCTGGGTTTACCGACGTGTTGCTACGTCCTGCACCCGCCGACGTGGAAAATCCAAAGACATCCATCTAGAAAAGTAATCTCTATTCGTGTTTAATCGCGTATCAAAAATAGAGATTAATCATATTAAATCATATTAATGAGACGTTAATGCGCGCGCATACATCTGCAGATTTATAAACGCTGTCGTTAGGGAAGAGGACAGAAAAAAGGCCACATCCACGTGCGAGTGAGATGTCGACTTTTCACGTTTACGCGCGACACGTGCGCGCGCATTTCACGCACGCACGCATGCGTAAAATTCTCGGATATTGTCACCGCACGCGTTATTATACATATATATATATATATATATATATACATATATATATATATATATATATAAAATATATAATAATATAATAAATTATATATATAATTAATATATAATTATATATAATTTATATATAATTATATATATATATAATATATTAATTATATATATAATTTATTATATTATTATATATAATATAGATAATAATATATATATATATATATAATGATATAATTATATATTAATTATATATTATTATATATATAATATATATTATTCTTGTAAATACCAAAGCGAAAGAGCGAATGAAACTCGATGATTATAAAATTGCGACACGTGGTGTCCGAGGGCGACTTGAACATGTATATACGTATATATAAGCCGAGTTAAAAAAAAAGGTCTCTGTAATATATTTTATTAAACTTCACACATATGTGGCCGTGTTAATGGTAGCCGCGTTTCTCTTACATGAGATTGGATATAGATGTCTGTGTTTTGAAAATTTCGAATGCGAAGGAATCGAGGGAGATTGGCTTTTCAAATCGCAATTGAAAGAAAAAAAGTAAAGGAATTAATGTACAATATATATGATTGTAAAATCGTACGGAGATGATAAAACATTTTTTAATATATATATATAATATATATATATTAAAAAATGTTTTATCATCTCCGTTTAATATATATAATATATATATATATATTAAAAAATGTTTTATCATCTCCCTACGTTTTACAATCATATATATTGTGTATATATATATATATATATATATATATATATATATATATATATACATACATATATATTTATATATTAAAAAATGTTTTATCATCTCCATACGATTTTACAATCATATATATTGTACATTAATTCCTTAATTTTTTTCTTTCAATTGCGATTTTTTTTTAATATGTATATATATTCCCAAACACCAAGTAACAGTTATATTGTTAGTTATAATTTTCCACTCGACAATATAATTGTAATTTAATACAACAGTTATATAATATGTAACAGTTATGTTGGAAAGTTATGTGGGAAATTATAATTAACAGTTATTATATAATTATTAGTTATAATTTTCTACTCGACAATATAATTGTTATTTAACATATAACAGCTTATGAGCAGGAAATTATAACTGCCAGTTATGTAATTGTTACTTGGCGTTTGCTGGGTTTAATATAAATGTGTGATTAAAAAAATATTTTTATCTCTCTCTTCTATGTAATGTAAAATTAATACTCGAATATTTCTTTAAGAAAATATTCGAAGCGTCTGCGGAAATCATTCTCGATTGAAAAACGAAACGTCATCATTTTTGTTTCACATCATTATCCGAATATCCGATTGATTCGAAGAAATTAATTTCATGTGCGACTTTTTTTCTTCCATTTGAAGAAGCGATACGATTGCGAGGCTGCGTTTTAAGGTGAACATTCTGTCCCAGCAAACACCAAATAATAATTATAATAATTATATAACTGTTGTAATTTCCCACTCGACAATTTAACTGTTACATAACAGTTATGTAATTGTTGCTTGGTGTTTGCTGGGGTACTTGGGCAAGCAGGGATGTACATAAATCGCGAAACGTTGCTCGCATCCGACCAAAAATATCGATCGCATAAATAGATGCATAATTTCGCTGTAAATTCGCGGCCAAGTCTGACGCGGTGCATTCGCCCTCGACATCGTGCATCTTCTATATATATACATATAATACATAGAATGTTAGAGCTGTAAGCGTTCGTCATTTTTCTCTTCCATAAAGCGTGAAAGCACTTGAGCTATTGGAATTCGATAGCATAGAGTTACTCTCGGAGCGGATATAATTTTGTATAAGTGGTCGCACTTGTAGGTGAATACAATAGAATCGAAATTTTGGAATTTACACAAGGAACGTTTGTATAAAATATATCGCAATCTCGGCGCGATTTTCTTGTAATTTAATTTTAAACAATTTTCAAGAATTTAACTGTTAAACTATTTAGTTGATAATATTACGTATTAGTTCTTTGAAGCTTCTTTTTCAAATCTTGATATGTTTTTACACAAGTTTTTAGGAGGAAATATTAGATATTTTCACTAGTATATACAGGGTGTCCCATTTTAATGTCCCACCCCAAATAACTGTCTTATTTTTAATTTTAGAAAAAGATGTTTCAGACAAAAGTTGTATGGTTTCGAGGGGGACATAAGATGGTGCTATTAGTTTGACCTTGAAGAGTCACATGAAGATTACGTGAAGGTCATTTTGAATTTCTTTAATGGAACACCCTATATATTTGTGCATATTCTTGTAGCTTATCTCGAGAGCTTTCCAAAACACTATAAATAAACATTTTTTCATCAAGTACTTTAACTCGAAATCGAATAACTCGAAAAGTACTTGATGAAACAATGTTTATTTATAGTGCTTTGGAAAGCTCTCGAGATAAGCTACAAGAATATGCAAAAATATATAGGGTGTCCCATTTAAGAAATTCAAAATGACCTTCACGTAATCTTCATGTGACTCTTCAACGTCAAATTAATGGCACCATCTTATGTCCCCCTTGAAACCATACAACTTTTGTCTGAAACATCTTTTTCTAAAATTAAAAAAATTATTTGGGACATTAAAATGGGACACCCTGTATATAATAAATTTTGCCTTTTGTTTTTAAGTTTCCTGGGCTTCAGAGAGAAGAAAATGTATCATACGTTTGTAATTTTCTCGCTCAATTAATTAAGAATCGCGTATTATGCAGAAGGAACGACTTTGTAAACGCCTCGTTCAAAGGTGACATCCGCGCAAACATTTTTTTATGTATGATAAAGTAGACGGCTTAAGTCTTGTTTAAGAATTCTTTAAGATTTGTAGAGCATCAGGCTATGATAATACTGAACTAATTTAGCGATTGAAGTTTAAAACGCGACTAATACAAGCGCAATTATACGCAGACATACACACATACAGCGTATAATACATTTACCCAGATTACTTGTATGTTGGTAGAGATTACGTTTAAGGATTATTTTAGAAGAATTAGCGATTTTATTTTAATATTGTCTCCTCCCCATGCATTTTTATACCGCGAATTTTCTGCTGGTAGCACCTCATTATTATTGTGTACGTACTCACTTCATTAATATCAATTTTAATTCTAATGCAGATTATAATGCGATTGTTGATTTGTTTAATTGTCTCTCTCTTCGCGCTTGAACAATATAATGCATTATGTAGCAATGTATTATGTGCAATGTCCGTTGATGTATTTATCACCGAGAGCGAGATATCCCTCGAGAAATATGTCATCGAAAATTTATAACGATTTTATAATTTCAAGATTGCACATAATAGCAGCATTTAACATTCACTGGAAAATATCTGCAATAAAAGGATAAGAAATAATATCAGTTTTTCAGTTTTTTCCCATCCATAATAATTTTTCAATGATTTACTTGATTCGAGATTTCTAAATTAAATTATTCGGAAAATGTATCAATTATATTGTTAATCAAGATTCAATTTTCGTAAGTTTTTCATTTATTTTTCCAAATAATTCGGATGATTATATATCCTCGCAATTATTTTATATAATATTTCGAATAGAGATTTGCCTCAGATTTGTATTTTGCAAAATATATCGTACATTTTTATTAATATATTTTTTTTCACAAACGATATATGTAAAAGTTTCGCGAACAAACATTAAAAAGGTAAAAATTCAAACATTTTAATTTTAATGACGTGGAAAAAAATGCAAAACAATATAATAATTTCCACTATTTGTGTTGCTTCTCTCTCTCCTTAAAATGTTTTTTTAAATTTAAAATTACATTAAAGATACTTCATATAATTTAAAATTATATTAATTACAGATATCTCGTACATAACTGTTACATTGTAAATTATATCTCTTATGAAGTTGCAGTTAATTTTAAAATGAAAATTGTAACCGTATCAAAATATTCCAAATCAAGCAGGACTAAATTTATTTAATTTTCCTTCGAATTAACTGAGCAATTTAATAATGACATTTATTTGTAACAAGTATGTAACAGTTACAATTTTCTAAAAGTGTTATTAAAGATTCATATTGATAAAAGATTTTTTAAACCTTTTTGTACAATATTTTATTGTATTATTTTATTATACAATTTGAATAAAAATTGAAAATAAAACGTAGATAATATTACATAAAGACATTATATAAACATAACATTATATAAAGATAATATTACATAAAGGTATTATATAAACATAACATTATATAATGTACAAGAGAGAAAATTAAACGTTAAACATTTTCAGAAAAATTTCTCATCACGCAATAGGTAAAACCTCACAGATGTGCCACCAAAATCAATATAAAAATCTGTAAAACTGTTATCTTTCATACATTTCACAATTTTGTGAGTTTTGGAAAAGTAGACATCAACTTTCGTTTAAATACTCAAGCTCCGATTTCGACAGATTTGTACCCACGTCGCGTTCAGGATAATCGTGTCAGTTTACCCTAATTTTCATGAGAGAAGGATTGCACATAGCTTTGTATCGTGGACAATGATACTCAAGATTTAAAATCACGTATTCCTCCAGAGTCACGCATGCATTGAGAGGAGATATAAATTGACTATACTGCTTATAGTCGACGATGGTCCATCCTTTGAACGCAATTTCCGTATGCCAACTTCACCTACAATTAGTTATAGGACTTAGTTACCAACTTGGTCGATTGTTGACTCAATATAAAATGAAAAGACAATTTACAATACCCTAAAATTTTCTAGATAAAAAATTGTCTAAGAATTTCCATTCTTCTAAGCAGTAGACACTTTTAATAAATTATTTTCCTCGTCATTAATTCCCTCGGGATGTTCATGTCCAGGATCTTTTCCTTTTTCCTCCCTCTGTTTTCTTTGTTTTGCGAAGCGTAGCCATTCTGCTACTATGTTGTCGAATTCAGCCTCCGTTAAGGAATAATGCAGAGTGACTTCTCCTGAACAAATATATTTATCGAGTTAATAAAATCACATAGGAACAAATTTTAATTAATAATTCGTCATATTAATACATTCGTTTAATTCGTTTAATTATATTCGTTTAAGTTGCGTGGGACATACTTTTCATAATTCTAATAAAATATAAGTTGGAGACTTTAAAATTATTGCGGATGCCTTTCCAAGAACATTTCATTGCGCAGTTATTTGTAAATATTTTGGAAAGGATGCGACAAACGTTACGACGAGGATTACTCCCTCCAATCTTTAACAAAAATGCTTTCTACAAAAAGAAACATGAAATTATGAAACTTAATTATATTGTGACAATACCAGACTTTAATGATAAGCACATAAAATGAAGCAGTTACAATATCGAAATCATTTTCAATATTACATGTAACTATTGTTATGTGAAATTGGCAAGTCAATATATAAACTTACAAATTGTGTAACCGCCTCATCATTTTCTTGCAATAACAAGTCGAAATCTCTTATCTGTTCCACTGTCTGTAAAGGTAGAGTTTCTACGATGAGACTATCGTCCCTTATGCTTTCCACCGTCTGTAAAGGTAGAATTTCTGTGATGGGATTCATGGGATTATCATTCTTTATTGAAACGTGAACGAAGTTTCTCATAATATCTTCCTTTATTCGACTGTTGTCCTTTATTGAAATAGGAGCGTGGCCTCTCATAATATCTTCGATTCTGCTTATGCGTTGATTAAGGTCATGCAATATTAAATTAGAAGTATCCTGCGTACGTATTATTTGCTTCAGATACTCTGCAACAACAATCATCTAATATTACATATGCTAAAATAAAGCAAAAGAGTATAAATCAATATTATAAAATGTATATAAATATTATAAAAGATTATAATTATTATTATTATATTTTATTACATTATTATTATTATTAGTATTATAAAAGATATAAATCAACATTACAAAATGTAAAGTATTAATACATACTTTTTATGTTTGCGTCCACTTGCATCTCATCAGATGATGAAGCGAGGTCTAAAAACATATTATTATGATTTAAACAGAGTTGAGTAAGTTTACATTTTTTTTAAACTAAATTAAGTTAGAGTTAATGGGTTAAAAAATTAATTTAGTTATGTTAAAAGTTATACAAATAAAAAATTAACTCAACAATAAAAGTTACGTTAAGATTAAATTAACGTTAGTTAAGATAAAAGTTAAAATTTTGAAAAGCATTATTTCACCTTATATTAAATTAGATTGTAATTTTAAAATTAGATTACTCTAAATAATAATAATATGAATCATCAAATAAATTTGGGGGGAAAGTTAATAAGTTTAAGTTTATGTGTTTTAAAAATAACTAGTTAAAGTTAAAAGTTAATTCTTTTTAAAATAACTAAGTTGAGTTAAAATTATTAACTTTTTAACTTTTTTTTTAATTTTTAACTAAACAACTTATGTTATTACCCAACCCTGGATTTAAACATATTATTATTATATTTTTGCAACTGATTTTGTTGTAAAATATATATACCTTCATATACAGGAATGTCGGGAATCTCAATAAATTGTATATCCTGCTGTTGTTTGGAATAATTATTCCTTTTTTCTGAAAATTATAAAGTATAATCATTCGCATATCACATTAATGATATACAAACAATGATACATACGACAATAAGATTGCGAAGGTGCAATTTCGTTCTTTGCATCATTCTCATTTATGTCTTTATCATTATTAGCCAATGTACTCGCATTCACTGCTTTCCCTGTAAAATATTATTTTTAATGTTACCTTTTATAATTTATTTTAAGCGAAGCAAAGATTGCAAGAAAAATTATTACATAATTATGTAATAATTTGAGTACAGTTAAACATATTCTTGTAACGCATACTCTTAGCTGATCGAGATGGATCAATTTCTTCTTCCTCGCTGCTGTATCGAGTGTTTAAACTACGTTGCCTCTTCCCACAATTTAATCTATCTTCGTTCGTGGTGTAATAGTTGGCATCTGCACTTTTCCTCGCAGATTCGAGAAAAGCTACAATGAAGCACTAATTAATATCACATTTCTTGCGTATTCAAGTATAATCAGTGTTTGCTGGTATCTAGATAAAATTATCTAGATAATTGTCTAGATAAAGAAATGGATCATCTTTATCTTTGACTAGATGAAGAAATGCAAAGTATCTTTATCTTTATCTTAGGTAAAAAATATTTCTCATCTTATCTAAAAATTGTCTAAGATGACGTTTTCATTATGCAAAAGAGTTTTCCAGGCAAGCTTCTAAAAATCTATCTAAAATATCTAAAATATATTTTTTATTTGGAAAATAATATTACAAATATACCTTATCTTGTACTTGTTTTACTTAAATTTGTGCAATGCATTAATGTATATTTTATAAAAATGACATATGTATTGTTACACATTGATTATTATATTATAAGTATATTATAAATATAAATTAATAAATAAATATTTATCTTATCATTTATATACTTTTTTATTATTATTTAAATATTCTTCAGGAAAAGAGAAAGAATATGTGTTTATGATTTTAATATCTCATTTATAATATGCGTCACATTTTTTACAAATATTTATAGTCTTATAAAATAAACAAAAATATCTAGATAATTATTTAGATTATCGCAATAATCATCTCATCTTTCATCTAGATTAAGTAAAAGCAAAATCATCTTTATCTCATCTAAGTTAAATTTACGGATTTTTAGCTTTATTTTTATCTAGATGATTTTGAAATTATCTACAGCAAACACTGAGTATAATAAAACCAAGGATACATTTTATTTAATTGTATATTAATGAAAACAAGTATGAATAAATACTTACAAGAGTATTTTGTGATATCCATCTCATTAGGTAATTCATTGTAACCATGTTTCCTTAATATTTTAAGTAGCTCATTAGTAGTAATACGAGAGATATTATGTTCAATGATTAATTTCTGTAAGTCTTCCTGTAAGTTTAGTTGGTTGCAATTGGAAATCTCGTTGAATATCGCCATGTTTTCTTGAGAATGCGGAGTACTTCCCTCATTTTCACATTGTACCGATAATTTTTCCTATTGATTTACATCTTTAAGTAACATGTTACATATATAAGATACAGATTATTAGAATTCATGCTAATATTTACCACTTTCTCCATACTGGAACGCAATGAATTACAATCTACATAATTATATATATCTTGATAAATAGTCTGATTTTGTCTTTTCGATAAATATTTAATATTTTTTGGCATGTGTACGATATTGGTGTATGAAGTTGACAAGTTGAGCCTGAATAAATTAATAACTTAAATTAATCATTTTTATAACAATCTGTATACATCGCAAAATTTTCAGATTTTATTTTACACTTATTAAAAAACTCATTTGATATCAGATAATTACAAGTTTAATTACTCATAATTCTTACTAGAATTATACACAATATTTTGCAGATTCTCTAAGTAATAAAGAATATGTGACATCAAAATTAAATTTATTTCAATTTTGATTTGAACTTTTTCTACTTGAAATTTTTTTATGTAAAAGAAATAACAATTTAAAAATGCAGAACAGTTAAAAAAATAAGTTTGATTAAAATTATAATATCTTTTAAAATTTTAAATATATGAAATATAAAATAAATTAATAAATTAATATGTTAAATATAAAATAAATTAATATATTAAATATTAATATATTAAATATTAATATATTAAATATTATGATAAAGATAACATTTTTTTGAGTATAAAATAAATTAATTATAACATATTAATATATACATATATTAATAATAACATTTTTTTGAATATAAAATAAATTAATATGTTATAAAATAAATTAATATATTAAATATAAAATAAATTAATATATTAAATATTATGATAAAGATAACATTGTTTTCAGCTAGTGTTTTATTTCAATTTAAAGTCATTACCCAACAAACACAAAATAGTTATATAACTGTCAATTAAAATTTCCCACTCTACAATATATGTTATATAATTGTTATTAATATGTTATATAACTGTATTATATAACAGTATATTGTTGACTGGGAAACTATAACTAACAGTTATATAACCGTTACTTGGTTGCTGGGTTATTATATTACACCTACAGTTATTGTTACATTATTACATTATTATAATTAAAAATACGTAAATAAAATATTAATTCACAATTGCACTTACATATAAAAGTATTTTGTGGTATCCGAGGTACTTTGAAAGATTGGAAAATTTTATATATGCAGTCGATAAATCACAATAGGTATACTTTCGATAAGTTGACAGTATTTTTAATTCCGCATAACAGTGTAACAAAAATAAAAGCACTTCATAATCAATATGCTTGCTTATAAAAATATGGATAATTGGTCGAGAGAATTGCGCAAGCGGTGCTCGCGAAATATCCCAGTCCGAGGAGCGCACAGGAGCGGACTGGATCGTGTTATAAAAGATGGACGGAACACGAGGACCAAAACCATCACCGAGCTCTGATACATAACATACTGGGAAAGGAGAGGGGGGGATACTGGAGCGAGGTAACCCTTTAGGTATGGTGGGGGAGGACACGGAAAAGGATACTAAAAATTATTGCATCTAAAGATCTGAAGTAAAACAATTACAAATATAACACATGTGTTATATAACAGTTATATAACTTACTGGGTGTTTGCCGATCGAAACATTTTTAAATAATTAATAATATTAATAATTTAATTTTTCTCTCTATTAATAATTTTATCGAGCACATAAATTGCTAATATTATCAGTATTATTATTTATTTATAATGCTAATAATTAATATTATTTATAAAGACTTTGCGCATGCGCGACGCAAAGGTCAGAAAATCACTCGACCAATGAGAGCGTCCCGTTTGATCACGTGGCGACTGGCCAATTGCATCGATCCTAGAGTTACTAGCAACGATTGACCAATCGGAGAGTTCTATTTTGAATTTGGCCAATCGGATGCCATCCGCCGCAAATTCCCTCGATTGGTTGATCAATCGGTCGCATGGGTGAACGATTGGCATCCGTCCTTGTGGAAGTGCTCACTTCTGGTACCCTATCTCTCCTCGTCCATTTAATTTTGCTCTCTATTAATAATATTATCGAGCACATACATTACTAATATTATCAGTATTATTATTTATTTATAATGCTAATAATTATTATTTATAAAGACTTTGCGCATGCGCGACGCAAGGGTCAGAAATCATTCGATCAATAAGAGCGTCTCGTTCGATCACGTGACGATTGGCCAATTGCATCGATCCGTGCCTAGGGTTACTAGCAACGATTGACCAATCGGAGAGTTCTATTTTGAATTTGGCCAATCGAATGCCATCCGCCGCGAATTCCCTCGATTGGTTGATCAATCGGTCGCTTGAGTGAACGATTGGCATCCGTCTTCGTGGAAGCACTCACTTCCGGTATCCTATCTCTCCTCGTCCATTTTTCCTGACACGCGCAATGGAGGCAGGGCCATCTTGTTCGGGTGTCCGACGTGGCGACCGGATCAGGCGATCCGCGATTCGACATGACTCTAAGTAAGTGCACATCGCGTCAATATTCTTGGTCTCGGCGTCGTTTGTCTTCGACAGCGCACGAGGACGCTCTGTCGAGAACAACGCGGATCTTTTTAATCGAACACCCGGAGAACCGATGCCCGGCACCGCGTGTCCGGCAAGAGCGACTTCAACATCAATCGTTACCTTTTCAACGATGTATAATTTCAAAATTATGTATTCGTTAAACATCGTTGAGCACGATTGTGACAAGAGATTTGTGATTATTTAATGTTGTGATTAATTAATTGCAACTTTATCGGATGTAACCAAGAATATGGTTTCAGAAAGCATGCTTGAAGAAGTATAACACGTGTACAAAAATTATTCGTTAATATTATTTATTAATATTTTAAATTATTATTTATTCAATATTATTTAAAAATATTTAATTTTATTAATATTAATAAATAATCCAAATTTATTAATATTATTTAATAAATAATATTAATAAATATTTAATATTAATATTATTATTAATATTATTTAATAAATAATGTTAATAATAATATTAAAATTAATAAATAATTCAAATTTATTAATATTATTTAATAAATAATATTAATAAATTAGAATTATTTATTAATATTATTTATTATTGCAAAGACATACATGATAAGATTGAATCCGATGTAATGTAAAAAGTGATGAATTTTTGTAATAATTTTATGATACAATTTGTTCACAATGAAAATATGTTAATTTGTAGAAAACATTTATATCACGCTCATCATAAATTGAATCTTTAAATATAATAAATGCAATATATTCTAATATTTCCTTTCCAGCTACTGTACTATTATTATTAGTGGCGTTATGTGCTCACTCTGCATTTTCGGAAGTCTTGCAGTCGACAAATTCGTATTTGTCAGTGGCTGATAGAGTACGCTTGAAGAGCATACTTGAACCAGGATTTCAGCTAAAAGATGTTCCCACTGTATACTATGCTGCCAGTGGATACAAGCTTCTTGGAGAGGCTATACCAAAAGCAGATGTAATTTTTCTTTCCAACGTTTTATATGTTTAAAGAATATTCCATGTATATAAATTATTATGTGATGAAAAATGCTATATATTGAGATTCCATGATTATTTGATTAGTCTTTCTGATTGTAATATTTTTTTCTTGTTGTAATATTTAATATTTTGAATTACTATATTAATAATATTTGCTTTTCTTTAGGCCATCTGCAAATTTTTAATAAAATCCAATGGGGACAATATTACTCCTGAAACAGCATTTTATCTTGCCTCTACATGGAAAGCTATTGGAAACTGTCAAGAGTTTTCCACAAATATTGCGACGAAGGTAATCAACATGAATGATTAAAAAACAATAATGTTTATAATATTTATATAATATATAATGATGTCTATAATACTTTCGTTCTACTGTATAAAGGATGAAGACAATAATTATCACTGAATTAAAAAATCTTGGAAATTATAAATATTTGCCTCACAGAATATTATATGATAGACTTTTATTTATACAGGTATTAACAAATGTCGTACAGAAGGACACTTCCACTCTCTCTGATCTGTATTATGCAGTGAACGGCTTAACAGCTTTATCACAAAAGGTACCTGCTGCCAGAATCGATAAGCTAGTAAAATTAATACAAGCAGCTTTACGGAAGGATGACAGTCTGTGGAAGTAAGTTATATATTTTTTAACAATATATATATTAATAATATACATATTAAATTTTTTCTAATGATCAAAAAAATAAAATTGTAATGATGTCAATCAAACTTTCGTTCTACTGACTGTGAATGGAGACAATAATTAATACTGAGCAAAATATCTTGAAAATATCTATTATTTCTATCTGTAAATTTTTATTATTTTTATTTTAAATATTATAAGTAATAATTCAAACGTTATATTGTCAGCTTGGGATACACGTTCCATATTGCTGCGGACATAGGCGCTCCAGCTGCGTTTGCTTTTGATCGTATTGAGGATGCTGTGGTACAGGCTGATGAAGTGGATGGCCAGTACTTGCAGTTTGAAGGCGGTCTTTCTATCACGAGTAGGACTTCTAATCTTTTATATATAATTTTGAATTAATTAATTTTCTAGTATTTTAATTATAAAATCAATTGTTATAGGTTTTCTTGTCAATGGTATTTTTAAATTGTCAACTTCATTGAAGAAAAAGCCGCCACTAAACTTCCAACAAACAGTCAAACTGGGCAATTATCTTCTCTCGCGACGTTCTGTGCAAACCACGAAAGGAGCTACAAACCTATTGTCCGCTTTAACCACTTTGGCAGTCGACAGTTCCGAGAAACCAGTTTGCATAACTTTGGCCGATGGAGGAATTATCTCTAATCAACAACCATTGGTCACAGTTAAGGTTTGCGATATTCTTGGTCAGACACTGCCAACTGTGCCTAAGGTTGTTGCAAATTCCGCCACGAGAGTAGGAGACGACGTTGTTATTCTTAGCAATGAGAATTTGCAATCGTCTACAACCGACAAGTAGGCATCTTTGATTACAAATATACCTGGTCCCCAATACTTTACTGGATCAGCCTTTCCATGCTGACATCAGCTATACCTTGGGGCATAGTGATAGTTGTTGAATAACCCTTTAACCTTTTTTTTTCCAATATAATTAAGGTTAAGAAGTTCAACAGACAATTTCTGCTCGTTTTTATCATTTTATATTTCAATGTTTCGTGTCCATTTATAGGACTCTGTTCACGATGAATTTGATGAATGTGAAACCCGATCGCGGTTTTTACAAGATATCAATAACCGCGGCCTCCGTCTCGAATACGATTACGGTAAAGGTCTTGTCCGAGGCAGTACTAGACTACCTGGAAATTGGAACCGGTGATGCTGATCAAACCACTCAGCCAAAACTTATAAGGTATATTATATAGATTTTATATTACGTTGGAGATTCTTATATTGCCTTAAATTTCTCATGACGATTTGATTAATTTCAGAATAAATACAGAGTCTCCCTCGGGCAAACTCGAGCATAAAATAGAAGCTGATTCTCAGCAGAAACTAGTCATGCGCTTCTTGTTGCGCGACTTCGCGAATAAGAAACCGATGCGCGTACATCAGGCCTTCGTACGCCTCACATCCGTTTCCGCATCCACTAGTGATAAGCAAGGTCACGAAATCTTTTTCGTCGCCGAACCTGATGCTGCTCACGTTTATAAATTCGACATGGTAATTTTTCGAGCGTTCATATTTCTTTTTAAAGGAATATTTTACTTTTCTATGCATTATAACTTTTTTTTTCGACAATTATACAGGGTGCCATTTTAAAAGTTCCACCCTCTAATAACTTTTTTAATTTTGATTGTAGAAAAAAATGTTTCAGACAAAAGTTGTATGGCTTGAAAGGGGACATAAGATGGTGTCATTAATTTAACATCAAAGAGTCACTTGAAGGTTACGTGAAGGCACATACAACTTTTTAAATGGGACACTCTATATGCTTTTGCATATTCTTGTAGCTTGCCTCGAGAGCTTTCCAAAACAATAATTAAGTTAGTTTTCATTAAGTACTTTCCCAGTTATGAGACTTGAAATCATTTCTTAATTTTACATAAACCGTAAAATATTCATTTTTCGATTATCCTACCTTAATACTTTTATGTACAAAATAATGAGAGGAATCAATTGGTGTAAAGAAAACACATAATTGTTTCGAAGAAAAAATATGTAATTTGCAATTAACAATTCCATATTTTTTCTTAAAAATTGTGTTTTTCTTTTACATCAATCGATTCCTTTCATTATTATGTACATAAAAGTATTGAGGTAAGATAATCGAAAAATGAATATTTTACAAGATATTTTACAGTTTATGTAAAATTGAGATATTACTAGAAGTCTCATAACTCGAAAAGTACTCAATGAAAAAATACTTTATTATAGTGGTTTGGAAAGCTCTTGACGCAAGCTATAAGAATATGCAAAAGTATATAGGGTATCCTATTTAAAAAGTTGAAAGTGATCTTCATGTGACCTTCAGGTGACTCTTCAATATCAAACTAATGACACCATCTTATGTCCCCCTTCAAGCCATACAACTTTTGTCTGAAACATTTTCTTCTACAATCAAAATAAAAAAAGTTACGAGGGTGGAACTTTTAAAATGGGCAACCCTGTATAATTTTGCAAATGATATTTTAGCCGGTTGGGACGGCAGCGGCAAATTTCGGTCACCAGAGTGGAGACTATAACATGGAACTGATCGTCGGCGATGCCGTGATTAGTAATCCGTTCCGATTCAACATCGGTGCGGTTACTTTGAAATTCCCCGAGTTGTCGTCGGTGGAGGGTGCCGATAAGAGCGCCTTTTACAAGGAAAAAGACATGTATACTACTAAACCGGAAATAAAGGTAATTTACGTGTGTGCACTTATGTGTATTTATGCCAATGCTCGTTAGTGACAGAGATTCCTCGATAATTTTGTCACTTCCAAAACATTGGCAGAGGATTCTTACGTCGAAGTTGCTATAATATATTGACAAAAATTATTGTGCAATATTCTTTGTACTTTGACGAACACCGACTCCTGATTGAAAGATTGTCGTTGAAGCATTTCTCTAAAAAATTTACTTTTAATTTCAGCACATGTTCCGCGAGCCCGAACGCAGACCACCAGCATTCGTGTCGAACTTGTTTTCGGGCTTGTGCTTGGCGCCAGTTCTGCTATTATTGATTTTGTGGGCTCGACTCGGTATCAATATTTCAAACTTTCCCTTATCTCTCAGTGCGATTACATTCCATCTTGGATTAGGAGGTAACTATCGATCATTTCCAATGTTTGCTGTATGAAATAATTTCAAAATTATCTAGATAAAGATAGAGATATAAATCTGTAAATTTATCTTAGATGAGATAAAGATTTTGCTTTTATTTAATCTAAATGAAAGATGAGATAATTATTGCGATAATCTAGATAATTATCTAGATATTTTTGTTTATTTTAGAAGACTATAAATATTTGTAAAAAATGTGACGCAGATTATAAATGGGATATTAAAATCATAAACATATTCCTTCTCTTTTTTTAAAGAATATTTAAATAATAGCAAAAAGGTATATAAGTAATATGATAAATATTTATTTATTAATTTATAATATCTTTATAATATATTTATAAAATATTAATAATAATAATATAAAAATATATTTTAGATATTTTAGATAGATTTTTAGAAGCTTGTCTGGAAAACTTTTTTGCATAATGAAAACGTCATCTTAGACAATTTTTAGATAAGATGACATATTTTTCATCTAAGATGAAGATAAAGATACTTTGTATTTCTTCATCTAATTAAAGATAAAGTTGATCCATTTCTTTATCTAGATGATTATCTAGATACCAGCAAACACTGATTATTTCATACAATCAATATACGATTAGCTAGGACGATAAATTATTTTTTACAGTCATTTATTTTTGACAAGATCATTAATTAAGAATTGTTACGTAATGATACATAATTAGCCCGATATGCTTGACAGATGATGTTATGCAGTCTATCTGTTTTCATCGGGCTCATAGCAAAACGTGATATTTTCGCAAATATGGCTGCACTTTTCGTCATATTTGTAGCCCGAAATTCACTACAAAAATCTACATTGATAAGTTGTGATGCGAATATAATCATAATTGTTTTGTTTCCAGGGATCTTTGTGTTGTTTGGCATTTTCTGGCTGAAGCTCAATATGTTTGTCACGCTGCGATATTTGCTGGGCTTTGGCATTGTTACATTCCTCGCTGGAAATAAGATGCTATCTCAGATAGCGCACAGGCATAAATCGTTACGTTAATTTATGAATTTTGAATATATATCTGAATGTTTGCAGTTGCAGTTTAAAGTGCATAATAAATATAAGACTGCCATCAGCAAGCTCCAAACAGCTCCAATCAAGTTCGTTGAACTGGCGAAAGCATCGAGCTGTTTCACTTGTCATAGATGTACATAATTCATAAAATATGTATAATTTTATTACCTGTAATTTCTTTAACATGAATTTGGATGGCTCTTTATGTTTAATTATAATTGAGTTTCGCGTCAGTTCTAAGAATTACAAATCAATATCTATTAATAATGTTAGACAAGGAGATAAAAATGATGTAAAACTCATTGAATGTGCACCTACGATAAAAGAAAGTGGCAGATATATAATTTGTTTGTCACAATTGAAAGTCATTAAATTATTTTGTACTTTTTTCCACTTTTCTCTCTTACCTCTTGTGTCATGTAAGAACTGATGTACTCGCGTAAACGATTCGCCTCGTCCTTTAATCTGTCCCTTTCTGATCGCAATTGCATAGTGATTATTTGCGCGATGCCGAGTCGTCGCCAGAAATTTGTCAGATCTTGAAAATCTTCTATCTATATGGATTTCAGATATTTCTTAAAAATTTCATACTTCCATCATGTACTTTTATCTGTAAAAATTAACCTGGTAAAATATATCCCGATCTGATATAGTTAAAATATGACATGACAAAGGCGACGAGTCTTCTAGCTTCGTATGATCAGCAAACGGCATTACTTTTTCACGTTGTGTTTCATATTTGCTACAGATTTGCATCAGCGCGAGCAGTCGTTTGCCTTTTATCGCAAGGGCCTTTAAGTGTTTTATTGTCTTGTTATATTCAATCGACAGTATCTTCAATTGGTCTTTGTCTTTCGTCTGTTCTGAAATTGTTTCACATCTTTCAATACTTGTAATTTATTTTATAATTTATTATTTCTTTAAATTTATTAAATTCTTATATAATTTATTTTCTTATTAATACTCGTGATAATATTTTTATTTAATAGAGAGGAAGAGTATAAAAATAGCTAGTAATCTAATATACAGGGTGTCCCATTTTAATATCCCACCCCTTTCTTATTTTTAATTTTAGAAAAAAATGTTTCAGACAAAAGTTGTATGGTTTCAAGGGGGACAAAGTTAGTTTTCATTAAGTATTTTTCGAGTTATGAGGCTTGAAATTATTTCTTAATTTTATATAAACCGTAAAATATCTTGTGTAATATTCATTTTCCGATTATCTTATCTTAATACTTTTATATACAAAATAATAAGAGGAATCAATTCGTATAAAAAAAATACACAGTTTTCAAGAAAAAATATGTAATTGTTAATTGCAAATTACATATTTTTTATTCGAAACAATTATGTGTTTTCTTTACATCAATTAATTTCTCTCATTATTTTGTACATAAAAGTATTAAGATAAGATAATCGAAAAATGAATATTTTATAAGATATTTTATGGTTTATGTAAAATTAAGAAATTATTTCAAGCCTCATAACTCGGAAAGTACTTAATGAAAACTAACTTAATCATAGCGTTTTGGAAAGCTCTTGAGGCAAGTTATAAGAATATATGAAGGCATATAGGGTGTTCCATTTAAAAAAATTGAAGTGGCCTTCACGTGACCTTCGAATGATTCTTCAAGGTCAAACCAATGGTACCATCTTATGGCCCCTTTGAAACCATACAACTTTTGTCTGAAACATCTTTTTCTAAAATTAAAAATAAGAAAGTTATTTGAGGTGGGACATTAAAATGGGACACCCTGTATAATAATAAGAAATCACGAGATACAAGTTTTGCAAAATTAAAAATGAAAATTTCTCGTCGAGTTAATTTCATGTTTAAAGATACATGATAGAAGAGAAGCATGGAATTTTAAAGAATGCTTAAGATATAAATTGTGGAAGATCTGATCTTGCAAATAATCAGAAGTAAATGACGATGGGCACCTGAGAGAAAACGGTTTTTCACAGTCCAGTAAGCTTTTTGAAAAAAGTCGTGTTCATCCAGAATTTCAGAGATTTCTGTCTTGGCCGTGGCATCATACGTTGTCATTTTGCTTCGAAACTTTCGTATCTCTTCGAAAAGATTTGTCATTCGTAACAATTGTTGCGCGATCATTTGCTGGTCCTTCTCGTCTTTCTCTTTGAGTGCCTCGTAATATTTTTGACGAGACTTTGTCCCTGAAATGATGCATTAATTAATATTAGCTTGCGCCAGAGAAATAAATATGACCTTGACACAATTAATTTACATTTGACAAATGATTGGTGGTTACAGATTCGCAGATGAAATTTTATTTCGAAAAGAGAGAAAGATTATAGTTATTTATTTCAAATCATGAATGCATGAATTTATTTTCAAATTTATTAAAGCTTGTTTAAATTTACTTTAATAATTTTAAATTCTATGCAAGCTGCTTTCTCGTGCTTACTGTTTTGATAATCTGATAGAACTCTTCGCAAATCTTCCCAAAAGTTTCGCAGTTGATTTTCAAGTTGAGCTGCAGAAATTCGTCGAGTATCTTTGCTATCTTCTACAAATGCATCGATTTTACCTTTCGAAGAAGACATAATTATTTTATTAATTATAATTATAAATTAAATTTATTAATTAATTATAAATTAAAAATTAGCTTGGAAATTTTTTATTTCATGTTTTTTGTAAATTGTCTTCAGTAGCTGAATCACCAATATATGAATAATAAATTTAAAATTTCCAATTGTGTTTACAGTATATGGAAATTAAATTAATTTAATTTAATCAATTAATTTACTAATTTAATAATGAAGTTACTTATTAAATTAATATTAATCAATAATAAAATTAATATCAATCAATAAATACAATTAATATAATTAATCAATAATAAAATTAATATTAATCGATAAATTAATTAAATTGAATTAATCAAAGTAAGAAGAATTTTGATGTTAATAACTTAATGCAATGCTCTTGAAATTATTTAATGATTCTTCTAGTTGTTGCAGAACTCCATGAGTGATGGCTTGTAACAAGATCTCATCTTCGTTTTGTTGATGATGAATTTTGTCGACGTCATAATCCGTCTGATCAAGCGTCTCCTTTAAAGTTTTTTGATAATTTTTTTCTTCGCGTTGCATTCTCTCTCCGTACATTTCCAATAATCGATCTATGATCTCAGTGTGTGATCTTATATTTCTTTGATATTGCTCCTCGCTCTCGGCCAATTCATCCATCAAAAAACTTATTCTGAAAGACAAAAATACTCATGAATGATATGCAAATTTTAGAAAATATCGACTCCAAGTCTCATGAGTCACGTTGATATTAAGAAAAAATTGGAATTTTTGATCAAAGCAGTTATTAATTTATTTGTGTATTCTTCGAATATTTTTTTTTCTCTCTGAAAATGCGAATAAATAATATCTAAGAAGAGTATACAAGAAAAAATATGTAATTTGCAATTAACAATTCCATATTTTTTTTTAAAAACAACTATATGTTTTCTTTACACCAATTAATTTCTCTCATTATTTTGTACATAAAATTATTAAGGCAAGATAATCGAAAAATGAATTTTACAAGATATTTTATGGTTTATGTAAATTTAAGAAATGACTTCAAGCCTCATAACTCGAAAAGTACTTGATGAAAAAATGTTTATTTATAGTGTTTTAGAAAGCTCTCGAGATAAGTTACAAGAATATGCGAAAATATATAGGGTGTTCCATTTAAAAAATTCAAAATGATCTTTACGTAATCTTCATATGACTCTTCAAGATCAAACTAATGGCACCATCTTATGTCCCCCTAGAAACCATACAACTTTTGTCTGAAACATCTTTTTCTAAAATTAAAAATAAGAAAGTTATTTGTGGTGGGACATTAAAATGGGACACCCTGTATATTAAAGGAAATTTACTCAAAAAAGGTCAATAAATAGATATAAATGTTAAGTGATAAGTTTTTTTTAAATCAATTTAAATCGTGAATCTTAATTTTTTTTAATAGAAAAATCTCTTATTAAATTAACTTGTTAGTCTAATAATTTAACACTTTGATAATGACCTATAGTCCTTGATGTCGAGAGCTCGATCGAAGTTGCGCCAGGCGATCTCCATATCCTCCTCGATCTGCGGCATCTTGATCCTCATCATCATCTCCCGCCATAAAGTGCGATAACGCTTTGTGTTCAAAGCACCGAGCTCGATCTCGCGCATCAGACGTTCCCTCCTCAACGTTTGAGCGCGTTCCTCGTCCTCGCGTTGCCTCTGTTCCTTGGTCCATGGTGCTTCTTCCAATCTCTCTCTCTGTTTCTCATTTAAATCGGTCGCTTTTTTTTATCATTAAGTCACTTTTGAAATTTATTTTTCAACCAGAACTTTGACTTATAATTAATTTACATCTCGAATAAAAAATTTACTTTTATTATTTATTTTTATTTATTTATTTGTTGAATTTTTATTGATTGAATTTACTTTCATTTTCAGTTTTAAATGTCAGTTATTACACATCCTATGAATTCACAATATTTTATTTTGCAATGTTTATCATTCTTTTTGCATGAGAAAGATCCTTTCAAAATGTAATCATTAAAAATTACAGTGTCCCACTCACCGCACGACGCATCTCTTCAAATCACTTTGTTATTAAATAAAATTATGCGTATAATTTCGTGTAAAATTTTTAGGCTACATTTTTTTATATAATACGCACGCGTTTTTTTTCTCGTAATTCTCTTATTTTATATTTTTCTATTTTTTTTTTGATAATAACAAGAACAGTATTCTAATAAAAAATTGTAAAAATTTACTTATGCTAAATTATTTATAAAAAAATAATATCTTTTTTCAATTGATCAGCAAGAAATATTTTCAAAGGCTTTTTTTTTTAATTCGCACATCTATCCTTAATTTATATTTATTTTCGTAGAAATGAGACGTGTCTCCTTTAATAGAAATAGAAATAAATTATTCGCACGTTTAATTTTTCTCTTTCTCTTTTTTGATAATAACAAGAACAGTATTCTAATAAAAAATTGTAAAAATTTACTCTCTCTCTCTCTCTCTCTCTCATGCTAAATTATTTACTAAAAAATATTTTTTTCCAATTGATCAGCAAGAAATATTTTCAAAAGCTTTTTTTTAATTCGCACATCTATCCTTAATTTATATTTATTTTCGTAGAAATGAGACGTGTCTCCTTTAATAGAAATAGAAATAAATTATTCGCATGTTTAATTGATGATCAATGAAATACCTTTCAAGGTGTGCTACTAAAAATAATGAACGATAGAAAAATTGTCATTTATCAGAAATTACGATGGTATAATGATAATGTATAATTAACATCTCACTGTCACGACGATATAATTAGCATCTCACTATGCACGGCTCATTAATAGCGAGGTCGTTATACATAGAGCAATTTGCATAGAAAAAAAGACACGCGACACACCTCTTGTTAAGAAATATTATATTATTACACAATTTAAATGCCTCGTCTAGGTCATCTAGGTGTGTCCGAATTTTTCTGGTTAACGTAATTATCAACGCTTTTGTCACAATATTAAACTCGGTTACAGTCGTAGACGGTGAAAAAAAAAATCAATGATCCAAGTGAAACCCGGAATTTCCCTGAGACATCCTCATGCTAATTCTTGTATAGTGTTTACTACGGATTACGTAAAAAAATATGGAGATGCGCCTGCTCGTGTCAAGGTCACGATGAACTCATCCAAATAAATAAATTCAATTTTTCTTTCTCTTTTCCCAAACTGCCATTATTTAATGAATTATTGTTGAAAAAAATCTAAATAATAAATATATTGATAAAAAATACTTAATATATAATATAATAATTAATAATATATAATAATTTCCATATAAAAGTATTTTTCAAAAAAATTTGACTTGTATGCAAATAAAGCATTGTTTAAAATTAACTCACGCACTCGCTATTGCATTTACGCACTTGGCACTTGATTGGCAGAGATGTAAATATCCAGGAAGTACAATATATAACGACGGATCTTGAAAGTTAATGGCTATTTTGAAACAACGCGAAGAGGTCTATTCATTCAGCAGATCTTAAGTTCGAAATTCCTGTCGAGTCACTGGCTGGGTTCAATGTCAGCACGTAGAGAAACGAGTCCTCGCCTGACTCGACGAGATCAAGGAAACAAGAGAGAACGAACGCAGATGTACGGGCGACAAGTGAGGGAAATATTCAGTAGACATTCACGAAGATGTAGCGTCTTCTCGTGGAATTTGGCGTAGATTTCCGATGGTAGGGATCGACAGTCTGATCTCATCGTATAAAAGTCTTTGGAGCCGGTGCTTTGGGAAGAGTTAGTCTCCATTCGAAAACGTGATCTCGACAAGGTACGTTACGTGTCAGATGATCTATTCACCGTGTGAATGAAGGATTAGGTTTTTAAGAATTTTTTTTTTAATTTTCCAAGATGATCAGAATTTTCCTGGATGACGAGATCTCTCGCAGAGGCTTCAGACAGGCTTCGGCGAGTGTCTAGTTGTTCTTTACTTGATCCTTTAGAGATGTTAAATTTCTCGTCGCGCCTGGAAACAATTATATGAGAATATATTTTTGTAAAATAATAAAATAAATTATAAAATTATAAATGAGTTTTGTACTTTTGTGCTTTCAATTATGGGACGGTAAGCACCGCTGAATCCTTCAGAGAGAATTTTCTTGCAAATTCTCTCTCAAGATTTAATATTTTAGTCACAAATTAATTCGATATCCTTGGTTCCTATCTTTTTACCCTTTCTGATCATTATTTTTATATTCCTTTTAGATGATGACGAGGTACGTGATAGTGCTGGCTGCTGTGCTGGCCGTGATCTACGCGGATTCTCAGACGGAATCCGAGCAACAGACGGTGAAAACACCAGCCACGGAAATTGTCGCGCCGGAAATATCACAAGGGACCACGAGCGAAGTGGCCGAGACGCAATCACGTAGTAAGAGAGCGCCGATTTTATTGGGAAAAGCACTTCTGGGCGGTGCTCTTCTCGGTAAAGCCGCTCTCGGAGCCGGAGTTATAGGTGCCGGGGTTGTAGGTGCCGGGGTCCTTGGTGCGGGACTCGTCGGTGCTGGATTGTACAAGGCTAAATAGTAAGTTGTTTATCTCGGAAAAAGTATACTTTGTCTCTAAAAGCACAAATGTTGTACAAAGATGAGAGCAAAATTATATTAATATTAATTTTAAAATTAAATTTATATTAAAATATTAATTTTAAAATTAAATTTATATTAAAATATTAATTTTAAAATTAAATTTATATTAAAATATTAATTTAAAATTAAATTATATTAATACTATATCTAATTAAATTTATATAAATTATATAAATTAAATAATTATATAAATTATATTAAATAAATAGTTATATAAATAATATAATTATAATTATATTAATATACTATATTTAATTAAATTTATATTAATACTATATTTAATAGTTTAAAGTTATAAAAAAATTATAGAAAAACAATTGGCAAAATAGTACAATTAGAATTTTCAATCTTTTTAATTAATCTATTCTGCGACATTAATTCTCAAATATTGGCCTGTTTATGATAATTAAATTAATTAAAACATATAAAAATTTAAGCGTTTTTACTGTTCAAAAAATTTCGTCTAAACTTGTGCGTCATCACTATTAGTTCTTCTAATTCTCATTCTAACACTAATTAAATTCTAGCTAAAGATGTTAGAGCGAAAGTGTCAAATATACAATACAATATTGATAAAATTTCGTAATTTCTTTTTTTAGCCTTGGTGGCGGCTACGGCTATGGTGGAGGATACGGCTATGGTGGAGGATACGGCTATGGTGGTGGATACGGCTATGGTGGAGGATACGGTGGTGGAGGATACGGTGGTGGAGGATACGGTGGTGGAGGATATGGTGGTGGATACGGCTATGGTGGAGGATACGGTGGTGGAGGATACGGTGGTGGATACGGCTATGGTGGAGGATACGATCGTGGATACTACCCAGACTATCATTATCACACTCATTATCACGGTTATCCCTATTATCGTAGTTATTATCCCAAATCTTATGATTATGGCTGGTAAATTGCGATTCCGACTTCAGAATGTATCAATACATTTTTCTTCAGATCTCGTTAATGCGAATAAAGACCAGCTGATAATAATCATGCCACCGATCAATTTGTCTGATTTTATTGAAAACTTTTACTACAAACAATATTAAATATATATACGTTGTAATAAATCTAATTTTGCTTTTCTCTCTCTCTCACATTTGCCTTTACATATAAAAAATGCACAAATATTTGCATCAAAATAAGAGAGATTCGTCAATAATATATAATGATCAATAAAGAAATTACGCAATTTTACTGACATGTATTTGACACTTTCGCTCTAATATCTTTAGCTCGAACTTTCAGTGAAATTTGATTAGCATGATGAGAATTGAACTAATAGTGATGACACAAATTTTGGTGAAATTTTTCAAAAAGTAAAAATGCGTATAAAATTTTTACACGTATCAAAATTAATTTAATTATCATAAATAGGCGACTTTCAACATTTGAGAATTGACGCAAAGCAAATTAACAAAAAGACTTTAATTGTACTTGCTATTTTGCCAATTATTTTTCTATAACATTACATGAGAATGAAAAGTTATATAGAATCGATACAAAGAAGAAAGATATAAGATTTATGTAACAGAAAGTGTCAAAAAATTGTAAAATTGGTTGTTAGCACGTTAAACATTATATATCTAAAAAAATCATTATAATTGTATAACAGATAATTAGAAATTATATTTTATGTGTTGAAGAGCAAAATTAAATCATACTGTTTAATGAAAGTTTTAAATAAAACCAGTCAAATTGATTGATGATCACGATTACTATCAATCCAACTGTTACTGACTCCTGAGAAATTATTTTTAATGATAATAATAAAAAAATATTATTTGAAATATTTGAGTTGCACAAAAAATCATTAAAAAATATATACATTGATACATTTACATAGATATATAATGTATTTCATAAAATAAATAATATACCTATCACCAGTGTTTGCTGGTGTTTGCTATCTAGATAAAATTATCTAGATAATCATCTAGATAAAAAAATGGATCATCTTTATCTTTAACTAGGTGAAGAAATACAAAGTATCTTTATTTTTATCTTAGATGAAAAATATATGTCATCTTGTCTAAAAATTGTATAAGATGACGTTTTCATTATGCAAAAAAGTTTTCCAGGCAAGCTTCTAAAAGTCTATCTAAAATATATTTTTTATATTATTATTATTAATATATTATAAATATATTATAAATGTATTATAAATATAAATTAATTAATAAATATTTATCATATCATTTATATACCTTTTTGCTATTTCTTTATAATATTAAATATTCTTTAGGAAAAGGGAAAGAATATGTGTTTATGATTTTAATATCCCATTTATAATCTGTCACATTTTTTACAAATATTTATAATCTTCTAAAATAAACAAAAATATCTAGCTAATTATCTAGATTATCGCAATAATTATCTCATCTTTCATCTAGATTAAGTAAAAGCAAAATCATCTTTATCTCATCTAAGATAAATTTACAGATTTTTATCTTTCTCTTTATCTAGATAATTTTGAAATTATCTACAGCAAACACTGCCTATCACGTACACTTAAAAATCTAATAATATATCTAATTGTGCTAATCTGTACTGTCGTTTTTTAGTGTTCCTGACGAGAACAAAGTTAGACTTTTTGCGAATAATTTCGAGTAGCGAGGGTAATGTGACATATCCGATGCCAATACCTTTCGCACGAAGAAATGAATAACCGCCTATCGTTACGTATCCCATGACTTCTCTATCGCAGGAATGGCGAACTTCCGTCGATTCTGGGAGATACAATTTTCTCATTTCTTTCGCATAATCTGATATCATTTTGCGATGTTCTGAGAGTTTTGCACAATTAATCGTGTCATGAATGACATCAAATTCCTCCGGCAATACATTATCTTGAAGCTTCTTCTTCCGTTCAACTCTGCGCCGTCTTAGTCGTTTCAATTGCATCAAGTGTTCCTTGCGTAATATTTTGCGGGACTTTTCATTCGGATCGATGTGACATTTTTCCAAAGGCCCGGCATATTTTTTATTATTCTCGAATCCTTCCAAATCTTCGTGTGTCGGCATACATATGATCGCGAACTCCTCCGGCGTTCCTTTGCCCATCATAGACAATTGGACTTGTACCAGGCAATTTTTATATTCATCGAATTCTTGAAAATTGAACTCGGACTCTTGGACAGTTGACTTGGACCTTGCATTCTTACGCTTCACAGGAATCTCAATTTCTATTTTTAAAAGTGCCAAAGGTCTAAAGTGTCTCAGAACGTGAAAATCTTCAACGTCCGACCAGCCTTTGGTTAAATTTTTCCAATCGCAGAAGAAAGGACTATGAATGCCAAATTTGATAAAGTTATTTCTTCTGTTTGGGGGATAAGAAAAATATTTGTTGATTAATTCCTCCTTTCTCATCAACGCCTCCCTCGTGTAAGCAGGAGTGTCAGGATCATTAATATCAGGTACGTATGTTGCTAAACTTTCAAAAGCTATCAATTTGGATTCTCGAAGTGCGCCTACTCTTGCACATCGCATTATAAGTGCAATCCAAAATGCCATTGCCCATCTAGATGGTATAATGATATCTATCCTGGAACCTAAACCTGGAACAATATATCAATGTACTTTTAATTGCAATCAAGGAATAATATGTACCTTATGAATAATTGTAAATTATACTTATTACCAGTGTTTGCTGGTATCTAGATAAAGAAATGGATCATCTTTATCTTTAACCAGATGAAGAAATACAAAGTATCTTTATCTTTATCTTAGATGAAAAATATATGTCACCTTATCTAAAAATTGTCTAAGATGACGTTTTCATTATGCAAAAAAGTTTTCCAGGCAAGCTTCTAAAAATCTATCTAAAATATTTAAAATATATTTTTCATATTATTATTATTAATATATTATAAATATATTATAAATATGTTATAAATATTATATTTATAATATTATTTATAATTAATAATATAATAATAATATATTATAAATATATTATTATTATATTATTAATTATAAATATATTATTATAAATATATTATAAATATAAATTAATAAATAAATATTTATCATATCATTTATATACCTTTTTGCTATTATTTAAATATTCTTTAGAAAAAAGAGAAAGAATATGTTTATGATTTTAATATCCCATTTATAATCTGCGTCACATTTTTTACAAATATTTATAATCTTCTAAAATAAACAAAAATATCTAGATAATTATCTAGATTATCGCAATAATTATCTCATTTTTCATCTAGATTAAGTAAAAGCAAAATCATCTTTATATCATCTAAGATAAATTTACGGATTTTTATCTTTATCTTTATCTAGATAATTTTGAAATTATCTACAGCAAACACTGCTTATTACATACCTAAAGGAGCTGCTGCTGGTTTCTGAACAAGAAGTATCGGTATTTTTGCCATTACATCCTTACTAAAGTATTGATCATTTGACATACCAGGTACAAGACACTCACTTCTAAGTTTGTTGATTCTGTCTGTGGACACACAAGAATTGCTTACGATATGACGTATTTGTGCATCCCAAATAGGGGAACGATTTAAGTCAGTTGGTAGCTGACAATCTAAGTTTTTAGCAGACGAAGGAATCTCAGTCTTCGTCCTTTTTACGGGCAAATAAAAGCGTGGATCTAAAACGGTTAATCCAATAATCATATTTGATAATAGGAAACTTGGTGATCCCAAAACCTTCATCGATTGCCACAACTGTTCTTGTATCTTAAAAGCTTCTATATTTTCTCTTTCATTATAATATTCATTATACCACATTTTCTTCTTAAGATCTTGTATAGTCAAATCTTTGGTATCTTTTTCATTTTCATCAATTACCATTTTCTCCACAGGTTGCACAGAGACATTATTGCCTGTTGATGTTGTATCTAATTTTTCATCATTTAATGAGCTATCCTGTTCTTCTCTCATAGGGCAATTTTCTGAATCCAAATCCAGTTCAGTTAAAGATGGTACATATAATGCTTCTCCTAGTACAGTTAAAGCTGCTGGCCCAGAAAGTCTGAATCTATTTAATGCGTATCTTAATACAAGCATTTTACAGCCTGCATCATTTGTGTACAAATCATTTAAATGGTGTAAAATGTCAGTTCTATCTTGTTCAGCATTATTCTGTTTAAACTCAAAACTAGATATAATCTCACTAAGAAAATCACTATAAAAAGCAGGATGTACCCAGATCCAAATGGTTTTAATGTCTGTCTCGCTTAGCTTCCAGAAAAAGTCCACATTACCAATAGGGAACTGTGGATAGCCATTCCTTTTAAAGAACATTACCGTACCTTCTTTCTGACCACTGGTGTACATCTCTGCTGTAAAAGTTTTTCTCGGATTACAATGTTCCTTCAAAGTTGCTTCCAACCAATTTTTCTCTCCTACTATCTCGATACAGGTATAGTAAGAAATATCTTGTAAAAGACAGTTTTGTGTTGTAGCTCTGTAACTGGCTCTAAAGCTCTTGTCGTTGGAATAATTTGGAATTTTATATCCCCACTTGTCGATCATGTGAAAACGTTTTGCATGCCAGATGTGAGTCTCCAACCAGATTTTCTTACGTTGTCTGCGGTAGTATTCGGAAAGTAAATTGCGTGGCCTCCTACGATACTTTCGAGATGGTCGTTTATTCGTCGATGGTAAATTCTGGCCGTTCGCTGACTTTGCCATTTGTGCTGAATGTGCCTCTCGCAATCTGCGGGGCAACCTTTTAACATTATGAGACATGACCCGTCTGCGCATGTATACAGGAAGCTTTTGAAATATTAACTTGGTTTGCTTAGGATTTTCTGTAACAGAAGAAATTGTTTTCTTAGTTCAATTACAATCAGGTCTTGACGTTTCATTGTTGAATGTTACCTTTGTGAGAAATTGTGTAAAAAGGAAAGTCGATCTTGGAAGAGATAAAAAGACAATTGTTCCTATCAGTTAAAAAGACAGAGGAACTACTTCTTAAAGCGATGATAAGGAGAGAATTTACTGGCAGTGAATTGTTTAATACAGTATTTATTTAAATAGAAGGTCGTGGGAAAGACACATTTAAAGAAGCCTTACATTTTTTGCAAGGTATACTTTTTTTAAAATTATATACATTATATAAAAAATATTTAGAAAATTAAAAGAATCATAATTCTTATTTAGTGTCGATTTTAAAAATCAAAGTTTTTCTGAATTCAAATAAAATGTGTTTTAATTTCTTAGGGAGAATTTATGTGTATTTCTACAATGTAAGATATTTCATGGCAAATATTTTAAAAAATTTTAAAAATTACTCTTAAGTACTTGGCTAATATTAATTATTGATTTGATATTTTATGTTTAAGTGTCTTTTTAGGAATATTATTTTTTGGTTTAATTTTTTTAGAAAAATTATTCCTTTTTTTTTTTAGAAAAATTACTGTAAATTATTTTTAAAGACTTTTATTAAACATTTTTTGCACACAAGGTAGAATACTTTTATGTACTTGATGTATCTCTTATCATTGTAAGATTATTTTTTTAGAGATATATATTATTGAGAAATATATTTCTGCAATCAGAAAATTATTTTCTAATGTTTTCTTAGCAAAATTATTTTATGAGATTTTATTTTTTAGAAAAATTATTTTTTTTTGAGGAAAATTACTATAAATTATTTTTAAAGACTTTTTTATTAAACATTTTTTGCACAAGGTAGAATACTTTTATATACTTGGTATTCCTTTACCTTTGCAAGATACATACCAATCGAAGATGTCATCGCGGAAATTTCACGGGCTCGTGAAGAGACGAAGTGCATAATATTCACTTCGGATGGAAGGGTCTCGGATCCTCCCAAATATTCGTCAAATTGTTTCCTCTTCTTTGCCATGACGTTTGAGTTTGCACGTTTTTTCGCGGCCTAAAGAGAGATTACACGATTGTTAATCCACGTGGACTAAACAAATAAACCACACATGCAATTACATATTTTATAAGATACTAACTTTTTTTTTCTTCTTTTTTATTGACAAGGAACAAGGGACGTCTTCTTCAAGGTACTAAAAATAGGTATCTTGAGGTATCTAACCTAATGTTTGAGGCAGGCACGAAATGCAGAGTCCACGTGTCTCTCCTCACCATAGAAATTTGTGGTAGTCATGGGAACGGAAACAAGGTCTTCTTTGGCGCGAACGATAGCTTATGTAGACTCGACGCGGGAAAGAAAGATGCGTCAACCAATCAGGTAAAGCGAGACGAATGCGTCAGCCAATCAACTTGTCATATTTTTACAAGAGCGCGAAATTGATTGGTTCTCTTTTCCGCGTGATTTCATGAACCGCATTCTATCTAGATAGGCCTTTAGAACCGATTAAAATTATTCCGAATTTTTCTGGGTCAATGTAAATCGTATAAATTCGAAGAAAAGAAGAAAAAAATCTCGAGAAATCGATCAATCACTTTGTCTAAAGAGGATAAAAAGGATCTTATGAATGAAACGAGATTGAATCTCCGTTTTTAAAATTCCAAATAATTATTGACATGTAATGACACTGAAATGACGATTACACGTAGAAATGAATGAAATTATATAGGATCAATGCAAAGAAAGAAACATATAAATTTTATGTAACAAAAAGTGTAAAAAACCGTAAAAAATAACATTGGTTATTAGTACGTTAAACATTATATATAAAATATATACGTTACATTATATACACGTTAAACATTATATATAAAAAAATCATTATAATCGTACAACAGATAATTAGAAATTATATTTTATGTAGTTATTTTTGTACCGCTCGATAAATGTACATTTTAGAAGCAATGTATTGAAGAGCAAAATTAAATCATACTGTTTAATGAAAGTTTCAAATAAAACCAAACCAAATTGATCAATCATGATCATTATCAATTCATCTGTTATTGACTCCTGGGAAATTATTTTTACTGATAATAGTGTAAAAAAATATTTAAAATATATGGCTTTATTCTTGCACAAAAAAAATTAAAAAATATATTCATTGATACAATTACATATATTTGCATAGATATATAATGTAAACAGAATCTTCGAAAGTCGGATCTCGGTGCCATTTTTATCAAGTGCATGCTAACGGCCGATCTCCGCGAAAAGCAGCATCGTCTATGGCTGTGTAGTAATAGTAGCAAGGACATCATCGCGTAGAAAAACAAAATGTAATAATTTAAAATATAATAATTTATTATATTATATTTTAAATTATATATATATATATATATATATACAGGGTGAATCATAATGGATGTAACAACCTTTTACCATTAGAGATCAATTATCGACTGCAACTGTAATCAATTGAATGATTTATAGATGACAGCTGCTTGGATCGACCGTGTCTGCAGTAACGTACAAGCGAGTTAAATACTGTGAATTAAATAATATACATATTCCATGCATACTTTTCTAATATATTTAACTTTTTTATGTACATATTTTGCTTTCTACACGGTTTTTTTCTAATAACGTGATTTCTTATTATTGTGAAACGTATCTGCCACATAAAAAGAGATATCTTTTGCATTCGTGTATTTTTTAATACGATTTTTTTTTAAATAATGATTTTTTAATACATAGAATTTGACGATTTTTTTCATTCTTACACAAATCATTTTAACGCGTAAAAAGAGTTGGATTGGTAAAGATACAAAAGTATTCTTTTTTTATTTAAAAAAATGCGTAATTCTGCTTTCTACAAGAATTATTCTACTTATTATTAATTTTCTAAGTTATAACTTTTACATTCTTAATATCTACAGCAGAATATTTCTTGTAGAAAGTAGAATTACGCATTTTTTTTTATAAAAAAGGAATACTTTTGTATCGTTTACCAATCCAACTCTTTTTACACGTTAAAATGATTTGTGTAAGAATGGAAAAAATCGCCGTCAAATTCTATGTATTAAAATACCATTATTTAAAAAAAATCGTATTAAAAAATACACGAATGCAAAAGATATCTCTTTTTATGTGACAGATACGTTTCACAATAATAAGAAATCGCGTTATTAGAAAAAAACCGTGTAGAAAGAAAAATATGTACATAAAAGAGTTAAATATATTAGAAAAGTATGCATAGAATATGTATATTATTTGATTCACAGTATTTAACTCGCTTGTACGTTACTGCAGACACGGTCGATCCAAGCAGCTGTCATCTATGAATTATTCGATTGATTACAGTTGCAGTCGATAATTGATTTCTAATGGTAAAAGGTTGTTACAACCATTATGATTCACCCTGTATATATATATATATATATATATATATATATATATAGATTATAGATATATAGATCATAGACGGTACTGTTTCCTGCGGCGCTTGGCCGCTAACATGAACTAGGAGTGGGGAAAACGGCCCTGAGATCCGGAATCTGGTAATAAGATAAAATGTACATAAAGTAAAAAATATACTTATGATGCTACACTTATCTACTAATAATTAATATCTACTAATATTTATCATTAATATCTACTAATATTTTTAAACGTGCTAATCTATACTGTAGATCTTTAGTATTCCTAACAAGAACAATGTTAGACTTTTTACGAATAATTTCGAGTAACGAGGGTAATGTAACATATCCGATGCCAATACCTTTCGCACGAAGAAGTGAATAACTGCCTATCGTTACGTATCCCATGACTTCTCTATCGCAGGAATGGCGAACTTCCGTCGATTTTGGAAGATACCATTTTCTTATTCTTTCCGCAAAATCATCTGATATAATTTTGCGAAATTCTAAGAGTAATGCACGATTAATCTCGTCCTGAATGGAATGAACTTCCTCCGGCAATACATTATCTTGGAACGTTTTCTCCAGTTCAACTCTGTCCCGTCTTAGTTGTTTCATCTGCATCAAGTATAATTTAAATAATATTTTGCGGAAGTTTTCATTCGGATCGGTGTGATATTTTTCGACAGGCCCATCATAATTTTTATTATTTTGGAATCTTCTCAAATCTTTGCGTTTCGGCATACATATGATCGCGAACTCCTTCGGCGTTCCTTCGCTCACCATAGACAATCCGACTCGTACCAGGCAATTTTTATATTTATCGAATTTTTGAAAATCGAATTCTGACTCTTGGACAGTTGATTTGGACCTTGCATTCTTACGTTTATTACTTTCAATTTCGTTTCTTAAATATGCTAAAAGTCTAAAGTGTCGCAGAACGTAAAAATCTTTAACGTCCGACCAGCCTTTGGTTAAATTTTTCCAATCGCAGAAGAAAGGACTACGAATGCCAAATTTGATAAAATTAACTCTTTGGTTTGGTGAATGAGAAAAATATTTGTTGGTTAATATCTTCTTTCTTTTCGACGCGCCTCTCATGTAAGCTGGAGTATCGGGATCATTAATATCAGGTACGTATGTTCCTAAACTTTCAAAAATTATTAATTTGGTTTGTCGAAGTCCGCCTACTAATGGAGATTGCGTTATAAGTGCAATCCAAAATGCCATTGCCCATCTAGATGGTATAATAATATCTATCCTGTAATTTAAACCTGTAACAATATATCAATGTATTTTTAATTGCAATCAAGGAATACAGGATGTCCCATTTTAATGTCCCACCGCAATTAACTTTCTTATTTTTAATTTTAGAAAAAAAAGGTTCAGACATAAGTTGTATGGTTTCTAGGGGGACATAAGATGGTGCCATTAGTTTGACCTTGAAGAGTTACATGAAGATTACGTGAAGGTCATTTTGAATTTCTTAAGTGGAACACCCTATATATTTTTGCATATTCTTGTAGCTTATCTCGAGAGCTTTCCAAAACACTATAAATAAACATTTTTTCATCAAGTCGAAAGTACCATACAACTTTTGTCTGAAACATCTTTTTCTAAAATTAAAAATAAGAATGTTATTTGGGGTGGGACATTAAAATAGGACACCCTGTATATACCTTATGAATGATTGTAAATTATACTTATCACTCACCTAAAGAAGCTTCTGTTGGTTTCTGTATAAGAAGTATCGGTATTTTTGCCACTGCATCCTTATTAAAATGTGGATCTGATATACTAGCTGCATCCATAAACTTGTCAATTGTGTTTGTGGATACACAAGAATTGCTTACGATATGACGTATTTGTGCATCCCAAATAGGAGAACGACTTAAGTCAGTTGGTAACTGACAACGTAAGTTTTCAGCAGATGAAGGAATCTCAGTTTCCGTCTTTCTTGGAGGTAAATAAAAGCGTGGATCTGTAACGGTTAATCCAATAATCATATTTGATAACAAAAAACTTGGTGATCCCAAAACCTTCATCCTTTGCCACATTTGCTCTTGCATCTTAAAGGCTTCTATATTTTCTCTTTCTTTATAATATTTAGTATGCCACATTTTTTCCTTAAGATCTTGTATAGTCAAATCTTTGGTATCTTTTTCATTTTCATCAATTACTATTTTCTCCACAGGTTGCACATTATTACCTGTTGATGTTGTATCTAGTTTTTCATCATTTAACGAGCTATCCTGTTCTTCTCTCATGGGGTAATTTTCCAAATCCAAATCAAGTTCAGTTACAGATGGTACATGTAATGCTTCTGTTAGTACAGTTACAGCTTCAAGCCTAGAAAGTCTGAATCTATTTAATGCACATTTTAATACACGCATTTCACAGCCTGCATTATTTGTGTACAAATCATTTAAATTGTGTGAAATGTCAGTTTTATTTTGTTCAACGTTATTCTGTTTAAACTCAAAACTAGATATAATCTCACTAAGAAAATCACTATAAAAAGCAGGATGTACCCATATCCAAATGGTTTTAATGTTTGTCTCGCTTAGCTTCCAGAAAAAGTTCACGTAACCAATAGGGAACTGTGGATAGCCATTCTTTTTAAAGAACATTATCGTACCTTCTCTCTGACCATTGGTGTACATCTTTTCTGCAAAAGTTTTTTTGGGATTACAATGTTCCCCCAAAGCTGCTTCCAACCAATTTTTCTCTCCTACTATTTCGATACAGGTATAGTAAGAAATATCTTGTAAAAGGCAGTATTTTGTTTCACCATTGTTACTGGCTTTATGGCTCTTGTCGTTTAAATAATATGGAATTTTATATCCCCACTTGTCGATCATGTGAAAACGTTTTGCATGCCAGGTATGAGTCTCTAAGCAGATCTTCTCATGGGATGGTTGCTGCTTACTCGTCGATGGTAAATTTTGGTTGCTCACCGACTCTGCCATTTTTGCCAAATGTTCCTCTCACAGTCCAGGTGGCAAGCTTTTAACATTACAAAATATGACAAATCTGTATATATATATATATAAAGCTTTTGAAATATTAACTTGGTTTGCTGAGGATTTTCTGTAACAAAAATGTTTTCTTAATTCAATTACAATCAAATCTTAATGTTTCATTGTTGAATGTTACCTTTATGAGAAATTGTATAAAAAAAGTAAGTCAATCTTAAAAGAGATAGAAAAATAATTGTTTCTATCAAGTTAAAAAGGTAGAGGCACTACTTCTTAAAGTAAGTTGTTGTTGAATAAATGTGTTGGATGAATATAAAAACGCATGAGATCCAACTCGCTAGGCAGCAGAAGCTAGAAGAAATGTTTTCTTAACCGATCTAAGGAAAAGGTCGTAAGAAAAGACATTACACAAGTTTACATTTTTTGCAACGTATACATACCAATCGAAGATGTCACCTTGGAAATTTCACGAGCTTGAGAAGAGCTGATTCACATGATAGACATTTCAGATGGAAGGTTTTTGGATCCTTCCAAAATTTCAGTTCGTCAAATTGTTTCTTCTTCTTCGCCATGACCATTTTTTCGCGCCTAAAAATTACACGACTGTTAATCCACGTGGACTAAACAAGTAAATCGCGTTCATGCAATTTTATAGTATTTTATAAGATGCTAATATTTTTTTTTTTCTTCTTTTTTTTATTGGCAAGGTACAAGGGACGTCTTCTTCATTTCTTTTTATACGTAAAAGAATTAAGGTTCGATGAGAGATGGGTAGATTAGTAAAAATAAAATAAAAAAATATTAAAATTAAATAAAAAATGAATAAAAATAAATAAAAAATAATTAATTTTTTTATCTAAATTTATTTATGTAATTTAAATATAAATAATTTTTTAAATAAAATTTTCTATTAAATGAAAATAATTTAATACAAAATTCAATTAATATTTAAACTAATTCTATTAATGAAAGTTTATAATAGAAAATTAATAAAAATTATTATTAATAAAAATTATTATTACTAAAATTAGGTATCTTGAAGTATCTAACCTAATGTTTGATGCAGGCACGAAATTCAAAGCCCTCGTGTCTCTCCTCACCATAGAAATTTGTGGTAGTCATGGAAACAGAATCAACATCTTCTTTGGCGCGAACGTTAGCTTACATAGACACGATGCGGGAAAGAAAGATGATTCAACCAATCAAGTAAGGGGAGAGGAAAGCGTCAGCCAATCAGCTTGTCACATTTTTTACAAGCGCAAGAAATTGATTGGTTCTTTTTTCCGCGCGATTTCATGAACCGCATTATATCTAGATAGGCTTTTAGATCCGATTAAAAATATTCCCGATTTCTCTGGGTCAATGTGAATCGTATAAATTCGAAAAAAATAGGAAAAAAAATGTTATCTCGAGAAATCGATCATTCACTGTGTCTAAAGAGGATGAAAAGAATCTCATGAGTGAAACGAGATTGAATCTCCGTTTTTAAAATTCCAAATAATTGTTGACATGTAACGACACCGAACCGGCAAATCCAAGTAGAAAGGAATGAAATTATATAGGAACAATACAAAGAAGAAAAAAACATAAGTTTTATGTAGCAGAAAGTGCAAAAAACTGTAAAAAATAACATTAGTTATTAGTACGTTAAACATTATATATAAAAAAATCATTATAATCGTACAACAGATAATTAGAAATTATATTTTATGTAGTTATTTTTGTACCGCTCGATAAATGTACATTTTAGAAGCAGTATATTGAAGAGCAAAATTAAATCATACTGTTTAATGAAAGTTTCAAATAAAACCAAACCAAATTGATCAATCATGATCATTATCAATCCATCTGATATTGACTCTTCGGAAATTATTTTTGCTGATAACAGTGCAAAAAAATATTATTTAAAATATTTGGCTTTATTCTTGTACAAAAAAAATTAAAAAATATATTCATTGATACATTTACATATATTTGCATAGATATATAATGTAAACAGAGTCTTGGAGAGTCGGATCTCGGTGCCGTCTTCATCACTCCAAGTGCATGCTAACGGCCGATCTCCGTGAAAAGCAGCATCGTCTACGGCGGTGTAGTGATGGTAGCAAAAAGGACATCGTCGCGAAGAAAAACAAAATATAATAATTTAAAATATAATAATTTATTATATTATTTTATATTTTAAATTATATATATATATATATATATATATATATATATTAATTTGTTTTATATGTATAATTAAATAGTCGTATAATAGTAGTATAATTAAATAGTAATTGATATTTTATGTATAATATGTATAATTAAATCTATATATTATATATATATATATATATATATATATATATATAATATATATATATATATTTAATTATACATATTATACATAAAATATAAATTACTATTTAATTATACTACTATTTAATTATACATATTATATATAAAATATAAATTACTATTTAATTATACTACTATTATACTACTATTTAATTATACATATTATACATAAAACAAATTAATATATATATATATTAATTTGTTTTATATGTATAATTAAATAGTAGTATAATAGTAGTATAATTAAATAGTAATTTATATTTTATGTATAATTAAATCTATATATATATATATATATATATATATATATATATATATATATAAAATTTTTCTATGCGATGGTGTCTTCTTTGCTATTATCACTAGACCGGCATAGATCATAGATGGTACTGTTTCCCGCGCTTGGCCGCTAACATAAACTAGGAGTGGGGAAAACGGCCCTGAGATCCGGACTCTGGTAATAAGATAAAATGTTCATAAAGTAAAAAATATACTTATGCACACTTATCTACTAATATTTATCATTAATATCTACTAATATTTTTAAACGTGCTAATCTATACTGTAGATCTTTAGTATTCCTAACAAGAACAATGTTAGACTTTTTGCGAATAATTTCGAGTAACGAGGGTAATGTAACATATCCGATGCCAATACCTTTCGCACGAAGAAGTGAATAACTGCCTATCGTTACGTATCCCATGACTTTTCTATCGCAGGAATGGCGAACTTCCGTCGATTTTGGGAGATACCATTTTCTTATTCTTTCCGCAAAATCATCTGATATAATTTTGCGAAATTCTAAGAGTAATGCACGATTAATCTCGTCCTCAATGGAATGAAATTCCTCCGGCAATCCATTATCTTGGAACGTTTTCTCCAGTTCAAATCTGTCCCGTCTTAGTTGTTTCATCTGCATCAAGTATAATTTAAATAATATTTTGCGGAAGTTTTCATTCGGATCGGTGTGATATTTTTCGACAGGCCCATCATAATTTTTATTATTTTGAAATCTTCTCAAATCTTTGCGTTTCGGCATACATATGATCGCGAACTCCTTCGGTGTTCCTTCGCTCACCATAGACAATCCGACTCGTACCAGGCAATTTTTATATTTATCGAATTTTTGAAAATCGAATTCTGACTCTTGGACAGTTGATTTGGACCTTGCATTCTTACGTTTATTACTTTCAATTTCGTTTCTTAAATATGCTAAAAGTCTAAAATGTCGCAGAACGTAAAAATCTTTTACGTCCGACCAGCCTTTGGTTAAATTTTTCCAATCGCAGAAGAAAGGACTGCGAATGCCATATTTGATAAAGTTAACTCTTTGGTTTGGCGAATGAGAAAAATATTCGTTGGTTAATCTCTTCTTTCTCTCCAACGCCTCTCTCTTGTAAGCAGGAGTGTCGGGATCATTGAAATCAGGTACATATGTTCCTAAACTTTCAAAAACTACTAATTTGGTTTCTCGAAGTCCGCCTACTAATGGAGTTAACATTGTAAGTGCAATCCAAAATGACAATGCCCATCTAGATGGTATAATAATATCTATCCTGGAACCTAAACCTGTAACAATATATCAATGTACTTTTAATTGCAGTCAAGGAATAATATGTACCTTATGAATAATTGTAGTAAATTATACTTATTACGTACCTAAACTAGCTATTGCAGGTTTCTGTATAAGAAATATTGGTATTTTTGCATCCTTATTAAAATATGGACTATTTGACATAGTAGCTACACATATAAACTCGATCATGTTTGTGGACACACAAGAATTGCTTACGATCTGACGTATTTGAGCATCCCAAATAGGAGAACGAATTAAATCAGTTGGTAACTGACAACGTAAGCTTTCAGCAGATGAAGGAACCTCAGTTTTCATCCTTGCAGGTAAATAAAAGTGTGGATCTGAAACGGTTAATCCAATAATCATATTTGATGGCAGAAAACTTGGTGATCCCAAAACCTTCATCGATTGCCACATTTGCTCTTGTATCTTAAAAGCTTCTATATTTTCTCTTTCTTTATAATATTTAGTATACCACATTTTTTCCTTAAGATCTTGTATAGTCAAATCTTTGATAACTTTTTCATCAATTGTCATTTTCAGCAGAGTTCGCACAGAGATATTACTATCAGTTGATGTATCTAATTTTTCATCACTTGACGAGCTATCCTGTTCTTCTGTCATAGGGCAATTTTCCGAACCTAGTTCAGTTAGAGAAGGTACACGTAATGCTTCTTTTAATACAGTTAAAGCTGTTGGCCCAGAAAGTCTGAATCTATTTAATGCATATTTTAATACACGCATTTCACAGCCTGCGTCATTTGTGTACAAATCATTTAAATTGTATGAAATGTCAGTTCTATCTTGTTCCGCGTTCTGTTTAAACTCAAAACTAGATATAATCTCACTAAGAAAATCACTATAAAAAGCAGGATGTACCCATATCCAAATAGTTTTAATGTTTGTCTCGCTTAGCTTCCAGAAAAAATTCACATTACCAATAGGAAACTGTGGATAGCCATTCTTTTTAAAGAACATTACCGTACCTTCTCTTTGACCATTGGTGTACATCTTTGCTGTAAAATTTTTTTTCGGATTACAATGTTCCTTCAAAGTTGCTTCCAACAAATTTTTCTCTCCTACTATCTCGATACAGGTATAGTAAGAAATATCTTGTAAAAGGCAGTTTTTTGTTACAGCATTGTAATTGGCTTGAAGGTTCTTGTCCTTTGAACAATATGGAATTCTATATTCCCACTTGTTGATCATGTGAAAACGTTTTTCATGCCAGGTGTGAGTCTCTAAACAGATCTTTTCATGGGATGGTTGCTGCTTACTCGTCGATGGTAAATTTTGGCTGCTCGCCGACTCTGCCATTTTTGCCAAATATACCTCTTGCAATCTAGGTGGTTTTTAACGTTACGAGATATGACACATCTGTGTATATATATATATGAAGCATTTGAAATATTAACTTGGTTTGCTTAGGATTTTCTGTAACAAAAAAGTTTTCTTATTTCAATTACAATCAAATCTTAATGTTTTGTTGTGTGTGAATGTTACCTTTGTGAGAAATTGTATAAAACAAAAGTCAATCTTAAAAGAGATAAAACGATAATTGTTTCTATACAGTTAAAAAGGTAGAGGCACTACTTCTTAAAGTTGTTGCTGAATAAATGTGTTGGATGAATATAAAAATGTGTGAGGTCCAACTCGCTAGGCAGCAGAAGCTAGAAGAAATGTTTTCTTAACTGATCTAAGGAAAAGGTCGTGGGAAAGACATATTTAAGCACGTTTACATTTTTTGCAACGTATACATACCAATCGAAGATGTCACCTTGGAAATTTCACGGGCTCGCAAAGAGCCGAATCACATGATAGACATTTCAGATGGAAGGTTCTTGGATCCTTCCAAAATTTCAGTTCGTCAAATTGTTTCTTCTTCTTCGCCATGACCATTTTTTCGCGCCTAAAAATTACACGACTGTTAATGCACGTGGACTAAACAAATAAATCGCGTTCATGCAATTTTATAGTATTTTATAAGATGCTAATGTTTTTTTTTTCTTCTTTTTTTTATTGGCAAGGAACAAGGGACGTCTTCTTCATTTCTTTTTATACGTAAAAGAATTAAGGTTTGATGAGAGATGAGTAGATTAGTAAAAATAAAATAAAAAAATATTAAAATTAAATAAAAAATGAATAAAAATAAATAAAAAATAGTTAATTTTTTTATCTAAATTTATTTATGTAATTTAAATATAAATAATTTTTTAAATAAAATTTTCTATTAAATGAAAATAATTTAATACAAAATTAAATTAATATTTAAAATAACTCTATTAATGAAAAATAATAATAGAAAATTAATAAAAATTATTATTAATAAAAATTATTATTACTAAAAATAGGTATCTTGAAGTATCTAACCTAATGTTTGATGCAGGCACGAAATTCAAAGCCCAAGTGTCTCTCCTCGCCATAGAAATTTGTGGTAGTCATGGAAACAGAAACAAGATCTTCTTTGGCGCGAACGATAGCTTATGTAGACAGGACGCGGGAAAGAAAGATGCGTCAACCAATTAGGTAAAGGGAGATGAATGCGTCAGCCAATCAACTTGCCACATTTTTTACAAGCGCGAAATTGATTGGTTCTTTTTTCCGCGCGATTTCATGAACCGCATTATATCTAGATAGGCCTTTAGAACCGATTAAAATTATTCCGAATTTTTCTGGGTCAATGTAAATCGTATAAATTCGAAGAAAAGAAGAAAAAAATCTCGAGAAATCGATCAATCACGTTGTCTAAAGAGGATAAAAAGAATCTCATGAGTGAAACGAGATTGAATCTCCGTTTTTAAAATTCCAAATAATTGTTGACATGTAACGACACCGAAACGGCAATTCCATGTAGAAATGAATGAAATTATATAGGAACAATACAAAGAAGAAGAAAGAAACATAAATTTTATGTAACAGAAAATGCAAAAAACCGTAAAAGATAACATTGGTTATTAATACGTTAAACATTATATATAAAAAAAATCATTATAACTGTACAACAGATAATTTGAAATTATATTTTACGTAGTTACATTTGTACCGCTCGATAAATGTACATTTAGAAGCAAAATTAAATCATACTATTAATGAAAGTTTTAAATAAAACCAGACCAAATTGATCGATCATGATCACTATCAATCCATCTGCTATTGTCTCTTGGAAAATTATTTTTACTGATAATAGTATAAAAAAATATTTAAAATATATGGCTTTATTCTTGCACAAAAAAAATTAAAAAATATATTCATTGATACATTTACATATATTTGCATAGATATATATAATGTAAACAGAGTCTTGGAGAGTCAGATCTCGGTGCCGTTTTCGTCACTCCAAGTGCTAACGACTGATTTCCGCGAAAAACAGTATCGTCTATCGCGGTGTAGTGATGGAAACATTGTCGCGTAGAAAAGCAAAGTATAATAATTTATTACATTATTTTACATTTTATATTATATATATATATATAAATTTAAATTTTATGTATATGTATAATTAAATCTACATACATATATATACACATAATTATTAACTTATAATTATTATATTATTAAATCTATATATATATATATATATATATATATATATATATATATAAAATTTTTCTACGCGATGGTGTCCTTTTTGTTATCATCACAAGACATAGATCATAGGTGGTACTGTTTGTCGCGGCGCTCAACCGCTATCATGCACTTGGAGTGGGAAAAACGGCCCTCAAATCCGGAATCTGGTAATAAGATAAAATGTACATAAAGTAAAAAATATACTTATGACACACATTTATCTACTAATAATTAATATCTACTTATATCTCCTATTAATATCTACCAATATTTCTAATCGTGCAAATCTATACTGTAGTTCTTCAGTATTCCTAACGAGAACAATGTTAGACTTTTTGCGAATAATTTTGAGTAGCGAAGGTAATGTGACATATCCGATGCCAATATGTTCCCCACGAAGAAATGAATAACCGCCTATCGTTACGTATCCCATGACTTCTCTATCGCAGGAATGGCGAACCTCCATCGATTCTGGGAGATAGAATATTCTCATTTCTTTCATATGATCCAACATCATTTTGCGATGTTTCCAGAGTTTTGCACGATTGCTCTCGTCAGGAATGACATCGAATTTCCCCGGCAATATATTACCCAGGAACATTTTCTTCCGTTTAACTCTGCGCCTTAGTTGTTCCAATTGCCTCCAGTGTAATCTACGTAACATTTTGCGGGACTCTTCATTCCGATCTATGTGACATTTTTCGACAGGCCCGTCATAATTTCTATTATTTTGGAATCTTCTGAAATCTTTGCGTTTAGGCATACATATGATCGCGAACTCCTTCGGCGTTCTTTTGCCCATCATAGACAATTGGACTTGTACCAGGCAATTTTTATATTGGTCGAATTTTTGAAAATCGAATTCTAACTCTTGGACAGTTGATTTGGACCTCGCATTTCCACGTTTCAAAGTTTTAATTTCTTTTCTTAAATGTGCCAAAAGTCTAAAGTGTCTCAGAACGTAAAAATCTTCAACGTCCGACCAGCCTTTGGTTAAATTTTTCCAATCGCAGAAGAAAGGACTGCGAATGCCATATTTGATAAAGTTAACTCTTTGGTTTGCCGAATGAGAAAAATATTCGTTGGTTAATTTCTTCTTTCTGTTCGACGCCTCTCTCTTGTAAGCAGGAGTGTCGGGATCATTGAAATCAGGTACGTATGTTCCTAAACTTTCAAAAACTACTAATTTGGTTTCTCGAAGTCCGCCTACTAATGGAGTTAACATTGTAAGTGCAATCCAAAATGACAATGCCCATCTAGATGGTATAATAATATCTATCCTGGAACCTAAACCTGTAACAATATATCAATGTACTTTTAATTGCAGTCAAGGAATAATATGTACCTTATGAATAATTGGAGATAATTAAATTTATTACGTACCTGAAGGAGCTACTGCAGGTTTCTGTATAAGAAGTATTGGTATTTTTGCATCCTTATTAAAATATGGACTATTTGACATAGTAGCTACACATATAAACTCGATTATGTTTGTGGACACACAAGAATTGCTTACGATCTGACGTATTTGTGCATCCCAAATAGGAGAACGAATTAAATCAGTTGGTAACTGACAACATAAGCTTTCAGCAGATGAAGGAACCTCAGTTTTCATCCTTGCAGGTAAATAAAAGTGTGGATCTGAAACGGTTAATCCAATAATCATATTTGATGGCAGAAAACTTGGTGATCCCAAAACCTTCATCGATTGCCACATTTGCTCTTGTATCTTAAAAGCTTCTACATTTTCTCTTTCTTTATAATATTTAGTATACCACATTTTTTCCTTAAGATCTTGTATAGTCAAATCTTTGATAGCTTTTTCATCAATTGTCATTTTCAGCAGAGTTCGCACAGAGATATTACTACCAGTTGATGTATCTAATTTTTCATCACTTGACGAGCTATCCTCTTCTTCTGTCATAGGGCAATTTTCCGAATCTAGTTCAGTTAGAGAAGGTACACGTAATGCTTCTTTTAATACAGTTAAAGCTGTTGGCCCAGAAAGTCTGAATCTATTTAATGCATATTTTAATACACGCATTTCACAGCCTGCGTCATTTGTGTACAAATCATTTAAATTGTGTGAAATGTCAGTTCTATCTTGTTCCGCATTATTCTGTTTAAACTCAAAACTAGATATAATCTCACTAAGAAAATCACTATAAAAAGCAGGATGTACCCATATCCAAATGGTTTTAATGTTTGTCTCGCTTAGCTTCCAGAAAAAGTTCACATTACCAATAGGGAACTGTGGATAGCCATTCTTTTTAAAGAACATTATCGTACCTTCTCTTTGACCATTGGTGTACATCTTTGCTGCAAAATTTTTTTTCGGATTACAATGTTCCTTTAAAGTTGCTTCCAACCAATTTTTCTCTCCTACTATCTCGATACAGATATAGTAAGAAATATCTTGTAAAAGGCAGTTTTTTGTTACAGCATTGTAACTGGCTTGAAGGCTCTTGTCCTTTGAATAATATGGAATTTTATATTCCCACTTGTCGATCATGTGAAAACGTTTTTCATGCCAGGTGTGAGTCTCTAAGCAGATATTCTCATGGGATGGTTGCTGCTTACTCGTCGATGGTAAATTTTTGCTGCTCACCGACTCTGCCATTTTTGCCAAATATACCTCTTGCAATCTAGGTGATTTTTAACGTTATGAGATATGACACATCTGTGTATATATATATGAAGCTTTTGAAATATTAACTTGGTTTGCATAGGATTTTCTGTAACAAAAAAAAAGTTTTCTTATTTCAATTACAATTAAATCTTAATGTTTTGTTGTGTGTGAATGTTACCTTTGTGAGAAATTGTATAAAACAAAAGTCAATCTTAAAAGAGATAAAAAGATAATTGTT